TGCTGTGTCCCTCAGGACCTGGAACCCCTCACCATTATGTACTTCATCGGCCGCACGCCACGTGTTGAGCAACTCTCAAACATGGTCGTCAAATCCTGCAAATGCCGTTAGAGTCACAGGAAGAGGGGAGAGAGTCAGAGAGGAGGAGAACCATTGCAAACTAAGATCTAAACTTTAAGGAGTGGAACACAATAACAGGACACATGGACCCTTTGTTCTTTCATTTTTTGCGGTCTCATCAGCTTCAGATGACTTTTCAGATGTTATATTTTTACGCTACCTGACTCAAATATCAGGTTTTGCTTCCAATTCATTACAGGCATGCAAACCCTCTTCATCTCTGGAACTTTCTGTTTGACATAGGACACTGTATATATGACAACATGGCTGTATTAAACATGTACTGTATATTAACGGGGGTGCTGTGTGATTGGGGCCACATTCTATTTGAATGAAAGGGATTCTTATTATCGGGATTTATTATTCCACATAGGTTGTATATTGCTGTGGTCGTTGGCAGCGGAGCGGGTCGGGCGTGTTTGCTTAAGGTTTGAAGGTGTTGATAGGATGGAGGCAATGTGGAAAGGTTTCGCAGTCTGCGATCTCTAGAGCGAGGGAGGCAGGGAGCAGATAGAAAAAAAGAGAGAGAGACTGTGTCCAGGCTGAGGCCCTGCCAGCTCTCTGCGGTCCCGGGCTGAAATCTGCCTGGCGTAAACAGGATGTGAAAGATTTCCAGACACCGACCCGACCACTCACGGAACGCTAGATTTAAACGCTCCCCTCATCTCCTCTGTCTCTCTCTCTCTCTCTCTCTCTCGCTCTCTCTCTCTCTTTCTCTTTTCCTCTCTCCCTTACTCAAGGTTCTGGGATTTGTGGTGGGAGGGAGAAAAGAGAGGCTTTGAAAATGAGACTTGGGATGATAGGGCTGTATTTGGAACGGCTACAACTTTGGAAGGTGGTATTTTGCAGCCTTAGCAAATTTGTAACTATTTGGGTCTGACTCAAACTTTTGGTAATCACTCTCCTGTGCTCCTTTTGTCAATGTGCATTTGTTATTTAGTTGTAAAAAGCTGTTGACTCATTGCTATTCCTACACCGTGATTATATTTTTGCCTTACCTGTCTTTCACCATCGACCTCACTGATTCGCTCGCACGGTTTTTGTCTACACCCAAGTATCCACATTGACCACTTTTGATAGAATGTCTAAATGCTGAAAATAAAAATAAAAAACATCCCCAGGGATCATTTTAAATATAGGCTCTCTGGTATGCTAGTGGTTTGTGTATGTGTGTGTCTTTGTGTGAGAGTGACTGTGTGTGTGCTGACGAGGTCATGTGTGATAGCACAGGAATCGTTCTCTGGCTTTTATTCTAACTTTTTTGTGATTGTTGTCAGGGAGTGTTCTCTTTTTGACCCCGTTGACTCTGAGATGTCGATTTATGTTGGGTTTTTTTTTTTTGCAAGTGTGTGTGTAAAACCTGGTTGACAAGTCTTATTTGAATAGGAAACAGTCCCATCAGACAATCAAAAGCTATAGAATATAACAAGTGTTTTTTTATTCAGTAGCTGCAAAATGCTGACTCAAAATATTGTTTTAAACGGCATAATGAAGAGTTGCTAAGTTTGTAACTATTTTTTTTTTTTACATATCCTTAATGTTGTGGTTGGGCCTAACACACACATCCAGACAAGTCGTATGTGATTTGGTTAAGAATGAGAGCCGCAGGTGCAGGTAAAGGAAGCGTCAGTGTGTCTTATCACTGCAGCTCGTCTCATAAAGAGCAGACAGTTTGATGGGAAAGAGTCGAGTTCAGGAGTTTCAGGGAAAAAACTTTAGTTATGTATGAGCTTGTGTATTTTAGAGCATGTATTTAAGGGATCTGTCTGTCTTTTTCTCTGTGCGAAGGACAAATCTGACATAAGGTTGCAGACACTCTGTTCTTGTACAGTTTATTCTCCTGCCAGGAGATCCCAACCCTGTATGCATACAGTATGACTGTGTGTGTTGTTGTATGGCTTAGTGTGAGAAAGGCAGGATATTTTTATTTCTAACCGGTACTTCTTGAATTACATCAAAATATAAAAGACAGTATTTGGAGACTGTTACTTTGATAGTAGGTTTTATATTGTTGAATACGGCAGATTTGTCAGTGAAACTACTTTTTCAAACTACGACACTCAACATAACGCCGGCGTCAGAAAAAGTCGTTACACATACTGTTTGCAACTTTGGAAAACATCATTGTAAGATGACAATTAGTCTTGGTATATTAAACCGTCTGTTGCTCTTGTGAAGAGCTTGTTGGATTGTCGTCCTCAAAGATCTTCTTTTCTCCACCTGCTGCTGTCAGCAATATTACATCCCTATTTATTATTTCTAATTATATGATGACTGTCGGTGTGTTGACGCGTGACATCTGATGCATTGTATCAACTTCAAGGCAGAAATCTCTTATATCCAGAAAATGGCGCACACACAAAAATTGAAATCAGTAACTGCGTGATTAGATGCCCCAACAGGCTCGTCATGCTTCTGTTATTTTTCATTATTTCAGAGACCTAATTGTTTATTTTCTTAACAGATTTTTAATCAATACTGAAGAGTTTTTTTTTTTTTTATCCGGGCTACTGCAGCTGTTGAAATAGCTTAAAGAGATACAAACTGTTCTCCAGCCATTGCAATAAAATTGTTTTTTCTTTAAGCCACAGTGAGAATGTGAGAATGCAGCCTCACTGTGTGTGTGTGTGTGTGTGTGTGTGTGTGTGTGTGTGTGTGTGTGTGTGTGACGGGGTCCCTGTGCTTGAGTTGTGCTGAATTTCCCTCCCCCCCCTGAATAAACTAGCCCCAGCATCTGTTAGTCTTTTGCACTTAACTACCCCTTGCTATATCCAACCTCTACTTATCCCACGGTGCAGCGCCTCGCTCTGTCTCACACTGGGTCCCACTGTCCTTGGGAGGGGTAGTCTGCTGTGGATCACACACACACATACACCTCTTCATATAAGCCATGACTGTTCCTCTGACCCTTATAGTTGGAGTGTACACAGACCCTTTACACATGGAAAGCCCACTGTACATACAAACATGTATTTTGCTTGTTTAGCCTCCGTATAGGAACACATGTCATGATTCATGGCTCTGCTTCTGGGCTCACTCATCCTTCTAATACAAACCAAAAATGTAAAAGAGTCTTTTATAACAGTTTTTGATTGATCACCTCTACCTTTATGGTCTGCAGCTGACATCACTGGTTTGGATAAGTCTTTATCGATTATAACTGGACTCTAATTGTACCTATTTATTTCTGGCAGTTAAATTAAAACACAGCTCTCAGGGCAACAGGGCACCATAAACACAAATTAAAAAAAGTTTTACAAGCACCACAGTTGTTATGAAACACAGGAGTAAATGGGAGATACAGATCTGTGGCTGCAGCATTACTGAAGCCATATTCCTACCTATACTCAAAATTGGAGACCAGAGTCGCACTTGAGGCCTTGCTGGGACCAACAAGAGGGAAGCCAAACCTGCAGAGCACCTGCAGTACTGTTTCTGAACAGATGAGGGCAACACTTCTATGACTTCTCCTTGTAGGACAAGTGTATTGGGTAAAACTTTCTGCAATTACAGTGGAAGCCTAATCTAACACAGAAGTTAATTCAAATCTGTAAAATGTAAGACCCCCTTTATGAAGAAAAACATGAAAGAAAAAAAGGGTTCTGTCAAATTTGAGCACAATTTTCAAATTTAGATTTATATATCTTTTTAAATGTATGCTATAATGTAAATGTAAAATCTAAGATTTAAATAAAATGATCAAAGTCATATTATAGATGATATTGAAAATGTTTCATGCTATAGACGGATCTGTATAGGTCCGTTATTTTCTATAGCTGTTTTCTCTGCTCTGGTTGGCTAAGCCTTAAATCATTATCTGCCTATAAAGAAGAATTACAAGAAAGAGAGCAAAAACATCCTCCATAGGTCTGAAGTTAGTGAATATCTTTCTGCTTCCAGTCCACTGTCAACAGATGACAAAATATGTGGCAGCCTGAGTTTGAGTTTGAGTTTGGATTCATTCAGTCACTTATTTTGGCGCTGGTGGAGGGCATGATGCCATGGTAGACTCTTGTAGTACTTCCTGGTTCTGAGTAAGCAGTAACTCACTATTTATCGCTGCATGAGTCAAGCTCGTTCAGGACTTTCAGAGTTCAGGCTTCAGGTCTTTTCACATCTCCTGCATCAAACTGAGTCCCAGATTCATTTTATTTTGAAAAGGCTTCTAAAAGCAAGTTTAAATTGCCAACATTGGCGTTTGGACACTTGATAGTATAGTTGGAACAAAAACCATCTCAACATTGATTAAAAGCCTTTGATCTGGTATATCAAAGTGGAACTACATATAATACAATACGTATCGTGCAAACAACTTTGCTTTTACCTTTTTTATCCCATAAACACATCGAAGAGCAGTGTTATGAATCTGTTGTTTCAAATAACCTTCAAGAGAGGGTAACAAACCTGTACTTTATCTCAAAACTGTACAATTTGAACTTTTACAAAGTTTAAATAGTCTTCTTGTGTGACGTCAGTACACAGAGGACTGACACTGAATGTTTGCCATGCTGGGATTTGAAACTGATGAACTGTTGTTGTGGTTCACTGGGATTTTCCCCAGTGATATTTTTAACAGAGATGATTAGGCAACCGCAGCCTGACACATCCTGTCTTTTGATCCATTTGGCTTTAGAAGGACAGATAAAGCCATTTACAAGACGTATACTATAATATACAGTATGGCATTTTCCTGTAAAAAAAGCAACCTCTTCTCTGTCCCTCTATTATTGTTCCCTTTAAATATGTGTATTTCTGTTTAGTAACGTAACCCACCTCAGCTGAAAAACCCTGTCCAGAATTTACAGCCTCACAAAACTCATTTATAGCTGAGTCATGATGTCAAAGTCGCCAAGAATCTATGGTGCTCAATGACTGACAAATAATCACCAAAGAGTTTTAATAGTGATGACTCTGTCTCTTTAAATCAACAAAATTTGTGACCAGCTATTTACACTAGTTGTGGTTGAATTTACAAAGCAGCATGATTTGAGAGGCCTATTCATGTCTCCAGATGGACAGATAGATAAATGTAAAAATGTCTGGGCAAAGTGAGTCCATCCTTTTCTTTAATCGGGACTGAATGATCTTTGTTCTGTCTCAAACTTTTGTCTTCTCACATGTTGACTCCAAAGCAATGTATGACCCGCCTATGACTTTTCCTCTAGCACCACCAAGAGGTTGACTTGTGTTTTAAGTAAAATTACTTTTTCATTATTGATGTAATGAAATCGGAATGAACAAGCTCACCTAGAAGCACATAGGTCTATTGTACATTATAGACACCATGTGGTGATTGATAATTGACATTTTCATTTATTTATTTTTGACAATCAAATGCCATCAAGAAGAACATCAGTTATGTTATTTCATTATAACTATCTGAATACAATGATTTAGTTCATGTTGATGTCTCTTTATCCCTCTATTTGAGGACAAAATATACCAACTACTAGTACAGCCTAGTAGTTATCTGACCTGAGCAAATGTTTTCTTAGCTTTGCCAAATCAAAAAGACAACACAGCAAAATTTGCGGGCTGATTTTGTGAGGCAAGCCATGGATACAAAAAAATATTCTTGAACATCAACTACATTCATTGTGGTGAGTTTTGGCTGTGGTACTCATGCTGTCACTTTAAGAGTCCTAGTTTTGGTGTAGATTAATCTGTTTTGTCTCCTCTTGACCCTGCGTGCTTGGTGTGGTTGCTCTCTGTGTTTGACCCGGCCAGGCCCTCAGATGGTGGCAGGTCTGAGAGAGAAGAGTCTGGAGGTGGTGTCGGGGGATTTGAAGGAGGCTGCATGTCAACGCTGGGCCTCTTCACTTGCGCTGGGCTCAATCTGTGAGAGAGCTGCCTCCTCATGCTCTTCCTTTTGGGTTTTCGTGGCCGTCTCCTCTTCTCCTCACTGCCTGCTGACTGGACGCGGTCACTCAGAGTGTCTGAGGACTCGTCAATGTACGCAAGGTTCTCTCCAAAGAAATCCAGCAGATGGCAGCCGGATGAGGAGGCAATGTTGAGGGGAACTGAGGGAAAAAGGATCTGATTGCTAGAAGAAGGAAGAAAAGGGGGATAAGGAGAGGAGGAGCGACGGATTAAATGAGGGGCAGGTGTGTGATGGAAGTAGTTTGCTACAGATCCACACTTCTCTGCAGGAATATCTTTGTTTTTCTCCTGAGCCACATTAGTGTCTGTAGCTTTCATTCCTCCCTCTTTCTGGAGTGTACAGCAGGGTTGGAACATGTGGAGCGCCAAGAAAGATGAGGAGACTGAGGAGCAGTCTGATCTGGAGTCAGAAGGAGACTCAGAACCAGAAAGTGATCCTTCCTGCATGGCTGCACCTGCTGAGTCCAGCTCTGAGGTGGAGGGGGCCACTGGGAGAGAGAATGAGCGGGCCAATGAGTGAGGAAACAACCTGCCCTCCACATGAAGACCCACAGGGGGGTCAACCCTCAATCCAGGCCCTGCTGTTGGGACTGCTCCATCAGCACTGACCCTCGGCCTGGACTTAGGCGCCGCCGCCCTTTCAAGAGACGAACGTGCCCGCAGTTGACTCATTGAGTTAGAGGGGCCAGCCCAGCGGTTAGGTAGGTGTCCATTTTCAGATCCTCCTCGGACCCATTGTCCCAGAGTGCCCTGGGCTCCTCGACGCATGCGTCGACGCTCGCTGCGTTTCCATTTCCGACGCTGCAAGAGAAATGGGTCATTGAACTCCAGAGGATTTGGGATGCGGAAGTCCATGTTCTGGGTCCAGTCTGTAGCGTGGGCCCTCAACTCCTCCATCTGAGAGAGAAAGAGAGAGAGTAAAAGAGGAAATATCAGGGTAAAAGAAAAATTAATCGCAGATCTTGATCTCTTGGTATACGATGCTATCTAATACCAAACATCTCTCACCTCAGCGCGTGTTTTCTTAGACAGCACTCTCAGCCAGTTTCCGATCATGGTGAGGATGGAGGCAAAGTAGGCGAGACCAAACACAATCCATAGCCACACTAGGGGCTTGAAGAGCACGTCATCTGTCCGACCATCACCTGGACACAGGGAGAGTGGAGGGAGGCTACAGACGTGGTTTTGATCATCCTTCTGACTAGTGACAACCCCTGCTCACATAATTAGAGCCAGCTTTTGGGCTTGTCCTTTCCATCTTCGTATGCTTCCATTGGGCCAAATCATACAAAAATAATAAGGTAGCCTACCATAGGTATGCAGAAGATGCACAAATATACATTTCACTTACACCAGGAGATCATGTCCCTGTTACATCTCTGGGTCACTGTACTTAACAGGAATAAGACATCATAATTGTCTTTGGGCCACATGAAGACAGAGAGGGTTAGCTCATGTCTTGAGTCCCTCTCTCTGATAGCTCTAACTCTTATGGCTGCAGTCTGTCTTAAACTCAATTTGAATTATTCTTTGAAAGGAATTTAATCTTAAGGAATACTTTTAATACATTTTAGAGTCATCAACTACAAAATGCTAAAGTGTTAAGTTGTAAAGACTTTGGATGGATTTTACCACCACAGCTCTCCTGCAGCTTACGGCTATGCCCTCCACAGTCAGAACAAACTGTTTTTGTTATATGTAATGTTTTCAAATTTCTTATTTTGCTTAATGTCTTTTTTTTTATTATTTCTTTTTTATCTTGTCTTTTAATATATTTCATATTTGAAAGTATTTTTGGTGTTATAAATATATTACTCTGTAAAGCACTTTGAATTGTTTTATGTATGAATGGTGCTCTAGAAACTTGGCTTTCCATTAATGCATATAGCACTGCATTAAAGATTATTTGAATCATTGAATAATTGCTGATTATATTTCTAATTGAACCCACAGTCTAAAAGATAAGCGATGGCCAACAAACAAGAGCCCAAAGTGACTCCTTTAGATTGCTTGCTTTGTCTGATCGACAGTCCAAAGCCCACATATATTTTATTTATAAAAGTAAAGGACCAAGAAAAGAAGCTGGAAGCAGCAGCTTTGTTTTCTTGAAAAATTATAAAGTGGTTGTCAAAAATTCTCTCTCTATTTTATTCAGTCTATAACCAAATCATCCACCTGCTAGTTGTTTCAGCTTTTATTGTGTACTGAATGTGGCACGCTTCAGCTAACCTGCTTTAAAGTATGCGATGAAGCACCACACTAATCAAACTTTGTTTAACTTTGACCTTAGACTGACGTGAATGAAAAGAAAGATACATCAATAATGAATTATTCATTGTGTTTCATTTGGACTGTAAGGTAAGCGCTGTTGCCTCACAGCGAGGAGGTTCATGGTTGAAATCCCTGTCAGACACAGCCTGTGGAGTTTGCATGTTCTCCACGTGCATGCGTGGGTTCTCTCCGGGTACTCGAGCTCTCTCCCACAGTCCAAAGACATGCTTGCTAGGTTAATTGGTGACTCTAAATTGCCTGTATGTGTGAATGTGAGTGTGGCTGCTTGTACGTCTCTATGTCACCCTGTTATTAACGGGTGAACAGTCCAGGGTGTACCCCGCCTCTTGCCCAATGACAGCTAGGATCAACTATATCAGCTTTATACGTAAGAAAGCTGTGGCCAAAGTTACAAGCATGCTAAAATCAAAATGAAAAAGAAGAGTGACCCTTTATTTTGAATGTCTTGTCTTCTGCACTGGTAAGAATTGCATGACCCACAAATAACAAATAACTTAACAAAGCTGCTGTCCACTGTGTGATAGGAGACATGATGAAGTAGTATTTGTGTATTGTGTTTTAGTCACCTGGTACATAGTCTCCAAAGCCTACAGTGGTGAGGGTGATGACCACAAAGTAGAGCGACTCTAGAAATGTCCAATCCTCCACTTTCTGAAACACGACTGTTGGAACTGCGAGGAAGATCAGACAGCCAACCAGGATTGAGAGAACCGCTGAGATCACACGCACAGTGGTCGGCCTGACCTTACGTTTCTGAGAAAAAAATAATCGCAAACAGAGAGGCAGGGACAAAGAAAATGAATACTTCAGACTGTAATGACATTTGGATTATCACATTGGATTCAAAGGTAAGACTTACAGTCAGGTCATAACTGGTCATGGTTTAGCACAATTGCCAGGTGAAGAGTTACATTAACTTCTTTCACAAGTACAGGGGTACACATTCACAGCATTAACAACTTTTCAATTTCAGGAAGGGGTCCCAGACTGATTCCTGACCAGAAAATCCAATAATTCACTGCAAATAAAGCAGTTAAACCCGAGGTGTTAGCTTCACAGGTTTCAAACTGCGTGTGAGAAAGGTGCAAATTCAACTGAGTTTGGGTCCCTGGGCAGGACAGACCATTCTCACCAGGAAGAGGGTCTCAATCTTGGCCACAGCTCTTCGCAGCACTGTGCCCATGTGATCGCCAACTCCAGCCAGCAGTATGCCAAACATGGGAATTCCCACTAGAGCGTAGCACACACAGAACAACTGGCCGTACCACGTCCGAGGAGACAGGTTCCCAAAACCTGTTAAAAAAAAACAAAAAACAAAAAAAACACAACATAATTTCTCATTAGCTAAAGAAAACCTTTATGATGATTTCCAGATCTGTATTTTTATCCTGGGACTTCACAAGGGTAGATTTAGACAGACAGACAGACAGACACTTTATTAATCCTTTGCAGGACATTACATCATCACAGCAGCAACTGCAAGCACAGTCAAGACACCACACAAAAAAACTAACAAATACCATTTATACATATAAAAACACTAAGATTAAGTATAAATCATTATAAATAAATGAGTACATGTATTCATTGTGCGTTATTCTCCATTAAACAGTCTGAGAAAAAAGACTTTCTGTAATGTTCAGTTCTGCACCTCGGGGTGATCAACCTGTGACTGAATGTGTTCTGTTGAATCATGTCCAGGGTGTGTCGTGGGTGTGCAGGATTTCTCAGATTGGACTTCAGTTTTGAGAGCACTCTTGCCTCTGTGACCTGCTGAAGGGTTCCCATTTCCGTCCTAATGATGGAGCTGGCCTTCCTAATTAGCTTGTTGTTTCTGTTTTTGTCTGCTGTGCTAGTTCCCTCTCCCCAGCACACCACACCAAAGGACAAGGCACTAGCAACAACAGTCTGATAAAAGGTGCACAGAAGAGGCCTACGGATGTTAAAAGACCTCAGCAGGCTTCAACACCGCCTCTCCAAGTGGGCAGACCAGTCCAGTTTACTGTCCAGCTGTACTCCCAGGTATCTGTAGCTGGAGGCGAGTTCCACTTCAGTACCTTGGATACTAACTGGTGATGGTATTGGCCTCTTCCTTCCAAAATACACAACCATCTCCATAGTCTTTATGATGTTAAGCTGGAGATTGTTATGGTCACATCAGTCCACAGAAAAATGTGAATGATTTCCAAAGATAAAAAACGTTATCCAACGTTTACTCACCACCAAAGTGGTTTTGAAGAAATTCCTTTTTTTACAACATACATAAGCCACTTTGTGTCAGTTATTTTTCATGAGCAGTCGACCACAGACACTGTTCTGAGATGTCTCTTGGACTAACATGACAAATAATTCAGAGATGTAGAAACCTGGTACTAAAGACAAAATAAGAACAACTATCTTAAATCAGAATAGAACTGATCCATCCATTTGCTCTAATTAACATTTAACCTTTCCAAAAGAAATGTTTATTTAATAAGACATTTTAAACTTGCGTCATCTTCAAAATAAAAGCCCAAGGTGAAGTCTCCACCTACCTATGGTGGTAATGATTGTACCACAGAAGAAGAAAGCAGAGGCCATGTCCCAGCGGCTGGTGAAGTTTGCAGGAAGGTGGTTCAGATCCAGGCCCGCCTCCACTGCATACGCTACTCCCTGCAGGTGAGGCTTTAATCTTTATTCATTTGAAGAAAAGAACTAGCTCAAAATAGTACTTAGGCACAAGAGTTGAGGAAATTAATAGGTAAAATTCTTCCACTGATTTATTTAATTGATAAAAAAAAGCCTGAATGTGATGAAGTTTACACAATCAGGTGATATTTAAGGAGAACAAATGGTGACATTGCCATTAATGGTACCCTTTTGTAAATGGAGAGCAAAGTTTACCAAAGTCAAATTCCTTGTTTGTGTGAGCCAATAAAACTGACTCTGATACACAATAAAAACATTTTGATTATGTGGAAGATGATTTGGTTTATAGCTTGCCTTAAATAGAAGTGTATGTTTTGTTAAAATTTGGACGAATAACAGAAACAGAGAAGCAAAAGAAAGGCTTTTTCTAGCTGTAGTCTTTTTACAGTCAGTGTGTGTGTTTATGTAATCAGACTTTGGATAGTGTGTCTGTCCAATAATACCTTCACAAGTATGTAGAACTCCTGCTCTGTGACACATGATTTATTCTTCAGGAAGGTTTGCTTGGTAGCCAGCAATTTTTTGTACGCCAAATCCTCATCTGGGGCCTCCAGGGTGCGGAAAACAAGCGCACCCATCACCAGGTAGAGCATGACCCCCGTGAGCAGGGCAAAGAGGGTGGTGCCCCGCATTTTCTTTCACTCTACCCCCCCACCCCTCCAGGGTTAGGGGTCAGAGTTCAGAGGCCAGGATCTGTTGGGGCTCTCAGTCAGGATACACAGCGGCACAGCTGGCAGTAAACAGGAAGTTCCTCTTGAGAGGCACTGTGTGTGTGAACATGCACATGTGTAAACCAGCAACACAAGTGTTCTTGGAAGGCTGACAAACATTAAAGCCATTATTTATACATGTGTGCGTCATAACTAAAGAGACGGTCACTGACAGGAAAAGTGAGAAGTAAAGAGCAGACATGAAGTTTAAAAAAAGGTACATTCAGAAACATTTTCTTTTACAAACAATGATTAACAAACAGCTGCAGTGTTGATGCATAACTTACATAACAGGTCTTAAAATGTAAAAGTTATCAGGTTGTACATTATGAATTACAGCTTTGGTTCACCCTGTCCATCCAGTCGTAAGTAGAGCCCATGTGATGCAACTCCACTATGGGGGAGAAAAGTCCCTCGTTTAGGGCAAAAAAACATCAAATGTCACTGATGTAAGGCTCTCATTGGTAGGTACCTTCTAAAGTGAAATTGTTTTTAGAACAAAATTCTCATTGAATGCATTTTGGCATAAACAGGGACTGTTGGCTTGTCTTCAGGCTTAAAAGCTTGAAGACAAAAAAAGGCTTTCATGGTTCTGCATTTGGTCGTACAGCAAGTTCTTAGTTTGAGAATGCCCACTAAAATGAGGTGCAGACCAATGTAAGATCGTCAACATGAAATACAAATGCACTCTTTAATCACAAAATGTTTTGGGCTATCTTGCCTTCGTCAACAGGGTTTATAAAAAAGCACTTTATGCATTAAATCCTTTGACCATAAACCTGCTGCTCTCCTGTTTTGTGTTTTAAACTCCTCTTATAATCATAGTCAGACGTGATTTAAAGTTTCCAACAATACAAAGTAAAGAAATCGCTATTTTAAATCTTTGGTGGGTTAACCTAAGTCCTCCAAGATATGAAGAAAACCTGCAATGTTCAATTTTAGAGAATTCTAGATAAATGTCTTGAAATAAGAGGTTAAAGTTGAATCAGCAGAAACCTAGGTACTCCTTTGTATGCCTCAGGCTGAACAATGTAAAGCTTCAAAAACACTGACTCCTGCATTTCAACTGAAGCGAGTCGATAGCGACAACCTCGATCACCACCACTTAGTGGGGAGTGGGTGTGGCTCATATACCCTTCAAACACATCTACATTTATGATGACTTACTGACAGTGTGTAACATTGTGTTGTCATCATCATGGAAGACATTCAGATAAGTTTACTTTGGAACAGAGGTAATGCTCAAGCTAGCTGTGTTGGTGGATACATTTACAACAAGAGCTGCATAAACCAACATCTTCTAACATCAAGTATGGAACAATTGTTTTTGTTCCTTTTGTCACATTTAGCTTTAGTGTGACGCTATTAAACTTAAGGACCCTTCAACTTGGAGCGTGCCAGCAATCACTCAAATGAACATTAAAAACCCAAGTTGCTCCACTAAGAAAGAGACAAGCTCCTTTTTTAGAAAGGAATGATTGGAAGAAAGGCCAGTGTGTTGAGAAGTCCATCCAATGTGATCGCAGCAATATTGAGTATTGAAAGGGGTTATTCACTCCCACATCTTTCATGTGGGTTCTTTTCTGATGGATATCATACTTTTTATGAGACGATAATAAAGACAGTACCTCAAGTCACTGATGTCAGGAACTCATCCCATGGCAAGGCTGGGATCAGATGATGGGGAAATCTTCTCTCATTTCCGTCGTCCTTTCTCTTTGATGTCTCTCTGATGTGTCGTCAGCATTTCTCCTTCAGGCAGACACACACATGCATGTAAAATGTAATTGTAGATAAGGGCATGAAGAAACAGAACAGTTTAAGTTGGCACATTTCCCTGTTTCTGGCTCTGATGAAGCAGGGTGTGTGAGTGGCATTAAAAAAGTATTCACTTGGAGGGAGTTTGTCATAATAACCAGAGGGACTGACACACAACAGGCCGCGCTGCCAGTGCTCTCACAAACTATTAGCTGCCAAACCTCCAAACATACACCTTGACATTCACCAAAAACATGCTTACTGCTTTTCTTCATTTGGCTCTTGGTGTTTTCTTTGAACCATACAGTATGTACCTTTGAGATGGACATAAACACACACAGTGGACTGGGATTCAGGAGATTCTTGCTGTGGGTCAAACGTCCCAGGTCATGCACACGCCGTGTGCCCTGACAATGTTCTGAGATTTCCCAGAGTCTGGCCGACTGTTAGCATTCTGCGCTAATGGACTGTTGGCTTCGGTTTGTTTTGCTCTCTACCCCTGACTTCAACACTGACAGATGTTATTAGTTATCACAGTCTAAAGCTGTGCTGGCATATTTTGCTATTTTGCTAAGATATGGAGTGAGTGGGGGGCTGGAGAGGGGCGATGATCTAATCTAAAGTCAAACAGTGGGGCAGGGGGGAAATAAATTGTGTGGTGAGCTGTTTAAAAACAGGCATGATGCTTAGAGAAGATGTACATAAGCTACTCCAAGGTTTACGTTTAAGGCTATATAAGACAAATCTGACCAAACTGAGCAGAACAACAAAGGACGCAAAAATCCTAAACATTCCTCTCAACAAGGTTTGTCGCTTATGAAACATAAACATGTTTTGGCCCTATTTAGCAATTTCAAAAATACATACTAAAAACATGCTTAATCTCATTATAAAATCTGTGAGAATGGGCATGGTGTAATATATTAAGACTATTCAATATGTAACATTGAAAAGAGTTTGGTGGAAACTTTAAACCTCCAGAAACACTGAGAATTAACTTTACAATAAAGCAGAATCCCCCCCTTCCCCCAAAAAATGGTTTGTATGCGTTGAGAGAAAAAAAAGTCTTGCTGCATGTTGACAGTGTTGAAGTTATTTAGCGACTTAATTTAAACAGATTCCTCAACTTGCCAGAATGTCCTTTTTAAGATATACCCTTAATAAAACAAGGACATTCTCTGAGCTATCTACCTACAAGCTGAACAGTTTAGCTAACATTTAATTTGTAAACCAAGGCAGGACAATTAAGTTCTTGCTTTCTCAATGAACAGCTCACCTCCCCACCTTCAAATGCTTTTCAGATGCTTTTCAATGCTGCTTCAGAGTCTGAGTGCTGACAAAGACATACAAACTAAAGCCTTTTTTCTCTCTTAGTGGAGTTAGGACCTTTCTCTGTTTCTGTCGCAGTGCTAAAACCAAGCGTGGAGATGGTCTGCTTGTAAGAGACGTGAAATACATCAATGTCATTTTCAGAGTCAACTGGATTTAATGTGAAACAAACATATCAGTCAACTTATTAAGAGCAGTGTATGCATACTCCACAAGTGATGCATTATATCTATTGGCAGGAATGATTAAGTGCAATACAGGTTATATGACTGGTCAGTACTTTTAATGCAGCACTAAACCTCCATATTTTATGAATTATCATCAATTAAAAATTATATTATTGTATTTTTTTAATAGGTAATTCAAAGGAGGTCTTACAGGGTCTGAAACCTCTGAGGTCTAACGACCATAAACATCAATAATGTAAAAAACATTAATGAAAACATTCATTAATTTAAGAATTTTTAAATTAAATTAAATTTTTGGAAAACAAAAGGAATTCTTATTTATCAATAACAAACACAACTAACAAAAATTATAACATTTGCTCATTCGATGGGACGATGCTTAAATAATTTCTGCATTTAGTCACCATCAAAGTCTAAACTTTTACTATTAAAGTTAAAGAAAATGCTGATTAAGCCATTTAATGTGTATACTGACAGGGCCAGTCAAATAAGCAGAAGCACAGAAGTCCAATTAGTGCTTCAAAAAAAACCCTCATTGGATTTTAGTGATTGTGTTTTTTTACTTCTTAAAGCTTACAAAAAGAGACCTGTTTGACTGTCTACAGCAGCCGGACAGACTGTTCATTTGTCTTAATCTCTGCCAACAAACCTCCAGGGATGGATGATCATCTGGACAACATATCTACTGAAAAATGTACAGTAGCCAAACAAGAAATAAAGCTCCCTTAGTTGTAATTATCCCCCTAAGTATTTTGCTCTTTTTTCAGTTAGTTAGCATTGACGTCAGAAGGAGATCACAGGTTACAAGTCATGCTCTGGGAAAGATTTGCACTGAAAATGATGACACGACTGTTTCAGGCGACACAAGTAGCATTTTTAACTTGCTGACCTTTTTGTTTGAACATACAAAAAAAGAAACTAATCAAATGCAACAACTGAGGTATGTAAATCCTAAAATAAAGTTTGATTTCTTTTGAAATTAGTCTGCTACTTGACTTGAAACCTGCTGTTAAAAATATATTTTGAGAAAAGACAAGAGAAGTCACACAAGTCTGAAACCAAGAGCAATATGCATGAAACTAAATGTTCTTTTCTGTTGACTCGGTTACATCTTGTTAAAAAAAATATATTTTTGAACATCTTACCTTACTGTTTGAATAAGTTTGCTATCCAAGTTGGTCTCCTGCAGCATGTGCGGCTCTCACCATTAAGCTCACAGGGAGGATCTGTGTGTGTGTGTGTGTGTGTGTGTGTGTGTGTGTGTGTGTGTGTGTGTGTGTGTGTGTGTGTGTGTGTGTGTGTCTCCTTGGAAGGTGTTTCCCCATTCTCGTGACCCTAGATCACTCTGACAGGGGAGAGATGATGATGATAGGAGGAGAGGGGGAGGAAGAGGATGAAGAGAGGGAGGAGCATTAGAGTTTTGGGAGTGTGATGAAGTACCGTCACTGTAGAGGAACAACAGAGGACCCGGAGTTTCCTGAGCTGGACGTGGGGGGGGGGGAGCAATACTCTTGAAATCTGCCCCTCTCCAACCTCTGTCTTTTTGGGAAGTAAAATAGACACTTGTTTCTTCAAAGTCAGAGTCATGATCCACATAATTTTTCTGTTCTTGAGGAGGATTTGACTTTTAATATAAAACAGACTCCAAAGTTGGAGAGCCAACTCTCCCATCTCCTCTTTATTAATTATTTGATCCATGTCCCCTTCTTTAAAGCTTTCACTCTTTTTCAACTATGTGTCCATGACACAGACGCAAAGATAGCGGACTTTGTTAATACACTCTGACGACCTCCTCATCCAACCACTCATTTAGAAATCATTTAGACTTTATAGGACAATGGCAGAAAACAAGTCAAACTTAAAGAAGATACATTTATCAGAAAGAATGACAACAGGTCAATTAAGAGCACACCTTTTATTCTTGACTCAAACACAGAAAAAATAATTACATCAAAGTGTCAAAAACAAAGCAAACAGCTCAGCCTGCTCAGAGTCCAACAATTGCTTGTCACTGCCAAAAAAAACCCGACAGATCCCAGAGTTAAAAAGGCAACTGGAAGGTAGGGAAAAGTGTGTACATGTTTGTATGCTTCAAGTGTTAGAATGTCGACATCGCAAATGACCGTCAATGATTCAATGATGTCATCAAGTCAGAAAAGAAACAGTCTACGCTTACGAGTCAAGGCCAGAGAAAATATCTCTAAATAAAGTGTAAACTAAAGAAGGAAGAAAAATTTACTCCACACTTTCAACAAAAACAAGTCCAAAACTTTTAGATGAAGTGATCTCAAACGACGCTAAAAGATTTCTCAGTAAGGTTTAAAGGATTAGTTCACATTTAACATCTGTTTAAAATGATATACAAATGTCAATGCCTAAAAAAAAACATTGTTGTTTAAATTCAATCTCAATTCAAACTGAAAGAAAAACCTTATTAGCAGTTCTGCAATATCAATGTCAGTCTTCTCCTTTGTCATACTATTGGCTGCTTAATCTGAGAGTAAGCAGTTTGCAGACAGCTATGAGACAAGTGTTGATAAAAAAAGTGTGAAGCTTTTCAAATAGCCCTGCATGTCATCTAGCCTCTAAAACAAGTGTTTGGTAGATCATCAAGCTTTTATAAGACTCTATGGAGTATTGTTATACAGACGAAGGTTTCTTGATTTTGTCAATCTATCCTGAATCCAAATTTCTGCAGGAGAGGATCTCTTTTCAGCCAGCATCGACGAGGGAAACCCCAACAATGGCCATTTTTATGTACACGTATGAATGTGAGCGTTGGTTTCAGACGGACTGAAAAATGTGAACACGTCCATTCACTTAGTGATCAAACCTTGAGTTCAAGCAAATAGTAAATCCAAAGAATACATCAGCTCCAAATTATCTACAAAATCTACATTCTACATACTTCGGGCTCCTGCCGTCCATGGCACAGTAACAAATAAATTATATCTGATCAAATATAAAATGCAAACTGAATGTGCTCATAAAATAAAGCTTCAAATATTTACTTTTTGGTAAATTCATCGCAGAGCTAACTACTGAGTGCTCATTAGTGTAAGACAGAGAAGCAAAGCAGCAGAAAGAGGAGAGAGGGAGTCCAGTGCGTATCACCATACATGGAGCGGAAACCAGCGCAGGTTAGGCTGAGTCATAGACATGTGCTCTCTCTCCTGTCTCTCTCTCTCTGACACGCACACGCACATCAACAAGCAACATCAAGATGAGGACACACGTTCATGTCTCACACACGCTCACTATGCTTTCACACAACTTCTGTAAACACCTGCTGTCTATTGTAACACATTCAATCGTCCATAAATAATCCACAGCAAAAACATTCAAACAAGAAATACATCACATTCTCACAACAGGCCTCTCTTGCAGGCTTCAGCAGGCTTGCAGGCTTATCTTGACAAGCACTTGTTTAGAAAATAGTCAACTAGGCACAGTTTCCCTCCATGCAGGCTAGACACACGAGTTAATTCAGAGGTACAAAAAAAACAAAATATTCCCTTTGGAAAAGTGGTTGTTATCTTCAAGAAACATAACTAAATCACTACCTCTGTGTCTAAATATTCAGGTGGCTGTAAAGTGGCAGCATTGTGATGGACATTAAAGGTCTCTACACAGCAATTAGAGGACAAACTACTGACCATTAAGACATTTTAGATCCCCAGAGGAGGCGCTTGTTCTGCCAGTGCACAACACATACAGAAGTCCATGTGTGACTGCAGCTGTTTTAAAACTGCTCCTGTGTTTTAAAGTCTGAAGCGCTTCAGTTTGCTGGTGACTTGAGTGTCCCTGTTCAGCAGCTGTCATCCATCACTGAGGTTTTCTGTCAATCTGTGGACAATGAGATGAAAAAAAAAAAAACACTTCAGAGCCCAAGCTGATTGAAATTGTTTAGAAATATGATTGGTTAAGGGTATAATCTTTTGAAAAACATTATTTTAATTTCAAATTTAAATGTTATGATCTTGAAACCACAAGCGTATCTAGGTTAAGTGATTCAGTTGACTGCATCTATTAATCTGAGTGCTTTTAGAATTTCTTTCTTTATGTGACATAAAACAGTGCTCATCAGTTTGTTGGAGGTTACCTGTAGCTGTATTTAATCCGTCTCTTCCGCCTGCTCCGGCTCTTTTTGAGGGGCAGGTACGACAGTTGTCCCTAATAAACCTCTTCTCACAATGTAGGGACATGATGGACCACTAGGGATGTCAGCAAAACCTGCAGGACACAGGAGGGGGAGACAGAGTGACCTTTATCTGCCTTTCCTTGAGCATCCTATTTCAGAGTGTGAAAGCTTAAAAATATAGAGCACATAAAGGGAGGAAGTGCTGAGAGAAAACATCACAAAGGGAAGGAACTTGTGTTTTCTGTACATTACAGGGTCAGAAAGTCACGACCAAGAAACAGCCCCCCATCAGCCGAAAGCTTAGGCACTTACCTTTCATGACTACTTCAGGCAATCCATAGGGTTCATACTCGGTGTCGTCAAAGGCTGCAGACAGCTGCGTCCTGTTTCGGCGGATTCTTTCAGCCAAGCGAGCTGGGTCAGCCGGTATGGGGAAGGAACCTGAAAAGAAAATCTTGTCTCTAACCTCTACCCCTTGAGATAATGTCACAGGAGAGACAGGGGGGGATTCCACTAATTCTTCTTCTTCTTCCTCCTCCTCCTCCTCCTTCTCATCCGTCTGTGTGTATGCACATTGGAGGTCTGATGTCATTGGAGCATTGAGAGGATAGAAACTCGCCTCTGTTTGAATGCTGACACTCTTCATGTCTTTCCTAAAACATCCTTCAGAAGAATCATCGGTGGTGTTTTCTTCATTGTTCGCACCGGAATTCTCCGATTTGGCCTCAAGATTCCTCAAACAACACTCAGAAGTTTTGGTCTGATTTGGTCCTGAGACACTGTGGAAATCTTTGGTGACTTGTTGTTGACCTGTCTTCTCAGACGACATCTTGAAAACTTGAAAGTCTTTCTTCTCTTTGTGTTGTGTTTGACAGGTATTTGACTGATGTAAGACATTTACGTCCAGGTTTTCTTTTTCACTTTCCTAAGTCAAGAGAAAAACAACATAAAAACAATTCAGGCCTAGTCCTATATGTGAACAATGTAGAAATTTAATGATCAGATATGAGATATAATTCATGTATCCCTGGGGGGGGGATATTCAGTCATTTGAGAACAAACCCACAACCTTGAGTATTTTTGCTAACAGAGACATGCACAGAGCAATGGCAGGTAAAGGCAAATGGTAATACAAAAATGTAATTTGGTAGCATATGTGATGATCTAAAGCTTCTATCATTATTTATTTTATCATTTTAAACTTAATTGTTCATGCATGTTAACTTGTGTATTTTCACAAATTTGCATTTCAAGTTGTGTGTTGGCCGTGGATAAGAGAATCTGGGTTCCGTCAGCCATGATTGAAGCTAACATATATTTTCTCTAAAAGTTGCACCAACGCACACAGTCAGACGAGATTTCCCAGTAAATTAATTACAAATGTATGAACATGTAAATTAAAGGTAGTCAGTAGCTTTGTCCTAAAATGTTTTTATATAGACTTAAACAATGCAACGATGCTAATTCAACACCTCCATACATGTGTGGTGATGACTGGCTGCAGAGACCCTGTCCTGACTGTATTTTGATTTCTAGGTTGACTCTGGGTGGGGAGTTGATGTGTTTCCCCCACCCAATGACAGCAGGCAGGTGAGTTTGGGAGTGGATACAATTCAGTGATTGGATGCCCTTCAAACTGGCAACTATAGCTGAAGCAGACATAGCAGCAAAGAAGAGAAAATATGATCATATAGTAGGGTAAAGTTTGTTCGAGAAAAAGGGTGAACCTTTGTTTGACTTGGTCTGCTTTCTATTGTACAGGCAGGTGCCAAACACCAGCGGTAAGCTTTTGCCAGCTTGCTAAATTATCCGCTTTTCCATTAAGACAAATGTAATATTCCCAGGTAGATGGCAGTGAAGGTACAATCAGTAAAGGTAAACATAAACCCTCAAGTGATTGTGTGCTTCTGGTGTTGATGAGCCAAGACGGAGGGCCTAATTTGAATGTTGTGTTTACAAGCTGCAACAAACATTGCTGCTGACTCTACCTTTAAGCATTACTGAAAAAAACATCACATTCTTCAACCCCATGTACATGTTCTGCATTCATAAAGCAACTAAAGAAATAACTGATTTTTCGATCGTACCTTCAAATGAAACCCTTAAACAAGAGTAATGGAAAATAAGTAAATGAAAGAACTACCTTGTTGATCTTGGCAGTGACCTGATCGTTCTCCTGAAGCGCTGCAGTCTTTTTAGAGGGATGGACACTCTTTGGTTCAGGCAGGTTACTGTGATGCAGTCTTGAGGTAAAATAGAAGAGAAGTTCATTTAGAGGAAACAGATAAAGAAAACAAAATCCATATTAGAACATACATTTAATTCTTTAAATACATATAAACCACTTTAATGTATGGATTTAACACAACAGAAGTGGATTAGAATATACGTTATACAAGTTATAATCACATTTCTCATCACTCTGCCTCCCCTGTTTTGAGTGTGTTACCTGGAAAACAACATGCGGCCCTGCAGTTTGTTAGAAGTGCAAGAGAGGTGTAACTCATCTCCTCTGATCACTGTCACATTACAGAGGCTCTCCTGAACCTTTGCCTGGTTCTGGGACAACCCATCAGTCTGCTGCTGCTGGTTTGACTGGTTGTCTGTGTTGGGATCATCAAAGGTGGGGGCTGGTTGGGAGGCCAGTCTCCACATAGTAAGCTCCTCTGCCTGCTGCTGGGTCTCCTCAGAGAGCGTGTGTAGCTTCATGTGCAGCTCCACCACCTGGACAGGAGTGGAAAGACAAGACAAACTTTCAAAACAAATCTCACTTAAGAAAACCGCAAAAATAAAAAAATAAATATGAGTAAATCCTCGGATACTATTTCTAATAGCTGGTTGTGTTTTAATGCTTTTTAATTCTGTATATGTATTAAAATAATATAAAATATGTGTATTGTATTTTGTTCCCCAGCAAAAAGTACCAGCTTCTCCTTTAAGTGTTCCATTATAAATAAATTGTTTAAGTGCCTCTATAAGTTACTTTGAAACTTTGCTGTTGTGATACAAGGAGGTGGTAAATTGTCACCTGTTGCTGAAGTTGGACGATCTGAAGCTCTGACTCTGCCTCCAGATCTTTTTCAACTTTCAAAGTCTTCCCGGCTTCCCATTCTGAATCTCCACCTTCATCTTCTCTCCTCTTCATATTCTGCAGCAATGACCCCTGTTCCTTTGCGTTGATGTCAACAAACAGACTAGGAGCCTTCTGCTCCACCAAGCTGGACACGGCAGCATTTCCTGTGGTTACGCTTTGTCTGGCTGCACCTTCTTGATTGTTGCTGTCAGTTTGGAAAGCTGAGGTGGTGAAGCCCTCTAGTCTTTGTTTCAGCAGTGTATTCTCCTGTTTCAGAGCAAAACGTTCTTCAGCCATGTCTACTGTTCCTCCATCTTGACTGTGCTCAGTTTCTCCTATCACACTGGCAGAGTGTTGGTTACTCCAAGTTTTCTCTGTGTCTGAAAGATGATAACCTGAACAGAATTCTTTATTTTTACTTAAAGTTGATGGTCTTTCAGCAAACTCCTTTTCCCGGTTTGACTCAAGTCTGGATGTCTCCTCTGAGCCCTCATGGTGAGTCTCTTGCAATTGTTTCCCATCCTCTTTGACAGTCAACTCATTTCTTCTGTCCTGCTCCTCTCCCTTTATTTTGGCCTTTAGTGCAATTAGCTCTTGCTTGTGGCGCTGCAGTTCCTCTCCCTGGCTGTGGAGGACACTCTCCTTCTCCTGCAGTTCAGCTAAAAGGCCAGAGATGTGCTGACTCTGCTTCTCAAAGGCCATGGTCAGCTGCTGGGTCTGACGTGTCACCTAAAAGAAGGAAATTGGAAGATTATAGGGGGAAATTATTGGAGAGAGAGGGGTAATAAACCAGTATGACCAGTTAAGCAAAAGTATGCTCAAGTTTAAGTTTTGACAGGTTATGTGCTTCCCCTAAATGAGTGAGTTCTTACTTTCACCCGTATCTGTGAAAATCTCAATCTAAGGTCCGAAAACCTTCATGGACAAACTCAAATGTAAGTGTTTGGTTAGTGACTGATGTACATTAAGTAATCCTAGTCACTTGTAAAGACTGGATAATAGAAATCTTTCACTGGTTTCCAGTTTGAATTTGTTTTTTTGTTTTTTTTTTCAATCAAGGACTTACCTATTTAGATATACTGAAAATATACTTACAAGGTTTTTTTTACACATCAGATTTTTGCTTTGTAATCTATTAAAGATGTTTCTTTAGCTGTATGGTCTGGTGCCTTGTTTCTGTTCTCACTGCTCACTTGAAATGAGTGATATTGGCATGTACTCATTTACTTTAGGTATTTAATATTATTGTTTTTATTTGTGTGCCTTACTTTCTGTATTTTTGTATGAGCGCTGTCTTGTCCCCTTGCGAACATTAAACTTCTGTGAACTCCCCATCGAGTGTCTAACTTCTTGATAAAACATCTACAGAGAAATGTTGAATAAACCTTTTTTTCCCAGTAATTTTAATTCAAATAAAACTGGAATATTATACTTCGACATAACTATTACCATATTTCTATCTAAACTAAGTACCATGGTCAGTAAATGATGTATGGTATAAGCACTGATCTAGGTATGCACTCACATGAATTCATCTACAGAATCTAATGTTGTAACATACTTTTGATCAGGACAGGCAAATTGGACATGTTTCATGTGGACATAAGTATGCTTTTGTAAGTTGACTATCTACTATCCAAGTATTATGATTTTTTTAAATCTTGTAAAAATGAATCATTTTACTAAGGCCTGATAAACTTGGTGTATGTCCCTCATTATTTACCTGGCTCTGCAGGGCCTCCAGTTTAACCTGGTATTGGTTTGAACGCTCTGTCTCCTTTGATTTCTCCTTCTGCAGCCGCTCCACTTCTTTTTCCAAGTCTGAGGGGGCATGCTCATCCTGCTGCGTGCTTTCCCTGGTGTTCCCCAGGCCGATACAACATGTTTGGCCTTCATCTGAATTTTGAGGATTTATCACGGATGGCTCCTCCTGGATGAGCTCTGCTGTGGCCTGAGATACTAGCATGTTGTGTTGGTTTGTGGACTGGCAGAAGAGGAGGTGCTGCACGGGTGAAGGGAGGAGCTTGTTGTCACAGCCAATCAAGTTGGAGTTGAGCTCATCATTATGTAATGCAAGATACGTCAGAGGGCTGTTGGCAACTGAAAGTTTCTCCTTCTCCATCAAGTCTTCATTTCTGATGCATTTCATTTCTTCTAATTCAGCTTTTAGCTCTCCCAGTTTCTGCTTCAGCTCCTTATTTACATCTTTGTCTCTGTTTGTTGTTTGGTTTCTCTCCTCCTCCTCTCTCATTCTCTCTTCTTGCTCTAAAGCCAGCTGGGCTTTCACCTCTGCTAGTTGTTTCTTTAACTGGAAATTAAGCTCTATCATTTCACTCTCCCTGTCTTTTAGCTCTTCGTTTTTCTTCTCTTCTTGCTCCACTCTCTCCATTTTTTCCCTGAGCTTATTTCTTCTATTCATCTCCGTCTCCAAAGTAGCCATTGCCTTCCTCAACCTCTCGGTCTCAGCCCTCTCACTCTCCAGCTGTGCCCTCCACCCCTTGTCCTGCTCCTCCTTCTCCACTGCCTGGCTGGTATGTTTGCGGCTTAGCTGTTTGAGCCGAGTCCTAGCTTCTGCCTCAGCACGTCGTTGGTTTTCAAGGTCCTCAAGGCGTTTTTGTAGTTCTTCGCGTGCATCATTCAGCTCTGAGCGCAGAGCTGCATTCTCCTTTTTGAGGTCTACGGAAGTCTTTTCTTGCTCAGACTTTGTAAGCATCGAACTGCCGTCATTAATTTCCATAGATATATTGGTATTGTTGATGGGCAAAACAGCAGTAGTGTACTCATTTCTACTCTTGCTCTCCTCCCCAGTTCTGTTATTTCCCCCCCTTTGTAAACAGTCAGAGTCTTGGGAGATGTGTTCTGAGTCAATGCCTTCTCCTGGCTCTCTGTCAGAGGGGTAGGATGCTGTAATCTCTGCCCTTCTCTTATCCATGTCTTCTTTCCTCTTCCACTCGGCTAGGTTTGCAGTGCTGTGCCCCTTGATTTGAGTTGACGGTTGAGAAGGAAAAGAGTAAGAAGAGGAGAAACTCTGTCCAACAGGACATAACTGGACAGGTTGTAGAACGGGTTCTGGGGCAGATTTATTCTCTAGAGTTGAAAAGGGGACATAAAACAGAAGATTCAAGTTGTTTTTTTAACTACAGACATGAAGAAATAATGTATACTCTTCATGAAAACATGCATTTTGGAAGAGCTTTAACGTCCAGCAGGAGGCAGCACTGAGACAAGCAACTTCTACATTAGGAGTTGGCTAAAATGGCCTGTACTGTCCATCATACATGAAAATGGAAGGAACTTGCACATTAGGGCTCATCCATTTTAATAATTTAAATCCATCTTCTCTTCTGAAATTTGTATGAATAAGCAAAAGGGTGTGGTAATCACAAGGAATCCCCCTGACAACACAGGTCTAAGCCCCCCTTTGACAAGTGTTTGCTCTGCTGTTTTATTTTTCAGTAAGATAATAAATTACTACTTTTGACCTCTGACTTCCCTGTAGAAAAATAAAAGAGAACATCCCTTAACAAGAAGTCTTGTTTAAAAACATATTGCATCAGCTTCACAATTCTTTGTACATGTACATTACTAACAAATCCCACGGATTTGTCCACCTACAGCTCCCTCCTCACCTTGCAGCTCTTTAAGAAGAAGAAGGGTGTCGGCTTGCTCCTCTGCTAGTCTCCTCCCCTTCTCCTCCAGAGCTCGCTCTCTTTTCTTGCTCTGCTCCAGACTCACTGCCACACCCTCTGCCTCGTGTAGCGCTTCCTAACACAAAGATAAAAAATACAAATGAGGAGGATGAATCCAGTCAAATTGTCAGTACTGGCATAATCAGTTCCCTGTTGAATCTTTGATATCTATATCATATCTGTATCATTTTGAGACAGATTTAGACTTTTTGTCTCGTCATTAAACCCTCCACACCAGCCAGAAATGCATTAACCAGATAAACTTCCATGATAAGACATTTGTATATGCATTTACTGAAAGTGTTGAATCACCTTGAATCTTTGTTTGTGCCGAGTGTTTTCAAGATAAGAAACTCTGTATTAACACAGTGTCACAGTAAGAATGAACCACAGACAAATTAGTTGCACACATAAGCTGTAGTATTACAAATGTTACAGACAGGTGAGCTTTTAATGAACGACGACAAATAAACACCTCCACTACAATGTGAAAGTAGGAGGTAAGGGAGGCACTCAATCATCTAAGTAGCTCTGTAAAATGGCATCTAATGGTTCATCTTTATTAAAACATAATGCAGCTGGATGACTGAAAAGGCCAAAATTAACTCATTATTTATTTACACAGTGTATTATCAATATCTTGGACTGGCATATGGCACATTAAGATGCTGTTAAAAATGTATGGAGGTCTTTTTATACTTGCAGCTCATCCAATGAATAATTAACACATTCAGACTCAGGACCATCACTATCATGTGTGTTTCTCTGCCTGTTTGTGTGTGTGTGTGCGTGCGTGTGTACCATCAATTTGGCTTGTGTCTGAGCCTCTCTCTTTTGGCTCTCCTGCAGCTGTCCCTCTGTCCACTTCAGTTTTCCTTTCAAAGCGTCCAGGTCTTTGTCCAACGCTTGCTTCTGTAGAGACAGCTGATGAAAGACATAATGACTCAGCAGTTGCTGGAAAACAGTGGAATTCAATCAAAGAGCATCGGGGGGAAATTGTATTAGCAAAAGTGGAAGGAAAGAGGTAAAAAAAAAAAAACACAGACAGAATAAATAAAGTACGGTAGTTAAACGCGGTTGTTGCAGATTCAAGAATCAAGACCAGTAAAGGGCATGGGAAACAGGAGAGCACACAGGGATCAATAGGGAGTGTAAGCTGTGTCTGATGGATTTTCTGCTTTTTGAGGGACAGTAATGAAGACTCCAGGTAATCAGCTTCCCACCAGTGCTCTGCACATGAAGATCATTACCCTTAAGCTTCCTTTAAATCATGATGGAAGAAGCAACATACAAGTTGATACCACTGAGGGATGAAGCGGGGACTATGCACATTTCTTACTTACAATATATCCTGCAAATAAAGGAGAAACATATTATTTTTGAGTTTTCTGTGACAGCAGAGCTCCTGAAGAGTTCTGTTTTTCTCCATTTTTTGTGAGAATTTATGCAAATGCTCCTTGAGCAGCTGAATGTCTCCTATTTAGCATGCGGTTTGATTCAAGATGAACTGTCCTCTTTTGTGTGTTCACTCATTAGCATTATCAGATAAAACAGGATTACATCTGTGTGGTTTAAAAAAGGGCTCGCCGTAAAATTTTAAGGAAGTCTGTGGCTCATATGAATGTTCATTGTTTAGATTTTTAAAATACATGTTTAAAAGCAAAGGAACTACTGCATTATTCCTTCATATAATGGAGATTCAAAAAGAAAAAACATGACAACACAATGTCTGAGAGCACAAACACACTCCTCTTTCGTTAAGCTCATGCAACATCTCCCATAAAGTATTCCATCTATTTCCACCCTCGTCCCCGTAGTCATGCCTTCACGCCTCTCTTGGTAAGACCTTTTCTCATATAAAAGTTACGAGTTTGTTTTACACTTGCATAACCAAAGCATTCTGCACACGGGCATTACCTTCGCTGCTCAACCTTTCCACTGGGGAGAAACCAAGAGTGGGAGGGAGTGGAGAAGAGAGATGGCGTGAGGGGGGGGGGGGGCATAAACACACAGAGCAAAAGAGTGAAACTGAGAGCCAGAGAAAAAACAACAAAGGCAAGCAGCAAGAGTGAGGAAAAAAGTAGATCATTTTATTAATCTTTGGTACAAATAATAAGTTCCAGGAGGAAGAGAAACAGGGAAAGCAGGAAAGAGAAACAGGAAATAGCTGGATAAACAGAGCAGGTACATGAACCAGAACACAGGCAATAGGAACAGAATATCACATTGGTCCTCAGATCCCTGTGCTAATAGAGATCTAATGTAAGACCTTTTTTATCACTATTATATTACTTTCTTAGCAAATGTAATCAAGTGAACATACACATGAGAAAGCGTGTTTGTATTGTTTAAGTAATACGTGACATCATGTGTGTGTATTTACCTTGTCGGCCTGGGCCTGCAGAGTATTGTGGAGTGTCCTGGCCTGCTGGAGCTCCTGGCTGAGCTTATTCACCTCCTGCTGGTGCTGCTTCTCCAAACACAGCCTCTCCTTCTGTAGCTCCGTCAAATCCTAAGAAACACACACAGGCCAAATTAAACAGAGCCAATACCTGGAACTTAAAAGTTGTAGAAAAAATGTTTGTAGGTAGTGATGCTGATTTTGTCATTTTTGACAATTTAAGATTATTAGTTGTTGTCAGTTATCAATTACACAGTGAATAATCATTTAATCAATCATTGTTCAATCAATCTATTTCTAAGAATGAAATTAAACACACAAAAAACTAAAACTAAGTCTGACCAATGAAATTTCCTCTTTCTCCCTCCAAGAGTTTTCTTTTATTTCAGTCACTATCTCATGTATGCACATCATTCATCCACCCATCTATCTGCTTTCTTACCCTCTGATGTTGTTTCTCCAGCTCCTTAGAGCGTTGTTGTTGTTGTAGTCGGCTGCTCTCTGCATTTTGTCTTTGACACTTCAACTCCTCTTGTAGCTGCTTCAGCCTTTGCTCAGCATTCGACGCCTGTCACACCAAAACACACAAAAACTGCTTTGACTTGACAAAAGAACATTTTCTTTTTCATTATCTTTACTTTCTTAAACTCACATGTGGAACTTGGAAAGAACTGAAAGATTTACTCAAGAGTCAGCTGTGACACACAGTCCATGCAGCTTTAAAATATTTATTTTCTGTACATTTGTATTTAAACATATATGATAGAGTAGAAAGGGACTTCTTGTGACAGAAAAAGGAACATTATATTTTGTGACATCGCTTTTTTCCAATAAACGTTGAGGGGAATTTTTTTTTAGGACATGGTTATAATTGTTGTATGAGTAGTAGCAGTGTGTCTTATTTACACGTTCACTCTCCTGGGCAATGCGTGTGTGAGCCATGCTGAGCTCATCGCGGGCTTTCTGAATGCTCAGCTCCTTGGCACTGAGCTCCTTCTTGCTCTGCATCATTTCATTCTGAATTGACTTCAAAGTGCCGGCCTTCACAGACAGCTCCTGCTCCAGAGCGGACACATGACTCCGCATTTCTGACAAAGATACTGATGGACCAGAAACAAAGACAAACACTAGTTAATTAAATGATTTAAGTATAAGACAAAATCGCAGAAAAACATATTTCATCCATACACAGTTAAGATCATTTCATAAATCAATCATTAAAAAACATTTTTGATGTCGTGGTGACAACAGAAAATCAAGAGGGACACGACATCCTTTATGAAGAATAGTCTATGTATAAAAACACAAGCTGGGAAATTTTTATATATTTTTTTATTTCTAAAAGCACTACGTCAATGGGTTGAAAATATTACTTTATAAATCAAATTTTTTTACAGTTTGCATTACTTTCCACTACTTTTTTTTTAGAATGAAAGGTACCGGTATCATAAATATTTATTTATTGTTAAGGATAAAATCTTTCATCAATTTCAACTATCTAAATATTTTGACCTCTTTGTATCAAGGAATTCAATTCTTCACAGGTACAATGTTGTTGAGTGCTGAAGAGAGACTGGTGGGAGGAAAAACAAATCATTTTTCTTCAGAATGAATATTAAATGATCACCAGGACTACTGTTATTCCTTACAACTGATCACCAACAATCAACAACTCAGCAGCAACTCAGAGTTCAGGTCAATCCATACAGACTCATGTATTGATGACTGCAGCAGCTGCCAGAGGATCACAGGCTGCTGATTTCCAAAGCCAGGGATGAAATCAATTTACTGTCTCTCCAATATGTTGTCCTGTATCATTTACCAGATCCTTTCATTTTAGAACACTGTTCAACTTACTAAGTACAGAGCTGCAACACCAATTTGTTTCACTGCCATGTTTAAAAAAATGTGTTGATGCATGAGCCTACAGCTTTGATCTATGTTTTTTTTTCCATTCACCATTTAGCCCTTTCAGAAGCAAATCAGAATAAAATCCTGCAATATTGGTACCTATGACTTGAATGTGTACAGAGAGAGAGAGAGCGAGTGCAGGGATAACAAATAGCAGACAATGTAAACACTGCAACACCACTCTTATACTGCTGTGACCCTGCAGCTAAAAGAAGCATTTGTTGATTCACATTGAACTTCCCGCTTCTCTTCTGAACAAACACACAGTGGAGGGAAAGAGGAATGTTCTATCACAATTACTAAGTGTACTAAGAGCCACTTTATATCATGGAGTTGGCCTGGGAGCAAGCAGAGGAGTCTCTAACTGAGCCAGTGATTTCTAAACAGAGTCTTATGTAACAACTGTTTTTGAGGTTATACAGAGGACACAATAATCAGGATGGTCGCATTCTTAAATGCTGGTTATGCTTAGGTTGACACTTCATCAGAGGTCAAAATTAACCCTATGACGCCCATATTCTTTGGCATTGTTGCTCAGCTTAAGGTCACAATAACAACAACACATTAAACTAAACATATCTGATTACCTGCCAGTGTATCAAATTTATTGAATAAGAAAATGTTGGTTCAGAGGTGAAGGATAGCTATCTTTTGGTCAAAAAATCCTATTTGAAAGCCCACAACGAACAATTAATTTATTCTATTAACACGTTTTAACAGTGTCAACAACACATAATACAGAATTACTCTAAAACAACATTGCACTGGGAAACATGCAACTTTGTTCTAATAGAATCCTAAACCTACCTACTGTGCCCATGTTCTGACCGTGTACATACTGTACTTTATCAAGCTTTTTGTCCCAATAATGTTATTTTTAGAAATGTAATGAAGATTAGCTCAGAACAAGTGCCCAGCATTATTAAGAAGTAACTGAGCATATAAAAAAAAATAAGAAGCTATTTGTGTCACATTTTTAAAGATTTGTCTTCAGTGGCAGAGGTAAAGCCTTTGGGCTGAGACCTACCAACAGGGTCTAAGAATTAAGTTATAACAAACAATATTTCAATGGGGAATTATTGAAATTTCAGAATTATAAAATACAATAACACCATTTGTTATTTCAGGCCTCCTAAAATCACACTTTGGCTAATGAGCAAATAATGCTAATTCTGACTAGAGTAAGCTGCCCATCTCTCAGTCGAAACAGCTGTGGCAAGATTTTATTGCTGTGACCCCAGAGCTATGAATCATCAACGACGCTGACTTGTGTAAACAGCATCTGGAAAAAGCAGTGTTTTCCCTAATCCTGACCCCCCCCCCCCCCATCAACGCTGGGACAAACATTCAAAATTAAAGGCTGAAGTATGATATTTATGTCTCACAATGGAGGACAATTACAGTTAAATGGACAACACCACTGAGAACTTATTTGTTTGGTTCAGCTTTGCATGACTATGCTGTGCCCAGGTCTGACTTTGTTCAGTTTTCCAGACAGCAACTTGATTAATCTTAAAAAAGGCAACATCAAGACGTGCCATATAACCACGGTTACCATTTGACATCCATACTCACTGTCTGTCTCTGCTCTGTGATCCCTCTCCTTCCCACAAGCCCTCTGCTCCGACTGGCCCTGACTAACAACATCAACATAGGGTGTCTGGGGAGAGGATGGGGATCGTCTCTTGGCTACTGGCCCTGAGTCATTCCGTTCCCACGGAAACACAGCCATGGGAGTTGAGAAGGTTTCTGATTGGTCGGCCGAGTGGCGGTGGGGTGTGTTCGTGTGTTGCTGTCGTGATAATGGGACTGTGGCCGCTTCTGAGAACTGGAGTCTTTGCTAAAGGGAGGAGACGTTGATTAGATATAGAGACAAAGGAGGGTGGAAGCCTGTCAGACTACAAAATTTATAAACAACAGGGCTTCGGTGTTAAAGCTCTTTCACTTGGACTACAACAGTTTGTAAACATTTAGAAAGCATGGAAGTCAAAGATTAGGTTTATAGTAGGAAGTAAATATTTCAAGCGTATTCAAAATGAGCCACATGGTTTCAATGGGTAAAGTGTTGCTTTATTACAGCGATCACTGGAGATGCAGTTTGCTTTAAGTTGAACTCAAATACACAGTTCAGTTCAAAAATAGAGAACTTCAGCTCAAAGTTAATACTCAGCATAAAATGATTCTTGTACTTACTCGGATGTTAGGCGCCCAGCTCTGTCCTTCATCTCGAAGCCCTGACTTCTCCTCCTTTCTGCTACCTACAGGGTAACAACACAACATGTTGATTGGACTTAAGACATGGAACCAATGCTGATCAGAATCAAAAGCATCTAAGAAGCCAAACGGTTTACTGATCAGAGAGGAAAGAGAACAACAGTCTCCAGAGAGTAAAGGGACAGGAGGGCAAGGAACTGAGGGACTTTATTTATAGCCTCTCTTAATGGGAAACACTGCTCTTAACTCAAATGAAGCCTTGCACAATAAAGTACTCAATGAAAAGATACAAGATTAGAAATAAAGGAAAGTCAAAAAGTTAGAGGACTGTACCATTTTGTTCCCAGGGTGAGGTTGTGTTCCAGCAGGGTGTAGAGAACAGAGTGGTATCTGCTGACCTGCTGCTGTTCTGCAGCTTCTCCAGCTCTGCCTCCAGCCTGCCAAACAGGCAACAGAGACAGTTGAAGGAGGCACAGAGGAAAGAGTATATTGTGGGTACGAAATCCTGCAAAGCTCAGGCAGAAAACGATGATCCAAAGAAACAGAATAGAGATATAACTTCGACATTTTATTCTGACATAGCTGCTTCTGTTAAATAAAGTAGCACTTCATTAGGGCTGTCACACTCGCAGAAATCTCCTGAAAAACTCAGGATATTTCCTGGAGGACTTGAGATTGTGAATGCAAAAAGCCACATTTTTCTCTCGGACTTCACCCTGAGTGTCTCCTACCAGACCCCGAGTATTTTTTGCATCACGTTTTCTGTTTGCAAGTATGTTGTTCTCCGCCCTTTTGTTGGTGTTGTCATTGCGTTGAACTACACGTACCATTGATATAAAGGCAAATATTGTCATTATAGCGTCGTGTACCGGACTTTGTTCGCTTCGTCCACTACTTCGTGTTGTTTTTTTTATGTCACATCTTACCTCAGGAGATTCACTGCATGTGTATGATCTGTCAAACGTGACTTAAAATTTGTTTTCTATTTAGTGCTTGTTGATGTTGTATATGTCTTCAAGAATCAGTTCTTTCTGTCAGTCTTTTTTGTTACAATTTTCCAAATTAGCTCAGTAATTTCCAGACAAGAAACATTCAAAATGAAGCAACAAACCTTTTGACTTCCTGGGTGAGTTTGTTGTTGAGGGTTCGAGAAGCATCTATCTGGCCCTCAAAAGAGCATATTTGGCCTGCTTGGTCTGAAGCTCCTGGGTCAGACGCTCCTTAATGATCACTTCTGCTTTGGCCTCATCTCGAACACTCTGGAGCTCTCTGTGCACAGACTGGAGCTCCCCACGCACCTCCTCGTACTGGGCAGCAGAGTGGAGGCAAAGAGGGAAAAAAAAGACACATCATAAATGGCTGACTATTTATGTCATTTATAGGTGTTATAGCCTTAAAATGCTCATACCTTCACAGTCTGTTTTTCGAGACTAGTGTTAACATTGTCCAGCTGCAGCTGTTTCTGCTTGTAATCTCTCGATAGTCGCTCCTGATGGACCTGCAGCTCCTTCACCTTTTGCAGAACTCGCCCTGACAGCCCCACCGTCCAGTCCTCCTCAGCCCAGCTCATTTCTGTCAGCCTTGGCCTACCAGGAACATAAAAAAAAAAACATGAGCACAAAATCAGAAACAACTTAATTTTTTCATCTGCTATACTGTTTTTTCCCCTGCATTTCTAGAAAAGCTCGAGGAAACATTTTCTTTTCATTCTAAAAGGCAACTTTTGAGAAAATGGCTGACTGTTTTTGGCATCAGTGAATAAATGTGCAAGCTGACTTGTCCCATTCCTGCTCCAATAGATCCAATGTCACACAATTCTTGGAGTCACAGGAATCAGGAGCTGCAATGCTGAGTGAAGGATACAGCAACAAACACATTCTGAAAACAAAAAGGTATTACAGTCCTGTTACATAAGGTAGAGGTAGTTCTATATCAACTTGTGTTATGACAGAGAACCCAAGCAAAAAAACACTTGTATCTAAACATGTTTCAATCATCTGCAGCCACCAGCTGTGTGTCCTGTGCTTGTATATGTTGTGTTGCTAAGGTTTTGATTCCTCCGGGGGATGCTGGTTGTCACCGCTGGGCAGCTGTGACTCAATGTTTTCCTACACAGAAGGCCTACTTTGAGCAATTCAAAAAAAATGATTCCCTTCTCTCTGTAAACTTCTGCAACTAGAGTGGACATATAACATTTGCAAAGCACTTGTGCAGTAAGTGTTTTAAAGTAAATCTATAAACACTGTATTTGTTGAAATCCTGCATACATGCATTACCACCAACAAACACATCCACACGCAAAAAAAACAGAAGTAAAAGTGAGAGTGTCGAAATGAAGAAAAACATGATCGAAAGATAACCTGCCGAGATTGACTCTGAACTCAGTTTTGACATGCACTTTAGCCTTCAGGCTTTTAACACTAGTCGAGTTTCTGTTACAGCTCACAGGTTGTGTCACTGTTTGCCTCTCCCTGAAAACAAAAGATTAGCACACATACTTCACTGAGATAACATGTGGAAGCGTAATATGCAACTCAAATAAATCCTAGAGTGGCTCACTATGAAGGAGGTACAGTATTACTTCTGTCGTGACTTCATCCAAGTGAGTGTTTGGAGAACACAACGCTGGTTAAATTAGGACAAAGCCTCTTTACACATGAGTGGGGAAATGTATTTAATATCTGAACACACGCAGTAGAACATAGCAAAATGGATAAGTCAATTATACAGAAATACATTGAAACGTTTGTTACTAAGAAGCAGACAAAGAAGAGGGTCCCATTAAACTTCCAACCACAATAATCATATCATAAAGACAACAGCTGCATGCCATTGTTAAGGATTCCTACGTCAATGAATCAAATAATAAAACAGCATGTCCATTCTAGTTCTATCTACATAACCCTGTTTACTTCATAAATACAGAAAATAATCTTTCTTGTATCATATCTTTGCTTTAATACAGTGTGTAACTTCTGTAGTTTATTTTAAATCACTACAACTTGTTTATTTTTACTTTTCTTTTTCTTACAATGCTATTCTATTTTATATATAATTTTAACTTTTTTTTTTTGTAGAAGCTGACTCAGGGAGAAACGCACAATAATTCCAATGTACCTGCACTGTCCTGTACCTGTGCAAATGGCAATGAACATCTACTCTATTAAAACATCACAACAATAAGAAACTAGCTTTTGCCTCATTTTTAGTCTTTAGATTTGTTGGTGTATAATTGCCACACACGTGGAAAAATAATTCATTAACTTGTCTCATCTTGTAAAAAAAACAAAAACAAAAACAAACTTCAAATAAGAAACCTTGTTATTAAAGTCCATGAAGTAAAACAGGTTAGTTTAGTAGGAGGACAACAGGACATCCAGGAGCTGGACACCCGGCCTGCGCTATCACCAGTAGTCACGAGGTTCAAGCAGAGCTGACAACTTCCAAAGAGCAAAACAAAATGTCATAAATGTCCGCCGTGAACCCTCAAAGTGAGCGAGTCCGCACCAATGAGACAAACTTTTCTTCCGCTTTGTTTTTGCCTGCATCCGCGGCCAGTGACTGCCAACTCCACCAATAGCACTGATGCTACAAAGCTAACCCCACAATAAAAGAGACTCACCAACCATTCACTGTCAAGAGTTTCTAAAAGGTGCCCAGGCGGGGGGGGGGGAGGCTCTCACGCAGCAGCTGCGGCGCTGATACCGGTGTTTAACAGTGCAGTCTCCGGTTCTTTTACCGGGGTTGATAATCGTTTTGAACAGAACATGTCAGTGACAGGTTCTTCACCGAAACGATACGGCCGCGCGTCTCGTGCAGCTGACAAGCCGACAAAGGCACAGTCGGTGTGGCACGAGGCGGAGCAGCGGCAAGTGACGTAGCAGGGGAATGTTTTGGGAAAAATCCACGAGGCGACGTGAACCTGTGATGACCTCTAGCGACGAAACACATCATCACAAACACAGCATTCTGTCTCAGTGAAAGTACTGAACCTGCTACACATATAATATGTCATGCCGACTGTGTGCATGTTACGAATTTATTGAACACGTGTCTGGAAAGTTTAATAGAGTGATTTTTGACACAGAACAAGTTGGATTTTTATTTTTTATTTTTATTTTTTTATTTTTATAACAGACAGCTCAATCGGTGGTCCAAGGTGAGTGACAATTTGTTAAATGGACGTTTTAAAAACATTTTTTTACCATGCCAGGCGCAACTTTCTAGAGGTTAATTACTATTGTTTGTTTGTCAAATATCCTTAAATGTATGTTGTATTTGAATTTGCCTCGGGATCAATAAAGTATCTATCTATTTATCTATCTATCTATCTATCCATCTATCTATTCATCTATCTATCTATCTATCTATCTATCTATCTATCTATATTAAATTGCTTATTACAAAACCTTCTTACAGGAATTTAACTCTTTAAATGCCAGAATCATGTAATCAAACTTTCATTTAAAGGGTTAAATTCCTGATGATTATTCAGTATTTGATAGTTTTGAGCAGGGCTGGAGTTGTTAATGCTTTTATGAGATTAATGCGAAGAAAAGTAGAAAAAAATATTAATCTGTTCTATTTTTATAGCAGTTATTGGAAATTGACTTTTTTTTTTCCTCCAATGTCCAAACAGGGGACTACATTTTAAATCTGATGCTACACAAACTCAAACAATGCATCAGAGTCAATATTTTGGCATTTGTGTTTTTATTTCATAAATAACAACAGTGACATCAAGTAATCAAGCTGGCATTTAAAGGGTTAAATTCCTTAAAATGATTGAATGTTTGGTGGGTTTGAGCAGGGCTGAAGTTGTTTAAGAGATGTAAGCAGAAAAAAGTAGGAAAAAAATATCAATCTGTTCTATTTTTATAGCAGTTTTTTGGAAGTGGACATTTTTGTCCTTAGTGACTTAATAGGTAGTAAATTAAACTGATGCCTTGTTTTTTATTCCAATGATTGTTTTTATTGTTACAAATTCTTATGAAGACCTCTTTACTCCTGACTTGGGCCAAATCTGTTTATCTGTATTCATATCCTCCTTGACCCCTCTAAAGCATTCGACACAATATCCAACACCTTTATCCTGAACCGCTTATCTGATTACTTTGGCCTCAGTAATGCAGCTCTGTTCTGGATCTAGTCATCATATTGCCTCGGAAAGAAACCTTTTGTCTGTGTCATAAACTTCAGTTCAAGCCCAACTCCAGTCAACCAGTTTGTAGGTCTACCTCAAGGCTATGCGTGTACCTCTCCTCTTAACTATGTACATGCTCCTGCTTTGACCTAAGCTTGCAATGATATGCAGATCTATCTCAACGGCAAACCATCCACTCGGCTCCCCCCACAATGTCCTATCAACTTCCTGCACAAGATAAAAATCTTGATGTCATGTTACTCAAGCTCAATAGCAATAAAAACTGACTTCATGGAAGTGGTCGGTTTCTCAGATTCAATATTTACAGTAACAAAAACCTATTCCTGTTCAGTTACAGTTGTATCAGCATCCACTGTAGCCACCTGTAATTAGATTATAACAGTCATAACAACGTTCCAGGTAGGCTCTGGATTTGAATATAATCTGGGATTTGTTGCCTCAGTGCTGAGTGTTGTGGAAACCCAGAAACTTCCCTGCAGTTACCTTATATATAATACCATGTGCTATCTAGTTGGACAGACGCAGATGGTATAATTGTGGGCAAGAAGGATTATATGTGCAGTTATGCAATCTGAGTGAAATATTTGCCAACACAGTCTGGTAATTGCTGATGTGCCTGTAGGATTATTGTCTGTGAAATGAGGGGAGTGCACTGTAATTTTCATGGACAGTGCCTGGTGTTAAAAACAGTAAGTATGCTATTTTAAGGTTCTCAACTACATAGGACGCGAGGGAAAGACACTGTGGGAGTGGCTTCATAAAAGACAGTGTCCAGTCTGATTGTGCCTATGAGCTGAGAACAGTTTTATTCATTTGATTGAAGCATTAAAATTAGATAAAACAGGGACACCTGTTCATAAAAGTCAGGTAATTAGCCATTCACACCATATCATTATGTAAACACCCCACCTGAATTCTGTTTCACACATTCATCACACACTCCTGCCCTATACACTCATGTGAGGTAAGCTCTTCTCGTCACTTGCTCTTTATTAATACAGGATTATATTTATACTCAATCCCAAACTCACACACACACATACACACTCCTTCTCCTCACAGTAGTGCAGTGCCTGTCTGCCAGGGACCTTGACAGGTAGCAAGGCAGTCAGGTATCTAGAGTTGGAGGAGTTTCATCTTTCATGGAGGTCTGCTCTTCACCTGGCTGTTAACAGAGGCTTCACCAGTCAACAGTTGGGTTTCTGTCAGGAAAGGAAATTTCTTGAAGGTAAGAAATCCATCAAATTTATATGATAACATTTAGAACAATAAAGTAACAATGGATATCAGTCTTATTGAGATAAATTGCTTTGTATTCATATATCATAGCAGTTTTATGGGGTTAATTGGTGTTCTAAAAACCTATTATAATTCATATTTTACTTGAAAAGACGTCACCATGTTCTGATTTGTTTGGCATGAAGGTTTTAAAGACTCTCAAAGGTTTCTCTCAGAGTATGAAAGCTCAAATTCTCAAAGAAACAAGTTAATACTGATTAAATTCCTACATTTGATAGTATATAGATTCAAAGTAAGAAACTTTCTTCCTCAGACCGACTGCTAAAGAGAGTCTTGAACAAGTCTAAAGGTCTTTCTGATCGAATACATTTTGAAAACAATACCTGACAGGTTCAATGAATGCACCAGCCGCTCCTAAAGGATATTGTTTTTATTTTTGTTCATCAAACGATGATATTACTCTTCAACCAGTATGTCTGCCTTTCCCAGATGTTCCCTTGGTCTGCTGTTTTCTCTCTTGAGCCTAAAGTCCCGGGCCAGCGTAGCAGTGAAGAATTAGTCACAAACACTTTAATGTTGGAGTTGGGGGCCATGGTGAAGCGCACTGAACGCATACGTCTGGAGAGGGCCACAGAAGGTCGCCGTCGCCGTCGCAGCTCCTCCTCCACGGCCGACTACAGCTGGCTAGTCAAAACCCCCAACCCACAGCCCTACCAGCTGACACCCAACGACCTGCTGGAACTGCAGGACCTCTGTGCCAAGATCCCTCCGGCACAGTGTGGCCCTGTGATCGTCAGGTGAGAGAGACTGAGACAAAGTTGTTGAAAGAGAGAGGTGTCACTGAAATGGTAGTTGTGACAGACAAAGACTACAAAACCCAAGCAGAAACATGAAACAAAAAAAATGAAAAACAGAAGAGGGGGTTTCAACTCAACTCTTTAAAACTTTTACCTGTGCCTGGCAAGTGAGTTCATACCCTTGGATCCTTATTCTTTCTCTAGGAGACTACATTCATGACATCTCAAAAAGTAAATGTTCATAACAACTAAACTTATTCTTATAACACAAGTGTAATGAAAAAAAAAAAGGCTGGCTCAGTTTTAGGCAGGTGTAAGGACTCACTGAGGATTGAGTTGGAGAGATGCGTGCAAAAGAAAGGACATAATATATTGGACAATGGTAGTCATCCTCTTCATGACATCATGGCAGGTCAGAGAAGTAGCTGCAGTGGACGGCTAATTTCACTGCGCTGCTGTTCAGAAAAATCCTCCTTTTAACACACAGGCCAATGGTAGCAGCTCATGATTGAAGCTGTTGGTGGAACGTCATTTGTTTTAGTTGATTTTGTTTCTAAAAGACAAGGATCATCATTGAAGCAGAGCCATGGTAGTCTTGTATTGGTTTCTCCACCCTCTTGTGCAACCTGAGTCTGTACTCTACAAGGGCAGAGCTAGGACCATGTAAAATGTGTGCACTTCCCACTTGATGTTTGGGTCTTTTTAGGCATCTTAGGTTGTTTCTGTTTTATTTTGGTTCAGCAGTGAGAGCAGAGCTATTACTCTGTCAATATGTGTATTGCTGTGGATCACTTTGTCCCTAATAATTGGTTATCTCCCAACTGCAGGTTCAGGAGGTCGGTGTCGCAGATGGAGCCTGAGGTCCACGAGGTTCCCCGACTGTTTCGCTCAGTGTTACGCGAGTGTGTGGATGAGGTGAACGGAAACGATGAAGAGCAGACAGAAGACACTATCTTCGAAAAGCAGCAGCGCAGCAAGAGCCTTTCTTTCATTACTTTCCGCACCAAGTTCCGCACGGGGCAATTCTTCAAGGGCAGCGGCATGAGAGGCTCCAGGGGGAATCTGCAGCAGGAGGTGGACTGGTCAGACGAGGAGGAGGAGGATGAAGAAGGGGAAGAGGAGGCCATTAAGGCCAGGGCAAGGAAGGGAAGAAGCAAGAGCATGCCAGAGATTAGCCCTATGGAGCAGAGTGCCCAGGGCTGAGAGAAGGGAGGCAGAAAGTCAGTGGAGACAATGCAGAGAGGATGGTGTGAGGGAGAGGTGGAGCACCTGTACAGGGGTTTATTTTTTTGGGGGGGGGAGGGGATGAAAAGGGAAGGCAAGATCCGAATAGAAAACTAATAAAGGGCAGAAGAGAAAAACAATTCCATTTCAAGGAAGGAGGGGAGTGGCATTCAGTAAAATGAGAGAATAAAACATTTCTTTTAATGACAAATAAAAAAGCCTAAAGAGTTGGTTTCGAAGTGATCCTTTGGCTCTCTACGAACCGATTTTCTTCAATCAGTCATGCAAGAGTTTTGGTTTTGATTTTAGCTACATTCAAACCCATCTGATGTGCTATGTTGTTGTGAGAAAATTCATTACGAGACATGCTCTATGGTCATCAATGTCCCATGGCTGGAACAAAGTGATTGACCCACCAACCCATCAAAACCATCCTACCTGCAGACTTTCTACCAAGGTTAGAAACTCTTAAAAATACTTTGTGTTCAACAGATCCTGATGTTCACAGGATCACCCTTTAAAAACATGTTGTGCTATAGAAAAGACACCTGTCCTTTGCAGAAGATAATGGGGAAGTTTACTGGTCCATATGCAGGAGTTTGACTTCAGGTCACCTGCTCATTAAGCTGTACTTCAGCCATCAAGCAAATCTTAGCAGGCAGGATATAACTGGAATATCATAATCTACTGTTTACAGCGGATACAAGTATTTGGATGGAGTACAATGTTTTTTTTCTCTTCTTTAAGGCTAAAACAAAGTTATCTTTAATGTATTATTCAAGTCTATTATACCTTGAGGCATTTCAACAAAATGTGTCGCTTTATCAATAAATGACAAAATAAAATAAATTCTCTGTTGACTAGCCTTAGCCTTTAGCCTAGCATGGCTGATTATATCACTGACTAATCCTCTTATCCCAAGAAAATCTCCCCCTTGAATGTCAGTACCCCATTGTTATTTTATTATGCACTTTCTTATCAATACATCATTATCACTATTTGCACTTTATACATTAAAGTCAAGGCATTTGGCTGAAAGAAAAACAGACACGGAACAAATAGGGAAAATGTTGTCTTTCTTCTCAAAAATCTGTGGTCATTAAAATAACATCTGGTAAAGTGGATAGATGAAGAGGGGGTTAAGCAGCTACAACAAAAACAAAAACCAGACACTTCCAGGGAATCTGGCTGATTTGAGTCACTTTATAAGTGAGAATTCCCAACCAGCCTAACCCCTTCATTAGCACCGATGTCAACCTGGAGCCTGTTCAGATACTTGACTCGAATGCTGAGTTCTTTCCACCAAACTCAGTGTTTACACTTGCCTTACCCATTCAACTGGCCCAAACAGCTGACAACCCAACAGTTTGATTTAAAACAGTGTTGTTATATAAATTATTATCAACAGTTTTTACAGATCATGCCTGAATTATTTCTGCACTGTTCTCTCATCAGCTGGCAGAAACAGCCTTCCTGTAATGCTGGACCACAATCAGTGTTTTCTCTTTGAGTCACAGTTCTTTAAAAAGGTACCCATTTGGCAAATAAACTTTTGAAGAAAAAAAAATATATATCTGAATACAAAAAGACTTCACATTATGACTAAATGGTGGGGTGTGAAGAAGTGTTGATGAACACGTGACGCAGTCATGCTCTTCAATAAAAAGCAAAGAAGCAAAAGGAGAAGATATTCCAGCTCAGATGTTTGGCCTTGAAATAATAACAATATGTATAATAATGCATGACTTGTGGTAAATGGGTTGAACAGAAAAAGGAAAATCTAAATTAAAAAGACAGTTTGCAGAATCAAACCATTAAATTATAGCCATTTGGATTAAATGTTTATGAATAATTGGTCAAAGTACAATACAGAGCAGGTTTTCGCTCTCTCTATACAAAGTGGGGACTTCAGATAATTTACTCTTTCATTTGAACTGAGTTCGACATCTTCATTCTTCACTGAAGAGTCGAGTTTAGATTAACAGTCTGTGGCTTAGGATCAACCGAAGAGTCTCAATTACTCAAATAGTCCCCATCAAACTGTCGCTTTGACAGAGGAGTCTCCTTCAAATATGTTGTCTGGTCCAGCTTCAGCTTAAACTCCGCTCACTCAATGTGCTCTCTCCCCTCCTTTAAGTCACTCTCTTTTGCTTTAAGCGAAGAAGACAACAAAGACGATGAAGAAGATGATCAGGACGAGAAAGATCTTGATCATCAACCAGCGGTTGGAGGAGACTGACTGAAAGTATTTGAGGATCTCTGTGTGGGCAGCTTCCACGTTGAGCTGGGTGTCCTCCACGTTAGCATCAATCCTGTGAGAGAAGACAGCAAGCAGTTCAGTGAGACTTTCAAATGAATGATTATATGTTACCTAAAATCAATGTTCTATCAGGTTTGCCAACAGGACAAAAAATATCAATAGCCTTACTTGTTTGTAATGCAAATAAATATAAGCAGAGCCATTTATCTTAGTGAAGCAAAGAACTCTGAACTGAACAAAACAGCTAACTTTAACAAAAACTCCAGCATCTCTGAAGCTCACTGTTGAACATAATATAATTAGTTTGTTTGATCAATGTAAGTTGTTCTTTTCGTTTGAGAACAGTTTTCTGGTAAAAACCAAAACCTTCCTGGAGTACATGCAGCAACCTGTAAGTGATGATAGTACAATTAGCAGTTACTACGCCTGCTCCTTTCAGCACAAACTCGCCAAAAAACACAACTTTTTTGGTTTTTCTACATTACGTTTTTGTTCCAACAACAAACACACAGACTGGTGAGCTGATAAAGTGCAGGGAAGCAAAGTTGCAATGTAGGCTGCTCCCCTTCCTTTTCAGTCTTTGAGTTCATCCAAGCTTGCCCAACTTGAGGTTTATATTTACCACATATAGATGAGAGCACAACAGCCTCTCTTCTTACTCTCCAGAAGCAAATCTACTAGCACATCTCTCTCTTTGTTTCTAAGAGAGAGCTCTATGTCCTTCTCCCTACTATCTCTCCACTTCTAGCTTTCTCTTACCTCTGGATGGTCTCCTCTTGCTCCTTGACCATGTGTGCCAGCTGCTGGAATATAGAGCCCAGTTCAACGATGGTGCTCTCAATATTCTGCATGGTGTCTGCCCGGCTCTGGATATAGGAATCCTGCGATGGCACAACCAGCAAGGTTTTAAAAAAGGCAAACATTAGACCATATAAATGCACAGTTTATCTAATCCATCATTTTCACTATGAGAAGACTGAATATTTTCAAATGACTTTAAAAATTAACAATAACTATTTTTCCTGCAAGATTTTGTGCTTGGGATTTAAAAGGTACACTTTCTATTTGCCTAACTGAAACATTGACTACTATAGTCTACCTGCTCATCAATAAGCTGGAGTTGCATCGGATTGGTCTGAGATTCCACATTGATGGCTACGTCCCCCATACTCCTGTATTCATCCTGCATCAGGACGGAGCTCTCTGAAGGGAGACAACAAGCAAAAGACAAACACACACACATGTTCAACAAGATCAGACAAGAGATCCTCAATGGAAGAGGGGAAAAGCAAAAAGACCAGCGGGCACATACAGTAGCTGGTAATACCCGCTGGGAGATTCAAACGTTCCAGGGAAATACCTTTTAAATTTGAGGTTGTATTGCCCTGGTAGTCATAGCGCTGCTCGCGAGCTGCATGCGGCTCCTGGGCCCCTTTTTTGCGGCTCCCTAAAATATTTTTTAATTTTTGCATTATAGATGACCAAATACAGTAATAATCATTCACAAGGAGTTTGAGCAGTTCACTATGACAACAGCTATTTGAAAGTACACTGCCAGCCTAAATGTTTCTGTTCATCAATGGCATTATCAGCATTGTGTGCATTAGAATAACTTATAATAAGGAAATACAAACTCACACACAATAGCCTTTGGTTTTATCAGTAAAGCTTTAAAAGTCTTTCTCTTCTTTTTTGCATGAGCAAACTTGCAACCATAAAAATTCCAAAGATGCAAGAAAGACGCCATTAATGCAAACACTGATCATTAATCAATGATTTGTACATCATCACAGGCAGATCCACTGGAATGCTCAACCAGGAGAATTATACTGCATGTTGTGTGCTGTTGAAGAAGCCTCAATATTTTACATGAATAAGAATTAATGACTTCTTCAATAAGATAATAGTTATTTCCCATGTATGATACTCACACATGACCTTGATTAGGACATTTTATTGTAGGATATCATTAGAGTTCACATCAATATACATTCGCTAAGTGTTTGTGATTTGATGGTTGTAAACATTTTACTGGCAGTGTAAACGCACAGGAAGCATCACAGCTCCCTCTGCTATTAAGAGGGTCTCTGGTAAAGTGACCTGTTTAGTAATTTTTTTTCTCCGCAAAATGGTAAAGAGAAACAGAGCCAGACAAGCTGAGTAGTACCTCCTCAAAGCCAGCACAAAGAGACAGTTAAAGGTGTGTTTACTCTATAATGCTTCCTGAAAATACCAGATAAAAATGTTCATGTTGGGCTAATAGAAAACCCCCAGTTAAGTTTAGATGATTAACTGATTTCTAAAACTGGGAAACGTTTTAATCTGGAGATGATCAGGATATAATCTCAGAGTGGAGATATCCTGCATGTCATTTAAACAAACAGTTTAAGTGACATACCACAGGAAACTATTTTGGCGTTGAGTGTTGAATGCAAAACGTCTTTTTGTTGGTTCTTACAAACAGTATCCATAGAGTGAACACACCTGTATGAAGCCATGACAGCATGCTGTGGTTGCCTGTTGGTTACTTTAACACAAGATCCTTGTAAATCCACTGTGAGCTGTACTAGCGAGAAGCAGTGGTGTGGGTAAACTTACTGAAGTTGTTGGCCATCAGTTGAGAAGACTGGGCAGGAGGCTGGGAAAACTGCTCTCTCTTGCTTCGCTGCTGCTTCAGGTTCTGCAGACAAAACGGGATAAACACGGGAGAATATTGAGACCTGTATGCCCCGTTTTAAAAGCTTTTGAAAGTCAAGTCACTATTTTCTGCCCTTGCATTGAAGAGTATTACAAACACTTCTCACCTCTGTTCTGACTTCTAGGACCGATTTGAAGTCGTTGGACATTGAAGCCAGTTTGGACTGAAGCCAGCAGAAGATACAGAAAAGTTAAACAAAGTGCAACATAACTCAGCTACATACAATTGAGAGACTAAGAATTGTGTAAAGCTTTTAAATGTTCAATACTATGAGAAACAAAATGACCAACATTAAAGTACAAATTATTTCTATTCTATTAAAATATCACACTTAACTCTACCTTCCTGCACAAAACAATTCCATACCTTGTTGATGATAAAAAAAAATCTTAAATTTAAATGTTTCTTTCATGTATTCTTCTTTTTAAGACAACTTAAAGATTCTTGTCCATACTGTCAAAAATACAGGCCATATAATAATAACGTAAAGATGACTAGTATTTACAGAGATCCCTGCACCTGTTCTATGCACATATACAACAGAGTATGAATCAGACCATATAGAATATACCTGCAAAGACACTACTATAGTGTTAGAATGGGTTTGGATATGCCGTCCACCTGGAGCTCCACGAGACCGAACCAAATCCTGCAACTGTGCAATTTGTTTGTTTAGACTGTTGATGTCCTGTAAACACAAAAACAGGAGAAGTAGGTAAACAGGTTATTTATTTATTTCAATTAACTTGAATGTTACATGGATACACATTACAGCTCTGTTCATTAGTAATACTGAGAATCTGAAGCATGCTTATTATGACCTTACCTGTTTAATGATATAAGTTAGCTCCTCAATCTCCACTGCCTTGTCGTCAAATAGAGATTTTCTTTTTGCCACTGAAACGTAAAAATCAAAACATTTGAAATCAAAATTTTAAAACAGTGAGATCTATTTAAATTATGCTTTAGTACCGTTAAAGGAACACTTACAAATAGTGAGCTTTTCCAGTTTGGCAAATGTATTGCTCAGGTCTTTTCCAATTCTCCTACGGGGAAATAGGCGAGAATTTAGCAGCCTTTCTCATGCACTTGCACAGAATTTTCCTCATGCTAGCCAAATATGCTGAAATCAGTATACATTAAAAACATCTTGTATGTTCCCTTATTTACCATTTAAAGAAAGATACACAATTGCAACAAGGATGTCTTGTATAAAAAAAAACTCTTAATCAGCTAATTTGAGAAATAAAACCAACACAACTAGCACATTCAGCAAATATTTATAAGACTATAAGGAACTTACTTGGCCATAACTGTAAAGTCACTGCGCTGCCTGAGGGCGTTAAGAGCCGGCTTACTGGGCGGGACTCCATTCTGGCAGAGAGGTAAAAGTAAAGAGCAGGAGATCCATTTAAAATAAGAGGCTTATGGATTACTTTAAAAATAACTCTTCAGAATACTTTTATTCTACATAACTCCTGTTATTATGATGTCTTAAATAAAAACATATTTTTTCTGATCATATTATAATAATGGCATTATGAGCCAATGGTCAAACTAAGTAACTAACCGTCTACATTCTATATTAATGGGGTCCCCATGAGGACTGGAAACTTGTGATGAATCTGATGTTGGATTTGTGATTCCAATATCAATGATGGCATTTCAGGGATGAAACATTAAACTGCTAAAACTGAATATATTATCACTGTTTCACCAAAACAAACAGCATGGATAAGGATCCATTAGATCTTCCATATGTCGTCACAATTTGTCCTGTGTGAGACCTCTGAACGTTAAAAATATTGTGTTTCCTGATGATCTTGTAGACAAACTGTACAAAGCGTTATCAGGCTTGTCTTGAGCAATTCGTGTGCTTACCTTACATCGGCGACACAGTATGTCGTTAATAACAGTATTGGGCAAAACACTGGCATGGCATTTTTAAAGGGGACATTTTGTCACCAGTTGATGGTAACATGCAACTAAACAAAGCTAAATGAAAACACTAGATCACTTAATTGTGCTTCACTTGAGATGTAAGCCGCAACAAGGATTTAGTTAATGTTATTTGCATTTAGAAATGAACCAATGCTGTGATCACAGTATCACAACGCCAAAACTTGACAGAGCCAGGAGGGAAACAAAAACAAAAAAAGCAGAACCAACTCTTACAAAAGGGCCTACACAACATTGAAGTTAAGTTGTAAATGTGTCTGCTATTAAGTTGGAGCAAATGCCAGATATGAGTGTGATTATTGATCTTGTTTTTAAAATGTTGTGATGCCAGGTTCTCTGTGTCAACATACCGGCCTGCCCTGGAGAGATTTACAGGCTGACTGGAACTCGAGGGTCCGGTCACGACACGTCATCCTGCCGCTGGTAAAAAAACGTCACCAGACCAGAAAATCAGAGGGACGTACTGAAGTCCTTCACTTTGGGTCCGTGGGATGGATTAACAAGAAGACCTCACATCCAAGGTGGGGTACCCTTCATAGGCATTTGTACACACATGTCTACAGTGAGGGGGGGGGGAATGTGTCAAAACAAACGTTAGACCCGTATACAGACAGCTTGAACTATAACAGATTGAAAACACACGTTAATTTGATCACGTTAGTTGAGTTCAGCGGTGAAAGGACAGTCGGTGGCTAACATCACGGTTCTCCGACGTAAACACCACGGAGGAGGTCGACTGAACCACGGACGATTCACAGCAAATAAGTCACAGTTTCAACTCACAAGTGTACATCAAGGGAGCTTAATGTCCGTACTGTTAGGTAATAATACATATCTGAAGTCCGGATTCCGCTTCGTGTGTACAGGCCACCCATCGCGACAGACAGCTGATCACGGCCTGAACCGGCTAACCGAAAGCTAACTTTAGCTACAGAAAGCTAACCGGGCTTTTCAATACGCTCTATCTTACCTTCATTTGTGCAAATTCGACATTAACCAACCTCGTAACGTTAAATTGTGTTTCAAGGAAGAAAAAAAATACTTACTCAAATCTATATTACATGGTATTTGAAGAGCTCTCGGTGTTTCTGGTGAAAACTAATCAACCCAGGAGTTTTAGGTCCGATCCGGGTCATTTCCGGCAGTGACGTCACTGCCACGTCTACTTCACAGTGGTGGAAAGTCCCCGCAGGCATAGCGCGCCACCACCAGGGGTCACCATATGTCATATACAGTTTATAAAGAATTCATTTATTTAATATTATTCAGAGTAGGAAAATAAATCACAAACCACTAGAATGTATTAATGATAACACAATGAAATAAAACAGCAACGTTTTAACTATATAATTTTGAGATTCCCATAAAGTAATATAATAATATAATATATAATAATGTTATTATATTATACTGCATTATATTATATAACTGCACTCTGCGTTACTGTGGTACAACACTGCCTCGCTTCTCTGCTGTTTACATTACTTGCTGCTATTTTATCATACCAAGTCACTTTAATCGCTTGTCACTTTATCTTGTCGTTCTCTGCAAATACTGTCTCAATTCCCCGCAGTTAACTTCATCATTCATTTTGTACTGTGTATATACCCCCTGTTTTTATTTTTATTTTTATTTATCTTATCTATTTTGTTTAATGTGTATTTTTGAGATTTCTTGTCTGTGCTGGTGTAACGCCCGAATTTCCCCTCTGGGGGTCAATAAAGTATTATCCTATCCTATCCTAAAGTAGGCTATATATTTTGTCTGTCTTAAAGTTACAATGGTGGACTTTTTTTCAATGTGCAAAAAGTGTGATTCTAAATCTTATAACCCATTGTCACATTAACCTGCAGGGGGTTCCCAAGGGCAAAAAAAACATCAACTCAGCCAGAAGTAACCTTCATCTTAGTCTGTACATTGTGTACAATATTCCTATGCTGGAAAATTATATAACCTTAGGTGTGTGGTAATTTGAAAGGTTATACAAGTAACTTTATGCCCTGTTTAATTGCTGTATGAGGTGAATGATCAAGGTCTATGAGTTAGAGTTTTTGCAAAGGTTTTCAAATCATCATTTCGATTATAATTATTTTCATAGTTTAAAATGAATGTTGCTCTATTCCCAAACAGTTTACAGTTAGTATGATTTGGCATGAGATGCAGCTTTTGGTTTTCTAATGTATCTTGGTCTTTATATCAGTTGTGATGGTTTGAGCCTTGCCCAAACAATTTAATAGTAGAATTTCCCACATTGGTCTTGAATCTTAAACGAAAATGTTGCCACAAGATGTAAAATGAGGATCAACTTTATTTGGTACATGTGTTTGAAAAGGGATGAATTATGCAATATTTTTAAGCAGTTCACATTTTACAATTTTTTACACATTACATGCCAACCCATTCAAGCTTTACCTTTTATGTATTGATCTCATAAAGTCACTACTGTACTTTAAATCCTTTTTTTTAATAATCCAATGCAAATAGGGTTTTTTAATAAGCCATGTGAAAGTAATGTATCATTGACTCAACCATATTGTAAAGACTATAACTAAATTCAGATGTTTGCAAATACTTGATAAAAGTGTGCATTCAATCATTTTTGTCAATCAGGATTAATTGATTGATATACTGTATGTGGGCCTCCTTCACAACAGGATTTGAAGCATATTTAAGCACAAGCATCACAATCAAAGAGGAAAGAATTAATGGATGCTATTAAGGCTAAGCTATCAGCAGAGGGATAGCACACCTGTAGTATCATAAAAGACACACGTTGAAAGACATTTTACACTTAAGACTGATAAGACAGACTCAAATGAGACACAATTTTGTCATCAATGATGTTATGTCGATGCAGGAGAAATGAACCCGAAAGAGAAGGCGGAAAGAGCAGACAGACAGACAGACAGACAGTGAAGGTGATAGGCTGCTTCTTCAGGTGAGTCAACCTGCAGTTATGGTTTGGATGGAGAGATAACATCCAGCCGCCTCTCTGATCTCCAATCACTCCTACTGGTACCCGCATCCTCCGCCTGACAGGATCGTGCATGTCCAGACCACAACTATGCCCTCACCTTCTTACCTGCTAGACCCCCAACCACAAAAACCCCAGACACCCTGTGCCCTGCACTACTCCTTACCTGCTTCATCTACACTCCCCTTCACCTTTTATACCTCACTATAATCCACTAAACTTATCTCTGCCTCTGAAAACACTCCCCTTTAAGCTTTCACACATTAGTTGTTGTTGAATCTGTTTTTATGGACAAAATTACCCACATCAGGAGAGACGAGAACAGTTTGTCTTCAAAATCTCCCTTTTCTTTGTGATTGCATATCTTTTCATATCTTTTCACTTGCTGCTGCACAATGTGTGTTTTAACAACCTAGTGCAACATTTCTGTTGATACCCGACCTCTCTATTGAAAGATCTATACTTGAACGTGATATTTGTTTTTATCATTATTGTTCTATTTTGTTAATGTCAGTATTTTGTCCTTGTCTTATGCATCTTTTTATCTACCACTTGGTTACCCTTGTTCTTTACTTGAGATCAATACAATATTGTCTTAGTTCATCTTGACAGAAACAGCTCAACAATAATTAAGGTTTTCATAACATTTGGTACAAACATTTAAGGTCCCCACAGAGTGAATACTTATAAACCTAATACACTTGAGTCCAACTAGCTCTAGCTTCATGAAGTTAAGTTAAAAAGTGAGCTTTAAAGATTTATTTTTTTAATAAATGAATATTTCATGGATTGTCATAAAACTTTGATCAGATACTCGTGTTCCTCTCAGGACAACTTTTAACAACTTTGATGATTCTCAGAAATGTCATGACTTGATGCAGGATGAAAACTCTGACCACTAATGAAGTTCCCATTAGCCTTAGTAAGACTTTGTGTTTACTGTTAGCTAGCGAATGTTAGCATTCTTACAGGGTCAAATATGAGTGTACAAAAATCAGCACGTTAACTTTGTCCCTGAGAGCAGTTAGCATGTTAGCATGTTGACCTAAGCAATTAGCTCAAACTGCATTAGCAAAGCCTTATAAAGCTGCTGAACATGGATGGTGACTCTTCAACTTGTTAATGAGTACATTTAAATGATAATTTTTTTTTAGTTTTCATACATTCTGAAGTATAACAACACTGAGCTTTGACAAAACAGATGCAAAGAGAACAACCCTTTCGAGTTTGGTTTAATGTCTTTATAAAGACAGTTATGTTCACACTGAATCGTCAGCTGGTTAACATTGCAGATACTTTTTCCCCATGTAGCGACAGGAACTGTAAATCTTTTATCAAGGTTGGTGTCCTTTAATGGACAGTGACAGATGAGGCCTGTGGATCCATGTTTCTGTCGGAGATAACACTTTTATGTTTGTTTCTAACAAGGTCTTTGTGTTCACAAGAAATGTTACGAAACATTCACTTTCCTGTCAGTGTAACATGAACACCAGAAAACACATATGACTCCTTTTTTTTGCAGTGTAACTATTTAATGCAATCTCTCTCTTCTCTGAATCATCTGTCTCTCTCTCACACACACACACACACACACACACACACACACAGACACACACACTGTCTCACACACTCAGGCACACAGACAGGAGTGCTGATAGCATCTAACAAAACACACTTGCAGGCCAGATAGCGTCCAGTACCTGCTTCGACACAGCTGCTGCAACAAAAGCAGGTAGGAAAACATGGCTAGAGTTATTCGACAAACACTACTGTGAACGCAGAGAAAGCAAGGTGGAAAAATACAGGAAGTCCTGATACGAGAGCACAGAAAGTGGTAGAGACAAGGAGATGGATGAAGGGAGGTGTGCAGAAGGATGCAGGGAGGCACACAGGGAGGCTGACATAATGAGGAAGTTGAATGTATGCATGAAATGTAAAAGAACTTAGAAAAAACAGTTGAAGTGCCACATGGTAACATGTGCAAGGATTATTTCCTCTCCTCTTCTATTATTCATTGGTTGGATAACGTTTCTGAGGATTTCTGAGGAGTGCAGAGCTTTAAAAAGCATATTTTGGAGTAAATGCATCTTCTCTGTATCATGACGCATGACTCACTCCGTCCTTTTCTCTATTCGCTCTCTTTTCCCCTAATCTTAAAGCTATATTTAGTACTGGCATAATGCCCTTCCAGACAGATATGGTGGCAGCAGCATTTATCTCTCCTCTCCTCTCCTCTCCTCTCCTCTCCTCTCCTCTCCTCTCCTCTCCTCTCTCCTCTCACTCTGTAAAGATTAATGATGGTAAAATGCTAAAGCTAATAACATACACGATCCATTATCACCTTAACAGTGTCATGTAGCTTATCAGTTTACAGCGGGTAACTCTGGTACATACATTTTAATTTTGGATGTATTTTATTATGTTTTGTATACTATATGTTTAAGCTTGTGTTTGACTATTTTCCCCTGGTGTAAGGATACATTTAAGGAAAGGTTAGACCTAACACAGTTCTATTTTCTGTAATTGTAATTCAAAAGTACAATATTTTCTCCTGACATGTAGTTGAGTAGAAATATAAAGCAGCATCAGTGACTCCTCATTGAACTTTATGCCACACAGTGTTGGTCTGCACACCTTTGTACTCGACCAGCTTCTGACTCAGCAGCACGACTGAGAGGAGGAGAGGGAACAATATTATGTCTCATAATACCACCTAATGTCACGCGCTGTATCAGCCTCCCAGGGTGTCACTGTAATCAAAAGTGTGTGTTTACCTTTCATTAATGTCAAAGGAAAGATTAAAACAAAGAGGTGGGGGAGATGAGGACATTACATAGACAGCAGTGAAAACAAACATTGACAGGAAGAAAACGAGAGGTTTATATGAAAAATAAGACATTTCCTTTATTAACATCTGTAACATCACTGTTGTATTCGGGTTTCACTTTCAACATATATGACAATGCAGTATACACGTTGATGTGGACATTAAATCTAATATTTAGCATTTATATGCTTATACAACATAAAACTGCAGTTTTCTACAGAGACATGATAATAGGGCACAAATGGTGTAGCAGCAAAGAAAGAGTGTAGTTTTATCTTTATAGATAGGCTACAGGAGTATAATGTATTTGCAGAGAGGAGATTCATTGCAAAGTTACAGCTAAAGTGAAGTACAAATACATTTGTTAAGTATGCACTACGTCATACACAAAGTGGATATTAGAGATTATAAAATGATACATAGTTTAATTAGGGGTCTCTATAGGCTAAGACACTGGAGGCTAGAACAGGGCTAGCATTAAACAACACTAGACTGTGCAGATACAAAGCACACTGATGTTTCATACTGCTGACACAGGATCTGCACATTTGAATGAAAGAGGTGTGATACTGAAATGATGGGACATAAATGCATTTCTAAATTGGTATTTTGTTTTGGCTTATATTGGTCAAAGTTTGGACTGAAATAAAAACAAATGGTCAAACAAAGAGCTGCAGGAGCTCCTATAGAAAGCTTATTTCAGCAGCACAAGTCTTTCAGGTGGAATGTCTTTGATATGTCGTACACGTCTACATGAGTGGAGCTTTTCAGAATGAGTCCACTTGCTCCTTGGCTTCTACCTTAAACAGACTTCTTTTTTTTTTTTTTCAAAGGACTACAGCATGTACAGCATGTGCTTTGCAATCTCAAACAAAATTTCACTTTATTCTGGTGTCAAGGACTCTCAAGTTTCCCAAAACATTTATTTGCTTGTTCAAAAAATAAAATATAATCAATCAAAGAAAGACAACTGGGGATAAAAAACAACAACAATACATTCATGAGCATAAATGGCTGCTAGGGAGTTAAGACTTTAATGGATTATTTTAAATATTGGGGTTAATGGCTTTTTTTCTTTCTTGCTAAGAATTAGATGTGGAGCTTGATAAAACGTTCAAGTCTCTCCGTTAAACCCCACAAGATACACTATAGCAACCAGTTAGCTTTGCTTAGCATACAGGCTTGAAACAAGAGGAAACAGCTAGTTCTATACAAAAGCAACAGGCCAGGCACTCTCATGTCTTCACAAAACCACCTAGACAGCCCAGTAGTGAGTTAGCTTATCTTAACGTAGCATAAAGACTAGAAATAAAGGTAAATACCTTGCCTAGCTATGTGTTAAAAGAGCAAACCTTGCCTTCCAGTTATGAATACTTTACTTCCTGCATGTTAAGGCTGTGTAAAACTCAGTGTATAAGGTTTTTTTTTGTAGGACTGTATCCTGGAAGGGAGCAGTGACTTCCTAAAGTCTCTGCTGGATTAAAGGCAAACAAACAGTTACCGCACATCGTCCCTTTTAAAGCGACATGTTTATTATTCTCCTCTTTGGTTTTAATGCAGACTAATCTAAAGAGACTTTTGTTAGCTGATGGGTCTTTAAAGTTCTGCTATGCTAAAATAATCTAAGATAACTGACTGGTGGTTCAAGCCTTATACTTACTATAAAGTAATCAGGGTGGTGTCAATCTTCACATATATTCTTCACCAAGGAAGGAAAATAAAAGATAAAGGCTACAAATGGTTTGGGAAACACTCTCCTGTTCCTCGTTGTCGCACAGTGTCTGGTCTGTACCATAGACTGCAATAAAAAATGGACAGCAGAACAATTCACCATAAGTGAGGCCAAAAAATTTAGAGCTCTTCCTACTGGTTGGCAGGATTAGAGGCCATACAACCCCGTCTCCTCTCTGTTAACAGGTGTGACATGGGTCAAAATAAAGAATCAAAATGCATATAAAAACATTATTTTCACAAATCCATATTACTTTGTGATAGTAATTATCATGCCGATTTTTATTCAAATTTTTTCTGAGGTTATTTTTAATAAGTCATTTGATGCTGTAAATATGTATAAAATGACATAATTGACAGCTCTGTCGACTTATGCAGTTTCCTAATATTTGCCTTCTAACACTCATTTAAAAGTGTTTTTTCGTTGAGGGTGAGCAGGGTGACGTCAATGCCATGGCTCTTCCTGCTTATCCATACTGCGCAGACTGCAACTTTGCAATATGTCAGCGCCTGTCACAAGGGTATTTTGGCTTCATCTCTTCATCAGGAGGAGTCTGAGGCATGTTGTCCATTCGTATGTACAGTCTATGGTCTGTACTCAGAGGATCAGTTCAGTTCACCTCTTACGAAACCGCTTCCCTTCAGATGATTACGACTCACACAAAAAAAACAACTCCTATACGTTCCTCTTAACTAATGATTATCACTACAGATACGCTCTAGCTCCATAACTACACTGGAGACTATGCTTATTGCTAAATATGAAAAACACAGAGAAAGTAACAACAATGCTCTAATACTTGGTCATTAATCTGCTGTGATATAGAGGTAGTGATTGAAGCATTGATAGACAGTAATAACAAACACTGAACAATTGACTCAGCGTGATAAAAAATATTATCTCAGGATAGTATAAATACAGAGCTTATCACTGAAACGCACTTCTTCTGCTAGAGGCTGACACAAAAAATTCCAACTGTAGACTGCTGTGACAATCAAAAGGATCATATGACAAACATGAATCATTGACTTTCAAAGCTACTGTTTGTCATAGAGCTCAGACGTCACTGTTGAAATGTTTTTGAAAGATTTAACAGGAGACAAAGGTTCTAAACTGTGTGACCAGCCATTATGGGTCCTCTGAGCTCTGGATTTATCCTGTCACGCTGACTGACAAGCTGCTCCAGACCTCATCCTTTCTGAAACAGTCACAGTTCAAATCCTCTTGCCCACCCAGCATCCAAACAGTCATGAACTAACATGGAGTTAAACCGTGAGATTCAGTCAGAATATAAACAAGTTATGTTCTAAATGAATTATACTCTTTCCATCCCGGCTCTAACATGCAACAATAACAGCCATGTTTTCCTTTCAGTGCACTGGGAACTGCTGTTTGCTTGGATTGTATGTGCTGCTGCGGACAACACTGCCCCACTGATTGTTTGAATTACACATTATAATGTATATAGTCTCCCGTTTGTGGCCTGTGTGAGCCGTCTCTGTTTAAATTCAATACGTTTGGGTATCGGTTTAGATGCTGACTGTGTTAATAGGCGGCCACCCAGTGTGACTCTTTATGCAGACGGATTAAAGATGAACACAACAAAACAAAGACACATTCTGCAATATACACAATATCTTTTCAATCAACTCAACGCAATTATAATAAAATATAAAACAGTGGAATATATAATAAAAAAATCAAATGAAGACCTTACAGTAAATTGTATAAAGTACATACACTGACATACACTAGGTAGAAACAAAAGCTATACCTGCATTAATTTCACATTGCATGATGTGTGGAAATATGCATGTGTGTCTGCTACAGAACAGAGTGGGTGAGCCTGTGTGTGTCTGCATTAGCAGTGTCGCCTGTGTTCCTGGCATTAAAAGTGTGAATGTTTGTGTGTGAAGCAGTGGACAGCCGCCAGCCCCCTCATTATTGTCATTCTCCTCACTGCCTAAAAGAGACGCAAAGAGAGGCAAAGCGACTGCTTTCAATCCGGGAGGGCAGGAAAGATGGAGACAAAAGGCCCAAATTAAACAAATGCTGGAAATCGGCTTGGAGAGCCAGCCTGTGGTCAGACACTCTGAAAGAGAGTGAACGGCTGCAGGGGTATCCCATCTGGGTCTTTCAGTGCCGAGACCACACAGATACGCTCACCTCCCAGCATTCAGCAAGACTATAGGTCCACGCACACTGGGGTGCCGGTTCATGTGCATGTCCCATGTCCTTGTGGATGTATCCACAAAAATGCCCTTAACTTCAACCTGGGATCCATCTCCATGTGCCGTTTACAGTGAAAAAAAATCTAATCTCCTGCTGAAGTCCAGTTCTCTTCGTGTCCTTTTTTCTTGTGTAGTGATAGATTTAAAATGGTCCATTGTCCTCTTATGTCTTTAAGTTCAACTTAAGACCAAAAGAACTTCTCACAGTCAAACCTCCAAACAGCAGCAGAGCAGGAGCACATTTCATTTGGCAGTGATTTCCTCCAAGAAAGATTTCATAGACTGTTCATAGACTGTGCTTCCTTTTCATCCCTCCACTACTGGGATGGGTTTTTATAGCTCTACATGTATGTACATGCATGTGGACGGACAGAAGCGATGGAGAGACAAGATGCTTTGTTGCACAAACAGACACATATATGTAGATCTATATTCAGGCTGTAATGCTGCACTTAATCCTAAACAATTGTGCTACTACAGGTTCTGATGTGTGCTTCTGTTAATATTTCCTTCAGTCTGAGGTCCCCGATGTTCAACTGTGTGCTCCATGGCACTGATGCTCAGAGTGGGCGATGAATTGGCGGAGTTGATGGAGAATAGCAGGTGAAATGGTTGTTGATGGACACATCAAGTCCTCATAGCATCACACCTGGAACAAAAAATGTTGAAGAGATCAAGGATTTGACATGGAGTTAAACAGTTTGAGGGCTGATTCACAGATAAAATCTGACTCAGAGATACTTTATTAGTCACAGGTGGGAAATTCCAAGATCCTACAGATAGATATGCATGGGAACAACAATACAGACACTAGAAGAAAAAAAATTATACATGAGAAAAATTATTAAAATACAACAACCATCAAGATTAAATGATAATACATTTTCTATTTTCTATTTTCTTTGCGGACAATCTTTCTTAACAGACAAAGATTCAAGGAGGACCTGCTTAATTTGCATGTAATGAGCGTCCTGAAACAAACAGTTAAAAACATCTTTGGACCCAAACTGAAGCAACTTGGAGTTTAATGGGTCTCTTAAAAACGCTCGACATGTGAAATTTAAATGCTGACCCAATGAATTTCTGCAATTTCATAAGTAAATTCTGATATTTATTTTGTTTTGTATTGCCTTTCATATGTCTATTGGATGTGGTTTCCATTAGAACTATTTACAGGTTTCAACCACAAATAAACATCTAATAGCCAAACATCTCAACCTCACTGAGTCTTTCTAGTTGAAACTTTCTGGAGAAAGAGAGTACTTATTCTATCTATATTGAGCGCAGCATGACGCAGGTCAAAGTTTTTGTTTTATTAAGATTTATTCTTGTGCTTTTTTATACCTCAATTAGAGAGATAGGACAGTGAGTAGGAAAATCAGGGAGGGAGAGTGGGGAATGACATTTGTCTAAAAGCTACAGGTTGGATTCCAGGCTGACAGCTTTGAGGACCGTAACCATTATTTCACCGGCGCCCCATGCAGGTTAAGCTTGCTTGTGTATTGGAATTATTTGTTTGAGTCTAATTTTCAATACTCACAGTCCTGTCTTTGCTCTGCTTTCTAGTAACATATTTGTAAGTTTGTAAACTAAAAAGAATGTATTTTATTTTATTGATGCAATATTGCTTTTTTCTTGAGGACTGACCTGCAGCGCTGATGGTTGAGCCTCCGGTTTTTACGGCTGCAGCTCTCCTCTCTGATGGTGCAGCGACACTGACAAGAAGTCTCATCCAAAGCCCACTTCCTGCCTCTGCAGGGGCGACATCGAGGCCTCTGAGATGGCGATGGAGAGGGAGAGGAAGAGGAAGAGGAAGAGGGGGAGAAGCTGGTGGGAGAGGAGATGGAGGAGTAGAGGATTGGAGAGGAAGAGTTGGGGGAGCGTTGGTCCTGGATGGAAGAGGGGTGAAAGAACAGCGTTGATAGTGGCAGAATTTATCAATGAATGAATCCACGGATATGCAAACAGTTCTGTGAGCCTGTATTAAGCCAAAGTCATGCTTTGGGTTCAATACTAAAGACAGCATGGTAACGTGGTGTCACAATGTCTATGCTAACATCAGCACAGTCACATGACATCACAATTAAGATTCAAACATGTTGAGCAGCAATGATTGTCTCCATCTTGGTGCAACATATAAGCATGCCGATATAAGCTTAGCAATAAATACCAGATAAAGCTGGTGGGATTTTTTTTTTTTTTTTTTTTTCAGTTTTGTAGTCTTTTGATTATAAACAGAAGTGTTGCAAATTAAATATCTGACCAAACTATGTTGATAAATGAACGAGAATCGACTGAAATGTTTAATTTATCAGGAAATGATTCATCCTTTAAGTAAAAAGACAACGCTGTGAATGTCGACACTTCAGGTAAGGTCAGCGGTTCATCTAAGTCTGTTGGCCTCATCATGAGGGGACCATGACGACTGTTCAAATGTAAAGAAGTTCCATCCCATCGTCGTAAAGATCTTTCTCTTTGAACTTGCAGTGCTAAATCTTTAGACAGGAAGACCGACTACCATTTATGTGTCATGCTATTGGATAAATTCATGGTCCGAAAGTGTTTTCTACTTTGCTGTTGATCCCAGCCCATGTCGGGAGCATAATCTAAACCTGAAACGCAAGCTTGTTTAAATCTGCACATTGTGAGACTGAAACAAACCGACACAGTTCAGTGTGTGGGAGATGTGTGACTAATGTGGGATACTGTTTCTTTAACCGAGACAAACTTTCTGCTCTTTCTGTCAGGTCCGTTTTTCTGTCTGTTTCCATGGCTATGGTCACTTAGTTGCCTTCATGAGGCCTCCAGTTTCCCCTCAAGACACTCTGTTTCTCCAGCTCTGAGAAAGTCGCCCGCGTCATTTGGTCTATTAACGGGAGCTGGTTCTGCCCCAGCCTTCCCGACAAGCTGGCAGTCTTAATGAAGTGACTTAATGAGGCGGAGAGGGGCCATCTTTGTTCTAGTTCTGATGACCACGCCTGCCGCTGGCATGGGCAGAGGAGGTGGTATTTAAGAGCAAATTACACAGATTTCACCCCTGCCAGAATCTGAATAAAGGCAGTTCTGAGTGATGGATGGGCGCTGAGGGACATCACACCCGAATCAAACCACCTCTGGCCCTCGGAGGCTGGAAAACGACAGACAGAAAGTGAAGGGGACGAAAAGCAGTGAGGAGAAGAGGGATGACTCATACTCCTCAGCCCAGGACTGAATGATGGTTGATGCAGAAAAACCAAAATGCACCAAACTCACCTGTTCCTGTCAGATCACAGTGTTATAGGTTAACAGTTTCAAAATCTTATTTTAGTGTCCTAATTTCCTTTTCCAGAGTAATAAAAATAGATTCATGTCTTATAACTCAATACACTAACTCTTTTGTTCTCAATGATTTTAGTGGACCACAAAACTGAACCTCAAATTAATTCACATAAGACTGTAGACCTATTGTTGATGTGGTTTCAGTGATATCAAACATAAACAATGTTGTTGTTCCATAACTTTATCAAATGTAGATTTAGCAGATAAACAGTAAAGGGTACAGGACAGTACAGGAGCGCCCGCTGTGGGCAGCTCCCTCACTCTGGCATCTCTCCATTAGTGCATGTCCATCGGATCCTGTTTGTGCATGTGTATATTTCAGCCCATGTGTGTGTTGCATGACTTACAGAGTGTAAAAACAGAAATTTCCCCTTGCTGGGATCAATAAAGTAAATCTTAATCTTAATCGTAAAGAATGCATCACCTATGAACAGAACTCTCATTTTCCATTAAGTCAACTTTAAGTCAATTAAATAAAATGTAAACTAAATATTCCCCATTTTTCTGAGGACCCTGAGTTGAGAAACATTGCAGTAACTACTAAATATATGAGAATAGTTTAGAAAAGTTGCATGTTCTTAATATTACACAGAGGTGAATCCTCAAAGTGAGTTATTTGTACTTCAGCTGTAAAACAAATTGACCTTCAGAATAACCAGATAACCTAGTTTTTGTTTCTGTTATAACATTTACCCTGAATAAAACCGAATCTAGAAAATACTGACAGCAACTTTTAAACTAAGTCATTGAGTGAAAACAATCACATAAGCGTTCTGAATATTATACTTACGCAGCTCTGATAGCTCCAGGTGTCTTCTGTCTGGACTTTCCTCTTCCTTTTTTCTTGTCTTTTCTTGTTGGCTTGACTGAAGGTCTGTGAATATCAGATACACAACATGTTAAACATGTTCAAATCAAAACCTAAACACTTGATCTTCACCTCCTGAGTGAATATATTTAATACATCTAATGTATCCTCATATGATCCCAGTGAGCTGCATGTTCCAGTTTAATCTTTTTCATACTGTTTTTCTTGACTTATGCTTTGATCAGACAGTTTCTGATTTAAGTCACAATTTTGACAATTTGTAGTCTGTTTCTTATTTAGGCAGAGTTCTTAACTCATTGATTTAATATTTGAAAATGATGTGACTTCTTTTATTTCACAATAATAAACTTTGTAAAAGGACTATCAGGTTTCGTATCTGCGCTAAATTACCAAGACATGTCAAACAATACAAGCAAGAGTCCCAATGTATTTCATGTCAAACTGTTATTTTCACAAACGCAAAGCTTTCAAGTAATGCCCTAAAGCAAACATGATAAATCTCCTTTTCCAAACAGGAAGCTAATAGTATAGATTGACTTTGAACTCTTTTTCACATGTGCATTCCTACAATTCTTTTAGCAGAAACTTGTGGTGATTTAAGCTTAGGTTTTAAGTGCTTTTTTCCCCAATATAACTAATATTAGTTAAACATCATTTGAATGCAAGAGTTTGACTTGTAATTGATTGTTTTTGCTGCTTCAAAGCACCTGTGAGGATTTATTTAAACAGGCTTTTATACAGGTTTTACATTAAACAGGTGGAAATTAATACTAATGCCTTTATATGACCTACAAAAGCAAAGAAGACCATCAAAATCAACACAAACTGCAAGTTCCTCACACAAGCTTTAACTCCTCTTCTACGTCATGTAATCATTGTTTAAGTGAAGTTTTTGTGTGTTTTAAGTAGTCCCATCAGTTTAGGTAATCTTAAAATTCAAAAATCTAAAGGAGCTCTTATTCCGTCCATAATCACAAACATTTATTGAGCACAGCAGGCCTTTGTGTTGGAACACGTACAGTGTAAACAAGCAGACTTATTAAAATGTTTCTGATCATCTTGGATTAATAACCAGAAGCCGATGATTATGTTCTCATGTACTCCCAAGAAACTTGGGGCAAGTGTCACTCTTCTGGACATAGTATGTTGTTAGCTCTGCGTTTGTGTCTGACCTTGTTTAACCTCCCTGTCTCTTTATTCTAACCTGCTTCAAACTGAATTCAACTCTATTAAATTATGGGTACAGCATTCACCAGCTCAGCCCTGACATTATTAACCGTCTCTGCTGCTGCTGTTGTTTTTTGGAGCTCCTATTTTCTATCATGGATGCGTGACTCTGCTCCGTCAATCTGTGAGAGAGCACATGGCAGGGGAGATAAAATCATCACTATGGTGACAACAGGATGCGGGCTGTCCCTGGGGATGCTGGGAGAGAGTCACACAGATACGAACTCACTAAGGGGCAAACACACACACACACACACACACACACACACACAGAAACAAATGCTCACACACACTTAAAAACATTCACACACATTAATACTAACACATAAAGAGTGTACACAAGATACATGTACAGATACAACTAAACCAAATCCACTCATACACATCAACTTGATAAAAGTCTGGATACACACACATACATTGGAATCCTTTATTTATGTACAAATCCTAACAGGAAGTAGAGGGACATAAACATTAAAGATGCAATTATATGATTGCCTGGTTTGGGGTACACAAACAAACAACAGGGACACAACCGAAATGTCCCTGTAACAGTATTCAACTGTGAACCACCTGAACAAAAATTCTTATCCATAAAAAACATACAAGTTGACCTAAATGCAGTTATTTTGATGGAAAACATCACAGCTTTCTATTATGTTTGAATCTTTTCATCTGAATCTTTTCATGTCAAATCAGTTGTTAAAAGGTTAAAAGGTTCAAACGTCTTCACTTTAAAATTGATTAAGCGTTACAGCCACTTGAATGTTTCTGTCATTTTTTGATTTTTAACAGTCTCAAGGCAAAACATTAGCATTTTTGACTTTGGGGTATTGAAGTTGCAGCAAGAAACTGCTTGGGAGACAATGTCTATGTTACATCAAAGGCATTTGACAGTGGGCTTCAAAATGAACAGTATTAAAGGTCTGTCTTTTTATTGGTGTCCTACTGGTATTTTTTATTTTGGGGTTTTTATTGTTTTTTCAACAGATTGTTTAGGCATAATTTACCTAATACTGTAAATAGAGTACAGCCAATGAGAAAGACAGGGCTTATACAGACAGGGTTTGACATTCAGCAAAGGGCCAGGGTTTACATGATGCCAGGCTGCTGCATGAAGACTCAGACTTGATACAGTATATGGGGCGCACGGTCAACCATGTGAGGCCCAAGGGTAACCCTTTGGACTGGTGCTGGTTAACCTGCAAGTCCCCCCTATGTTTAATCATAACCATGCCAGGGCAGCAAACCCTGATGTGTTTCATTGATTTACATGGTTTGATGATGTGATTATATTGTTTTTTTTTGTCCTGAACATTTGCAGAAACACACACACACAAAAATAGAAAAATATGGAAATGAAAATGTGTTACCTTGCAGTAGGTGTTGGCTGAAATTCTTCTTTCAATCTGCACACAAATTAAACAGACAGTGTCAGTGTAAAAGTGCAGAGTCAGAGAGGTCAGTGAACAACAAGTAAACAACACATCCTTGACTACAGACAGTGACAGAATGTTTTATTACCTGCACTCACACTGGCTGTGCTCGATGAAGGGCAGCTCAATGAGCTCGTGTTTCATGAAGGAGGTTCTCATCAGCTACACATATCAGAAAAAAACTCACATAAAGATTATCTCATTTACAAATGTCAATCCTCGGCACTGATTAGTTAGAGATTGAGTGTGTATACCTCCATGGTGAGTGTGTGTGTGAGCGAGGGAACACACTCCAGGGCCTCATCAGAGCAGCAGCCGCCACATCGCCTCACTGACACGCAGGATGGGACAAAGAGATGATGCGTCTCCTCCGGCAACTCCCGCCAAACCTCTACCAAAGTTTCACGGGGCTCACAGCCGCTTCTTGAGTAGACCTCCAACCACCGCCGCACTGAGGAGAAAGTAAAATCCACACAGTCATGATTTAATTTTTCAGCTCTAAGAAATCATGCAGCATCATTTGCAGAAACAGGGACTACATACCTTCTCGACCTTCCCTGGATTTCGAGGAGTCTGCCGGCCGCCAGTGTGCAAGCTGGAGGGAGAAATAACAGTGATGAAAAATTAAGTGGGAAAAGTACTGTGACGATAAGTTTAAAGTTTCAATGACAAGTGATAGCAAACACATGACCCTGAAGTGTAGCGTAAAAAAAATGTTGTCTATTTAAATAAAGAAAAAAACGATTTCCTGATATATGCCAACTGTAATAATAAAATAACAATACATTTTATTTAAAGTTCAAAACTCTCAAGGTCACCTTACAGAGCAGAGATAAAAACAACAAAGTACAGGATGTAATGGAGTTATGAGACCGGGTGAAGAATGATCAGACTGAATATGCCAGTTTAAAAAGATGTGTTTTGAGATAAGATTTGAAAACAGAGAGAGTCGATATTACGGATTTGTGGTGGGAGGGAGTTCCAGAGGTGGGGGGCAGAGCAGGTGAAGGCCCTGGACCCCATGGTGGACAGGCGGGCGGGTGGTGCAGTGAGTTGAATGGAAGAAGAAGACCTGAGAGTGCGGGTAGGTGTGTTGATGTGCAGGAGTTCAGAGAGGTAAAGCGGAGCGAGGTTGTGGATGGCCTTGAAGGTGAGGAGCAGAATTGTGAAGGTGATGCGATGTTTAACCGGGAGCCAATGAAGCTGCTGTAGGACAGGGGTGATGTGATTCATAGAGGGCGTTCTGGTGATGATGCGAGCGGCAGAGTTCTGGACCAGTTGAAGTTTGTGGTTGACTTGAGAGGGAGACCAAAGAGAAGGGAGTTGCAGTAGTCAATGCGGGATGTAACCAGGGTGTTGACGAGGATGGAAGTACTGCTGGGAGTGAGGGACGGGCAGAGGCTATTAATGTTACGAAGATGGAAATAAGCAGGCCGGGTGACATTATTGATGTGAGCTTGGAATGATAGTGTGCTGTCTAGGATGACACCCAGACTCCTGTGATTTATACCGTGAATGTACTGTATATGAAATATACCGTGAATGTACTGTATATGCAACATTTTATCATCATCAAGTAAAAAAAAGTTGAAAACTTTGAGGGGAAAAAAACGTAAAACCCGAAACAAACTATAAAGATGGATCTGGGCATAAAAAAAACTTAACTTCATAGTTGGAACATAAGTAACTATTATTGGTTAACCTGCCATTTAACTGTTTAGTCTATAAATAATGTCAAAAGCCAAGAATTTAAATTCCTTCTATTGTCTAAACATCAGTGCAAATGAAAAAGCCTATTCATCAACTATAACACAGACAGAGACACACATACACTCACATGCTGGATAATAGGAGCAGGTCTCCAGTAGTTTGACAGCTACATCAAACACACATGTATCATTTAAGGCAGTGTTGTGAAATGTTTCCTGTACAAAGGGGGCCCATGGGTCTCTCTGAGCCTTTCACTGAAAATGCCTGTGCTCTACGTTTTTGAAGGGGTTGTACCTGCTACCTTTGCCCTCAGCTCTGTCAGCTGATTACAGCTGTTGAAACACTTTAAGACGCCCCACAATGGAAGATAGTGAGAGGACCCGCCACTGGATTTATTAACAGTAAATGTTACAGTTAGTGTGCAGCTGTAACTGACGAGCCACGCACATGATAATGTAATGAGCAATACAACAGATAGTTCAAACCAAGCATTCTTATTGGACAAGAGGCATGAGTGCTGATACAGAGTACAACATCTCTGGGACTTTGTCATGATAAATCTAGCTGGTATCACTGACTCTCAAAACAGACTCTTATTTAATTCACTATATGATGAATTAAAACATACAAATAAGAAACAGTCCTGCCTGCAATTACAAATAGTCATTAAAATGAGGAATCTTCTGTATGTATGTCAGCTTTCCCAATCTGATAAATGAGACTGTATAGTTGTTATTCAGGACGCAGAGAAAGCGTTTATCGGTGGCCCTATCTCATTTCAACTCTGGAGATACTGGACCTAGGGGACACATGTATTAGCTGGGTGAAGTTAACATACAAAAACCTATTATCTGCTGTCCTAACAAATGGCAATATATCGTCTTATTTTGGCCTAGGCTGGGGTACAAGACAGGGATGCTCTCTGTCCCCTCTATTGTTAGGAAATTGCCATTGAGCCTTTGGCAGACGCTATTTGACACACCCTTCTATCACAGGTTTTCATTGCCTGTCAAACTCGTGAAATCTCTTTATATGCCGATGACGTGCTGTTGTTTCTTACAAATCCAGAGGTCTTCATATTGGCAGTTCTAGGATTGATAGTTGCTTTAGTGATAATATATTTTTTCTAAGTCAGAGGCTCTTCCTTTGGGCGGTCAGCGTGATGCACCTTGGCTCATCCCTTTTTTAGTTAAACAATTTAACATTGGCATCAAATAATCAACTTATGGAGCCAGCTTCGATTTGAGCAACCACAGTACTTAACACTATATATGTGTTGGCGTTGATTTCAGAATGTTTCGGAGAATGTTGCTTTAAAGAAATACTACGGTGGAGAAGAGTTCACAATTTTTCAAATAAACATATTCTACTTTTAACTCTATTACATTTATTGTACAACTATAGTTCATGTCTAAAGATGTTTCATTCAAAAACACTCTTCAAATCACTGGATTCCAGATTTTCCCAGTGTTGGATTTTTGAATGACTGTTGAATGAATAAATCAAGCCTGCTGCTTGGCGGTTTCTACAGTTTGGTTCAATAGTTCAGAGGAACACCATAAAACGCTGACACTGGGATTTCTGGTGGGTATAAAGCCTTGTGAAGTAACATATGATTAAATATTAGACCAATGGTTCACAAACTAATATTTGGGCTACCATGTAAGAAGGTTTTCATAAAGGACTTTTATCCCCTCTAAACTTGTCATTTATTTGAATAAATGTGTTTTTAAGACAGAAGAATTGTATCCCATGTTTTCAGATTTCCAAAACAGCTCATGTAAAGAAAGGTTAGGAATGAAACCCATCACCTAAAGCCTAAAGTCTACCTTTTTTACCCTTTCACGGGCCCCACCTCTCAGCTGGAGAGCACAGGACTGAACCTACATACAGAAAAGTTTATAAAGTAGTTTATCTTGCTTCTACTAAACCAAAACTAAAATTCTAACACATTCATTTATAAGAATTCATTTTAAGATGTCAAATCAGTCACAGGGAGTATTTAACAGAAGTATGAACAAGCAAATTTGAGTTGTGTTGATAACACAATATACTGTTATTTGCTTTTGAAAGGGATTGAGAAAATGCTTCTTTTTTGTACTCCAAAGTAAAAGGTCTAATAACCGTAACACTTCCACAAGAACACACAGAAAGAGATACTGATTTTGATAGCTCCCTAATAAACACTGCCATTATTGGGCCTGTGTGTGTGTGTGTGTGTGTGTGTGTGTGTGTTTGTGTGTGTAAGTGTTGTGACGACCAAGGCCACATGTAAGGGAATGTAGACTTTGTCCAGTTGCCCCCTTTTAACTGCGCCACCCCCTTCAACCCACACACACACACACACACACACACACACACACACACACACACACACACACACACACACACACACACACACACACACACACACACACACACACACACACACACACACACACACACACACACACACACAGTGTATGCCCACATTGATTCTAAATTAAGCTGGGACTGTGAGATTGAGTAAGCGTGTGTCTTTTTTGTATCCGTCTTTTCGATGGGGATAAGATTAGCTTCTTTTGGCAGACATATTTGCAAGGAGGTGGCACACAAACACACACGCACTTTTAAGTGCCAACCCAGTGCCATCTGTACTGGTGTTGCTGTCTGCTCAGTCTAACTCCCAGCCCTACTTAGGCACATTGTACAAATGGGACAAGAGAGTGTGTTTCTATGCATGTGTGTTTCTATCCCTTAAACTATACACCATCTTACCCACACTGATCTTCAACACTAGATGAAAAAGGGATGACCCCTTTTTGAAATGTGCTGCCAGAGAGACAGATGGCATGAAAGCAGACAGTCTCGGGTGAGAGCCGGCAGCTGTGAGCAGGTGAGGAGTCTTCTTGGTGTCTACAATGATGCATCACTAAAACATACAACTGCACAAAGTCAGGGCTGAATTCTGCACTGCTTCAGAGCACGGCCTGTTCCTGATACAAGTCTCCAGACATAAATAAAAGAAACCAGCACATGAAGCTCTCTGTGTATGTGCTCCTGCCTCTGTGTGTGTGTGTGTGTGAAAATGAGCCACTGTGTCATATGATGGACAACCAGTCATTTTCTATTAATGATTATGGTCATAACCTAATTTTTGAATTATAATAATCCAAATGTTAAGTCTATAAATAATTATAGTCATACTCTATAAAAAAGACAAAACGAAGCACAAAAATGTATCCAATTTCAATCAAACAATGAGTTAATGCAATGAAACAGCACAAATAAGTGTGAGACTTATTGCTCAATAAGAAAAATACTCTACATATCCATTAATACAGAACATAATACTCAGTTGCAGCTGTAGGCTCAGTTACTTGATTAATGACCTGGCAACTTTAAGGTTGCCTGTATTTTGCCTGCATGAAACAGGATTTTAAAGCCAGCTCTTTAGTCCAACAGGAATACAGACTGTCAGTCCTTGTTAAGAAATTAAATCTTTAGTTAAAATATATGAAATAATCTCATTCCCTTTTTTGCTGATAGTTAGATGAAAATTACAACTCTGGTGTTAAGTAGGCCTAAATCTACAGCTAGCAGTTGCTAAGCTCAGACCAAAAAAGGAAAAGCTACCTTGGCCCACTCACACTGGTAATACAAAGCTAACATTACAACATCTTGGGAAATATGCCAAAACGTATTAAATTCTAATTGATTCTAAATACAGCAGGACCATTTCTTGGCCAGAATGATTTGTAAAGTTGCCAGCAAGAACTTCAGAAGGCTAATGGTCCCCTTATATTGACATTTTGTTGTGCTGATTATTATACATGCCAATAAATGAGCTTTAGAGGTGCTAGAAGGCGTCTTTTGTTACATTAAGACAGACAGGATAAAGGTATAACTTCCTGTTTTCATGCTCTATGGTAAACTAAGCTAAATGAAGGGGTATTTGCAACACTGTAAGAAAATCAGTAAGCAAATTCATCAGCATTATTTTATGATTTGTAATTGAATGAAGCCTAATCCTTTTTATAAATCCTATTTTCTTAATTTATTAGTCTAAGCTAACACCAGGTTAGCAGGAGGAGGATTTTCCACAACCTGCCAGCCCAAAAGTTGTTCTTGGTGGCCAATGAATCTACAAAACTTTGGCTGTTTTCTTAACACAGTGTAATATTTCGCTGTATAGGATAAATTGAACACTTAGCACCATTGACAAACTTCTATAGAGTAGCCTATCAATGCAATCTTTATGGGGCTGACTGGACCTAAAGTGACAGGTGTCACTGACCTAGAGGATAACTTCCTCAGAGTCCCACATGTTCTTCACCAGACCACCTTCATTCCAAAAAGATTTTTCTTCTGCCTATCGAGGGAACATCACTACAAACCATAAATAAATCCGCACAAGCTCGTAACATGCAGTCTTTGGGGTATAACACACATAGACCTATAGGCGACATACCTTGGCCTGGGACGTCGGTATTCTGGTGAGCAGAAGGAATTGAAACATTCCTAGAATAACTTGAAGCATAATCCCCATTGTGCAGGAGTCCAAGGGGCACGCAAAAAATATTTTTTGGACCATTCCAAAAATAATGGTCCGAGCGTTTCCTTAGTTCAGCTCTGTGTCCGATGAAAGACGCAGAAATCCAGCTTTCATTCTCCAGTCTCCCGTCCGTGAAAGGACACCCAGGGTGGCATCCTTAGTGTTGGGATAAAAACTTTATGTTGTGGCATTAAAGACTAAATTCTTGTCCGAATTACATCAGGAGCCAATCTAAACTCTACTGATCTCTATTAATACTTTGTTATATTAATTAGGTACAGACACAGGCGGTTCTAAAATAGTCCTCCCTCCAGAAATGTTTACATACACACAGTAATAGTAGGTAGGCTATTAGTAAATTAATATCTAACCGAAGCACCATGACGTTAGGATCCTGAAAATTGGATGAGACTTATTTAAACTTTGAGTGACACCTCCCAGCAATTCAGGGCACTAGCCTATCAGTCTATTGGTCCTGATCCCATGAAACCGGTGAGGGGGTCCGGGTCGGCGTGACTGGAGGACCATCCAGATTCCCGCTGAAACGTGCTGCGATCACAAAATCCTCTGTGTCGCTGACAAAATATCATTATCCAGCTACAGGACGTTTTATCTGGTAGAGATACGAAGCTTTTGGACCGACGTGTCGCATATTCGTCTCCCCTGCTCGCTCACAGCTCCACACTGTCGCTCCCTCTGAAAATGTGACGTTTCCCCTCCAGGCGCATCTTCCCGTTTTTTATCCTCATAAATATGACTAGGGTGACATCCTGCACTGACATGGCAGCGCAGATTCAGTAGAGCCGGCAGGGCAGCAGACAGATAGAGAGAGGTCTGGAGAGGTAGCAGTCCTCATTAGTTGTTGTGATCGGTTTCCTCATTTCCTTTGCCCTTGAGACGCACGCAGCGTAATCATTGCGCTGCCAACTTTTTCCAAACGGGACACGCGCACTGGATACAGGTGCAGCTTCTCTATTGGTACAAAAGTGGGGGTCAGGGTGCCCCTAGGTGACCATTGCAAGTGGGGAATGTGCTCCAGGTGTCAAGAGGACACAAAGGTCACGCCCTCTAGTTTAATGCATTAAATGATTTATGGGTTTTGGTGTGATACACGGTTTAAATTCTAGTAAATCTTGCATTTAAAGAGCTGAAACAATTTCTTAGTGGATTAGTTTGACAGAAATTTGGTGATTTATTAATCCTTTCAGTGGTATTTCCTTTTTTTTTTTTTTTTTACTCCTGGGTTTCTTATTCCCCTATGATTAAAAACGTAACATATTGGATTAGACATTTAGTTGGATAAAATAAGAAACGAGAAGATGTCACCTTGAAGACAGTGGTTCGGATTTCCCTGCTTTCTTACATTTTATACAGTACGACAATTAATTATGGAGAAAAGTCTCTTGTCAGAAAATGTGAAATGATTATTGTTATACTGTCCCACTTAACAAACATGGAGAACACAATCTATTGATTGTTTTTTCAAAATGTATCTTAGTGGAAATTTAGAAATAACCAATAGATTTCAATCAACAAATCAACTAAACTCTCACTTATTAAGATTCAAAATTGTATTTATAGACCTTTTTTAAAGCAGCCATATTTGCTTGACATCATAGCAGTGAAAGCAAATATGTGAATGATAACAAAAAATGACATAATTAAAGCTCATTTTACTGAAGGAAAAATCAATGCAGCTCCAGAGCTGTTTTTGTACAGTAGCTACATATCCTGTGTGTGTATGTGTGTGCGTGTGTGTGGCCAAGAATACACACAAGTCATTCTAGTATTTGGGTTATGACAGGGCACTCACACACCACATGAGGGTGAGGGTGTCTGTAAGCAATGCATCTATGGATGTGTTATCTTATGCTGAAGGCTCAGGACGGGGGCCGCTGCTGACAAGAAGATAGAGGGGAAAAAGGCACGATCTTCTCTTACCACACACTTCACATGCTATCTATGATATTTCAAATGATCATTTTATACTTGGCAAATAAAAAAGGGAAACCAGCATTTTTCCCACGATGTCACCGGCAAAAAAAAAATGTTCGGCATGCTCTCATGAAATGTGTCATAACCTTTTAATGTGAATATAAATATGTAAATAGACAAGCTATGTACTGTATATGTGGAGTCAGTTCATGACATCTGCTGCTCTAAATGTGAGATCAGAAGTTTAATGGATCAGTTCACATCCTCTCTCCTAAGATTGATAAACTGTTAGATACAATTTGAATAGTTTGTTTTAGTAAAACAGGACAATAAAGTACTTTAAGTTAAATAGTGGTATAAATATAGTTAAGAAAGTGAGGAGGTTTCAAACAGAGTCTGGAGTTTATGGTCAATTACTAAACCAGAAGCAAACGTGTTAATAAGACAAATGCAAAGTAATGATTGATGAGAACAAGTTGATCTTTTAATTGTCTTGTTATGAAATCCTTTAAGCGTAGACGTAAAGCAGTCAAAAAAGGAAAAGAACAAAAGTCTCTAACACATAAAAGCTAAAAGGCAAAATGGTATATGTTGTCTCTGCACGTTGAAATAACCGTATTATGAACCACCTTTAAATTCAGTTTGATTATAAATAAATCCATTACAAAAAAAGTCCCTTTTCTGAAGTCATTATGTTGATCTTTTATAGATTCCTTCTCAAGAGTGGAGGCTCTTTTATCATGTGCACCACGCAGGGCCAGGGAGGGGTCAATGAGGAGTTGAGATCTATAATTGGGATGAGTAAACATGCAGGGTAATGAGTTTCCTTGGAAACCATTGTTGGTGGAATTTTTGACTGTATGAGTAACACTGCAGTATTACAAAGCGCCCAAAGATAGTATTTTAATCCGTACAAGTTCCTTTCTGCAAGAAAGATATTGGCGATACATTTTGTCTCTCATCTCCACTTGAAATATGAGACACTGTTTTATTACTAACAGAGGCTGAGGATGATAAATAACAGGTTCCTGTGAGTTCAGTAAAGGCAGTTCATCAGTGTTCATTTTGGCTCCAAGAGGTTTGTCACAGTCGTATAACTTCAGATATTTAACAACCATCTATAACTGCTTCAACAAACCAGTTCAGTCTCCAACTGAGTTCAGCTCGAACCAGAAAAAACCACTAAATGACCAGATGAGTCTGTCTTTAAGTCCTCGTCTTCAAAACTGAGGACAAACCGCTCCAAAACATCTTTCACTAAAAACTTTAAAATCCTAAAACTTGTACTAAATTCAGTACACAGGCCGTTTAAATCCCGTCATCACTGAGCGCAGTTGGAGAACCTCCTACTTGTCATCTCCACTGTTGTGGATTTTGTATTTCTCCAAAAAGTCAGCATGTTTCTGTCGCAGAATTTCGGTCTGTTTCTTAAAACCGTTGATCCTGGAAAACAAACAAAAAAAAGGTACCTTCACACTCAGCACCCAAGCAAAGCAACCCATTGTTATCAATCAAATCTACCATCAAACTTAAGACGGTTTCATTTAAAAAGTTCTTTCACTGACCTAGCCCTCTCTTTGGATTCATTGTAAATTTCTGTGATGACACGATCTTTCTCGTCCATGAAGTTGGTGTGAACTTCTTCCAGTTTCCTGAGGGAATTGAAGAAAACACTTTAAAAAAAAAAAAAACTTTGCTTAACCCAAAAAACGTGTCGCTCGGCAGGCAGCTCTGCACGTTCAGTTGTATTTATGAGCTTGTACAGCTGTTAAAACAGCGAGACAGATCATAAAGATGTGAATCTCCACAAACAGAAGTGCCACAGAGTCAATGTGTAAAAACAAATACAACTAGCTGGGAGGTTGTGCCAAGACACATGGGCACAGAGGCATGCGCAAAAACAAACATGTTCATCTGGATGTGAATGTTTGGCAGAGAAACCTCAGGAACACAACTCAACATTTCTTTATTTCACACATTTGTATCTTTCTAACATTCACTGAGTCATTCATGGATGATTTCCCTTTAAATTGTTTCCCAAACATTACAAAGTGATAGGAATATAGTTAATATATGTCACAGACCAAAAAACAAGAAAAATAAATATCCACAGTAATTATGTTATGTTCTTTACCTGAAGAAGACGACGTGGGCCCCAATGCTGAGCAACATGGTGACGATGCAGTAGCCCACCAGGCGGTAGTTCCTCCTCCTCCTCCTCTCCCATTCCTCTGCTGTCATCTCCTGTGTGTGAGACTGATTAAACTGCTCCCAGTAACGCTGGCTCTCCTGGGTATCCGTACTGATGGTAAAGTAGCAGGATCGTGATTGGATGGTGATATCGAAAGACAAATAGGACAAACGTTAAAAAAAAAGACTACATTGAAGCCTGATTTCTCTGTGAAGAAAAGTTGTCACAAGTCAATGTGTATTTGTGCGCATATGGCAGGACAAAAACCTGAAGCGTCAAACTCTGCAGCACCTTTATTATGGAATATTTGGGGATATACATCAGAAAATTCTGGACAACATTAATTTCAGTCTTTGGGAAATCACTGATTTATTCTGCAGTGTTGGAGGTTTCAGTTGTTCAGTCCTCACAATTATGACAGGTGAGAGTCTTACAGGAAGACAAACTTGTCTTTCTGCAAAAGAATGTTGGCTGAATTAAAAACATTTGCACATGAAGAAACAGTTAAAGACTGTGGAGGAAGGCCAGGTTACGTAAGACAAATAATCGAGCACAAGCGGACAGACTGTAGCTTCACCTGGCTCTGTGGCTGGTGTGACTGGAGGTAGATCTGAAGACTTGGCCGCCACCATATGGATGTCTGACTTTGTAGTCGTATTCTTTCCTGCTCTCATTCTTGCTCAGCACTCTGTAGGCCTCATTCAGCTCCACAAACTGGCTGTGCAGCGCTGGGTTGGATGGGTCACTATCTGGATGTAGCTGCAGGATGAGAGGACCGGTAACAGTGATGAGATCTACCGACTAAAACCCACTGATGAACCAAATGATTCTCTGCTCATCTTGATTACTTATAGTTAAAAGCAAAATGTTTTATTTTTTTTCTCTGACAACGATGCATGCAACGGAACCATATGAACTGGTAACCTTGTTTATCTGTAAAGGGCGAGTTGTCTAACCCCTCACTTCTGCCAAAACCACAAGGTAAATACACATGCACATCCTTATTGACACTGGGAGCCACAATGTGAAAACAAACAGCCAGGAAGCCCTCTGTGAGAAAAGTTCTGGAGTAGAAACTCTGCTGTGAAATGCTGCCCTCGTGTGGCCACATGGTTTCTTAACGTCAATGCACAGCTTGTTAAATTATGACTTACCTTCTTAGACTTGTCAAAAAATGCATGTTTAATTTCCTCCAAGCTGGCATTAGATTTGACTCCCAGGAGGTCATAGTAGTTCACAGCTTTTCTGTGGAGAAAAATAACAAAAAAAAAAAAAAAAGGCAATAAACCTTCCACATAAAGCATCCATCCATCCATCCATCCATCAAACATCCACACTGCTTTTTCCCGTTCGGGGTTGTGGTGGGCTGGAGCTGAGGGGGAACTTACACACACACACGGGGAGAAGCCCTGTTCAAAGGGGATTCAAACCAAGGGCCTTCTTGCTGTGAGGTAAAAGCGCTAACCACTGCACCACCGCACAAAGCCATACTAAAAGAATAAATACTTTTGATCATGTTATATTAATTATATTATTAAATAGTACGTGAAACATTAAAAATATACTTATAAACAAAATTAAATAAAGTGTATATTAAATTCAACACACACACATACACACAGTTTACCTGTGTCTGTAGCTCTGCGAGATCATACGCAGCCCGCTCTTGCAGCACCAAAGACAACTCTGACATAGACGCAGCTGAGCCTCCAACTGCATGATGGGAATTATCCAGGGTTCCACACAGACAACCTGTGCAGAGTAGACAAATGTTAAAATCAGATATAGGGATCTGTGGCTCAGTTGGTAGAGTCGTCTCCTCTCAACTGGAAGGTCGAGGGTTCGAATCCCCGGCTGAGCAACATGTCCGATGTGTCCTTGGGCAAGACACTTAACCCTGAATTGCTCCCGCTGCTTCGGTGGTGGTGTATGAATGGGATTAGTTACTACATAGCGATCAGTACCATCAGCGTGTGAATGGGTGGGTGTGACAGGCGGTGTAAAAGCACTTTGAGCAGTCAGAAGACTAGAAAAGCATTATGTAAGCTCAAGTCCATTCACCATATAATCAAATAAAGGCTTTTACATGAGATGTGGTGAGATATTACAAATCAGAATATAACAGATCCGAACAAAACACAACATCTTGAATATATTTGTATTAAACTCTGAACACCGCAAAACTCCTTCTGATGGAACATGTTCTAGCTTTTTTTAATGACCTTGGTTGAATTGTTAATCATTTGTATTTTTCTTTTTGTCATAACATACTTGAGAATACTCCCAAGAACAAAGCATATTAACAATATCTGTTATAAACATAATTGGCTTCTAGGAAATAATCCCACAAAAATGGCTGCAGGAACATATTTTAACCTTGTAAAACTGGGTAATTGAATATATATTTAAATATTATATTGAAAACAAAGCAAATTGTACTAACTTTCTGAACTTGTCTTCCATTTCAAGAACATGTAAATACTCTCTGTATATATATATATATATATATATATATATATGCCTGTTGAATGTAACATTTTGCACATGTCATTGCGTCGTCTTTTCATTTGTCTTTAAACATATTGAATGAAAAGAAAGCTGTCAGCAGTTTCCCCACCGCTTGTTGACAGGCTTAGGACACAGGACAGGAGGAGTTAAATAGTTTAGCAAAAGGGACTTTAACAGGAAATAAAAACACATACTACCGATCCTTGCACCTGTTTGAAAACCTGCAGAAACATTAAAGTGTTTCTTCTTGGGGGGCGTCTTAACACTGGATGTTCACACGTTTTAAAACAGTGACTTCCTGAAGCTATGCAATCAGCCGTGTAGTCGTCGTTGAGTGTGCACACGAATCCTGATAATAAAAACACAAGTCAAAAAGCGCAGAAAGCGACAGTGTGTTTCCAGGAGGAACACTTTGTCCTGCTAACTAAAGCTACCGTGGTTAGCTCTGTTTGACCGACATTTGTGCGCCTCATAATAATGATCTAATTCAGCTGGCTGCGTGCAATAAAATATAGATACTAGATATTTAAAGAATGCTATAAAAAAAAATTGCTTTGAATTTAAAGCCAACCCTTTGACAAAGAAAAGTGACATACCACCGGGGCTCTGTGTCATAAGAGCAGCTTGTTGAAGTGTTATGAGTGGTTGCATAAAAGCAAGGGTCAGGTTAGTTAGAGTTCAACCGGAAGACAACAGATTTGCCCTTCAGATTAAAGTTTGCTGGATATTTCAGAATCAAATAATTTCAGTGACTAACAAGAGATGTTCTTCAGGCCATCTTTTAAAGTTTAAATGTTGTTAATTGTTTTTGCTGCATTATTACGTTATCAAGTGAGAAATGCTAATTGGCGTTAAAAAAACAAAAAAAAACCTTAGAAATATAATTGAATCAGATGTGGCCACACTTGTGTTGATCGTTAAACTGTAATTTGCATCAGGTCTTATTCACTTTCCTTCCTCTATCAGTAAAAGTTATGTTGGTTCATCTTACCTGAAAAAAGTGTGTTTAAGTACCACCTTTAAAAAACAGGGCCATTTCATTTCACTGGGGCCCTGGGTATCACTCCCAGGGGCGCCGCCAGGAACTCCGGGCCCCATGAAAAGATATCACATTGGACCCTATACCACGGCTCAAACTAACCCGGAAAATTTCTATGACCCCTCCCCCACCTCCATCACACAAATGACCCATAAAAACTTTGAACAAATATGCTTTGTTTTAGATAAATAATCACTGTAATATTTCCTCATAGTTCAAAAATAAATTAAACTTTGTAATAAACGCACCTTACAGACAGTTGAAGCAGGGGGAGAGGGGCCTTTGAGACAGACTCCACATTTTTTCCAGAAAGGAATTCTGAATGTTTGTTTATTTATTCAGACAATTTTAGTTCTCTTATTGTGGTTATAACTTAGAGAAAAAAAAAAGCGAAATAAGACATACATTTTTATTTCAGGCCCATGAAGGGCCCCCCTCCCCACTGGGGCCCTGGGTAGTCAGTCCCACTTTTCTCCCCCACTACGACGCCCCTGATCACTCCTACTTGCCCCCTCTAAGAATATAAATGTACAGTTTATAGACACAGACAACATTTTTTTTGGCACTTTATGAACTGCACATGTTGCTCCGTGGTCATATCTTGAAACTAAAGACACAATACTTTCAACACAAAACACGGGGCTTTAATTATTTTGCCTGCAACCGGAAGTTGATGTTTGTGCATGATTCCTTAACACTATCCGAACACGCCCCTGCACGTGTTACAGGATTTTAACCCTATTGTTGCCGTGTTCCCCAAAAGTCACATGAACATTTGATGGAGCTTATTTGATCTCTTTAAATGTTTTTTTTTTTTAATCAAAACTGTGTTGGGTTATTTACAGTCAATAATGGTTCAGGTAACACTTGACAAAAAAAAAAGACAATATTTACAGTCTAGAGTAGAAACCTGCAGTTTGGAGCCTTTGTCACTGGGTGGTGATAATGAGAACTATTTACATTGGGTTAACCGAGAGGAAGAAACTCTAATCTTCACTTCTTGCCTCTTCCTCTATCAATGCTTCTACCCTGTAAGGTAAGGTGAAATTCCTACAAATTTAACTTAACTTTAATTTGAATTTTTACTCTTTGAGGTTGAAGTAGGCGACTCATTAAATACAGACGGCTTTGATTTGAACTGATATTATATCAGACGTGTATGGTCTTATTCTTACGTGGTCCTTCAGTATGCTCAGCTGCAGGGTGAACTTTGTCGTCCATTGAATTGTCAACTAGTCACCTGGCTGTTTATGGTTTTAATAGTTTACAACATTAAGATGAACTCAAATAACTTGCAGCATATTTCTTATAGCATAATAACATGTTTTATAGGCGGTATATTAGCTGGAAGACGAGGAGGGGGTGTAATCATTAGATTATTGTTCATTTGGCTCCAAGAGCAAGTTATTCATCTGGTGTGATTCTTGATAAAAAACATTTCTAAGGAAACATAAACAGTAGGCCAACAAAGCTACTAAGCCATATGTAGAAACACCATAAACACATTCTCCAGGAGAAATGTAACACAAATAAAAAAACGGAAGCAGAAGTTTTCCTTCCTACTACCTAAACACTTTGAAACAACTGCATACACAGATGTGCCTGTTAACAAAGTCAGCTTGTACATCATTGTTGATTTGAATACTGTTTGATATAACCTCTACTTTTTTATTGGCCAGTGTTAATTTGTGAGGTCTGCCTGAAGGGTAAATTAATTTAAGACTATTTTTACTCCTGCAAACAAGGGAGCTACTCATGTGAAAACACCTGTGTGATAGGAACATGGCCTCTTAAGGCTTTTACAAGTCCCTTTGTGCACACAATCAGAACAGACGTCATTTATATTTGCTTTGTGTAAGTACTTCCCAGAATCAGATATTTCTTTAACAAAGATTGTATATCATTTCAACAGTTTCAACGACTGAAAGCACTCAAACCCGCTCAAAGACTTCATTATGTCTTTATGTGTCTGCAGAAATCAAAGAACCTGTTTGATTCCTGACAGCCTGTTATTACTGTGACTGAATAGTTTTGTATCTAGAGGGAGCGACCTGCTGACTCATCATCAACGAACCATCACGATGAATTGCTCTTTCCTCCATTCATCTGTGAATGTGTGTGTGTGTTCTTGGTGTTTGGATATGAGGAGTGGCGGGAGTGTTCATACTGAATACTCCGTTCACCTAAACACAATAGTTTCCTGCATTTTTTTTTTTTAGAGTGAGCTCTTTAAAAGTGTGTTTTCCCCCCTTATAATTAAAAGTACTCTTTGTTTGGGCTTTTTAGACGTGAGAATAACAGAAGCTTGACAATGTGACCATAAGTCCCCATTAAGAAAATACAAAAAAGTTGATGTGTAAAAGAAACTTTCAACATAAATTAGTAACTGCAGGGAAAAAAAAAATACAAGCAACAGTAAGGTTGTCATAAATAATATTTAAAAAAAAGGTTTATTTAGGACTGCGAAAAAATACATTAAAAAGTGAGATGAATCAAAAATATATATAATTACATTTAAAGATGGAAATAGAAATAATAAGAGGAATTAATTGAATGATGAATAAAAACGTAAACAAGTGATGTGCCATTTTTGGTTGAGTTCATAACATATTCATTTGTGTATTTGTCTTCATGGCAGCATCTGTTCTTCATGGTGAGGAGATCGATGAAGCCTCCGTTATAAGCCACAGTCAGTATCAGGTGATGGACTCTGAGGTGTCTGTGCTGCTGCACTGTGCAGCCTGGAGGGGGCTACTGGAGTCACAGGTACAGGTGGAGCTGTCAGACAGGTAAGAAGAGGAAACAGGTATCTGAATCACTTCAGTAATGCACATGGCTCAAACAGGTGAAATACTGATTTGGACAGACACATAGTACCAGTATGCTGTTTGTCTACAGAAAGATACAGCACATTGAGATCACAGAGTGTGTCTGGAGATTTCCTTTTTGTGGGACTTGTCAACAAAAAAAGGAAATCTCCAATGAATGTAAAAAAGAACCTTGAGAAAAAACATGATTTCTCTTACTGTCTTTATAACCATCATGACGTGACAAGTTTGTTTTGCTTCCACAGATTTAACAGGCGGACAGATCCGACACTGGAGTGTCAAATAGAGGAGGTTTGGTCAGAGCGAGTGTCCAAGGAGCCGTGGCTGTTCAATGGGTCCAAATTCAGACTGCACTCTTTCTGCATAGCATCTGCTATGTGTAACTCATCGTTCTCCATGTCTCCTAAACACACACACTGCGCTGATTCACCCCACATCCCGGAGTCAGGCTGCTCACTTGATCAGGAGGGGGAATTAAAACACAGCAGACAACAAAGAGAAAAGGAGATCTTGTGTAGCAGAGATTGTCTGTTTGATGTTGCGCAGAACAATTTGGAGAAAAGAAACAGAAGTGTGACTCAGGCTGAAACCAACCAGGCAGCCGCTCTATCAACACAAGCCTCGTCTGATGAGAGCGTTTCACAGATCACAGAAGATTCCGAGTCCGGGCCACTCCTCACTCTGAGACTGGGCCTGACGTGCTACAAGGACTACCTGGGAACAAACTGGTCCTGTCGAGAGGCAGAACTGCGTAAGCTGGGAGAGGCGGAGTTCAGTGATCCCTGGCGCTGCTGGCTCAGCCTCTGGGCGTTGGCGGAGTCCTGTGTACAAGTGACAGACAGGTGGTGCTGATCAGGAGGAGTCAGAGGGTGGCGGAGGCAGGGGGGCTCCTGGACATCCCCGGAGGACACCCAGAGCCAAAGGTGAGGAGGAGGAATGAAGTGACACCCATTTTCATTCATTTTTATTCAAGAAAAACTCAATCCTGACATTTATCTTTTTCAACATATGAATGGTAGCAGTATCACTGCAATCACATTTATAATGACAATAAAGAAATAGAATTTTCATTGCACCTGACCTCCATTTAAAAGTTTCTTCTGTATGAACATGGAACACTTCAGCCTTAGGTTGAGAGGGGATTCAAATGTTAATAAGAGCAAATTATGACAAGAATGACAACCTATCAATGATGTAATATATATTATTTCTATCTTTTCATTTTGTGAGGTGACTCTGATTTGATCCACTTCCTTGTTATTGCCTTTCTGCTCACTTTCCCAGTGAAGTGTTTGTACCGACATCTTGACGTGTAACGATACATTACCGCTTCCCTCCTCAGGCGGTGTTTGAGCGTCTGGGCCGGGCAGTGCAGGAGGAGCAGATTAGTGTGGACATGATGCAGCCGAGGGCGGTTGTCTCAGAGCTCTACTCATCCGTCTGCGCTGAGATCAGAGACGAGGTTTGTCTCTGTCTCAGAGGTCCACTGTCAACTCCTAGTTTCTCATCAACTGCGTTTAAATCACAGATGTGCAAATATTACATTAAGAATAAAAAACAAAAACTTTTTGTAGAATTTGGTCGTTATAATAGCTCTTAAACACAATGTTGAAGTAGGAAATATATATATATTTCAACACAAACACGCAATAGAAATATAGATAGAACAAGTAAAGGTGAAAAAAGTCATGAATAGACTAATAAAAGAAAAAACAACATTTCAATTGTGTAGTATATGTAGAATTATGTTGTTTTTTGTAACATCTTTCAACAAAACTCGTGAAGCATTTTAATAACTTAATGCAGTAAATCATGGGGGAAAGTTATGATTATTCTTTGTTAGATTAATAAGCCAGAAAAATATATCTGAAACTTCTCTCAACATGACCAGTGTTTAATCAAAGATGAAGAACAGAGACACTGCTGAAATCAGTTAAAATAACTTTTCAGATTACTAATTGAAGTGCGTCATGCTGAACCTCTCCCGCCTTCATGTTGTCTTCCCTCTGTGGGTCTTGCAGGTAAACATTCCTCTGAGGGTCCTCGGAGAACCGGTCCTGATGGGCGTCGCCCTGAATCACATCAGCGCAGGCAGACCAAGTGCTGAGTTCTATGTCAGGTATTCTTTACTACAATATTTTCTTTAGAGTAACAGTATTAGGGCCTCTGGGTATTTGTATCTTTGTTTCTTGTCTTCATTTTTGTGCTGCAAATGGAGCCGCTTATCATTTATCCACCTGTTTGTTACTAAACTTGTGTGAAATGGCTAAATAACACACAAAATTGGATCAGTGGCACAAACAAAATCAAGATATAAAGATTGAATGGATTGTAAAATGATTCACAGGTCACCAGGATCAAGAGCTGCAAATTGTTTCCTTCTCTTTTTATGTTACACCGTTTATCTGTACAAATAGTAAAGCAGGGATAGGTCACACCAAAACAACAGTAGGCTAGATTTTATATTTCAAAAATGAACTGTTGAGCAAATGTTTATTTAATTACTGATCCATTATATGGAAAGCACCTCTAAATCTTTAAATAAAGTTCAGTACAACTAGCCAAATATATCCAATAAATATGGGCTGTAGTCCTGTGCCTTTCTGCAACATGATGTCTCTAATGAAGAATATGCTGATTTAAATGTTTAAATCACGGCATGGGATGATTACTTAAGTGTCATTGTGTATTTTATATACAAAGTTTAGAAAGACTAATACAAAAAGATCTGATAGAGCCAGACAGCAGAAATGTCCATGTGAAATAAAGAATGCATAATGTTTGATGGAAGTTTGTCTTAGTGCGCCTTTTGAAAGGACGGCTAAAGATAGACAGGAAATAAGAGGGGAGAGAGAGTGGGGGATGACCAGCACTAATTACCTTAGTAAACTCCCGCACAGTCTAATTTGTAAACAAACAACTATTGGCAACGTTTTGGTACCAGACCTGCCTCAGGCTAACAGTCACATCAATAAGCATCAGGACCAGTAGTTGAACCTGCGACCAGTACAACAAAGTCTGTAGTCTCTCTACAGGGCGTGCCTGCTCTATCAACTGAGCTCAACCTCCACCCCTGGCAGTTTGTCTTGATGCTTAGTTGGTTCATGTCTGTGTGTTCATAGTTGCTCGTTGACATCAGAAGAAGTCAGAGAGTTGTACTGGAAAGGAGGCGCGGAGGCCAATGAGTCCACAGATATCGTCTTCCTCAGCAGAAAGGTCAGTTACCTATCCTTAAAGTCATACTTGTGTAGAGACAAGTTGTTGGAAAAAAAAAAAAAAAGGAACATACATTTAATGGACTCTGAAATGTACAGGATGTGTTGCAGCTGGACAGACGCAGCCCGCTGTGGTCCGAGCTGTGTCCTTCTGCTAAAGGAGCCGTGCTGCTTTATCAGATGGTGAGGCCAGACGAAGAGTGAGGAATGAGAGGACACAACGCATGAGGGGAAAAATCCCGTTGAAATGAACAAACTCAGACAGAAACATATGAGTCAAGTTCAGGTATTCATTAGTCTTTGCTAAATAGCACACTGACCAAAACTGGAAATACTATTTATACCATTTACACTCTGTACAGGAAATGTGTGAGCATATTTTAAATACAATTCCAAAAGTGACTTTATTTTAAATTGTAAACATTATTTAATAATAAAAAAAGACTGATTATCTCTTTGTAACATCACATGTTGATGAAATGTTTTTCTATTGTAAAAACAAACAGTGCAGCTGTATCTTCTCGCTCCAGGTTTCTTCATCAGTAGCCTTCATAGCCAAAGTCTCAGTAGTAGAAGCTCTGATTCACATGCCCTACATTCCACTGAGAAGGAAATGAAACCAAATAACAATGAAATATTGTTGAATTAAAACCTTAAAATATCATTCCTGAGTTTCGTATGAATATATTGGGGTTGATTTTGTAAATGATGGCAATCTTATCTGAAATATTCATAGTACTTTCAAATGCCCCTTACACACTGTCATATCGACCTGATGTATAAGTAGAAAATAAATGGTTGTAAATATTATATCTTTGATTAAAATAGTTAGAAGAATGGATCTGAAAATATACATCCCGGTGTATTTGTATTTATTATTTTTCTTCACACGGCTCTTAAAGTGTAATATAACATTAGTGAGACTCTTTTGATTGTATTTTCTTTTTGAAGATCATACATAACAGAACATGAGCTGAGAGAGTACTCACATATGTTGGCTGCTGCCTCCAAAGCTGCATGTTCATGTTGTTCAATCCTATGAAGAAAAAAAAAAAGTAAATCAACAAACATCTTAAATGATAATTTCAATGAAAAATCATCAAAAGTCATTCATTCCTTCCACTCACCATAATGTCCAGTCCACTGGATCCTGTGTGAGGGTGGAGGACTGGGAGGATAGGGTCTTCTCTTGTGAAGTCGGGGTTTCTTCTTCTCTTGTTTGGTGATAGGGGGCAGCAGTCTGTGTGCTTCCTCTTTATATTTCTGCAGGAGTGTCTGCGCCTGGTCCTGAGGCAGCTCCACATACAGCAGCTCGTCCACCAGCTCACTGTGCTGCTCTGGAAGACTGCAGCTCGCTGGAGGGAAGAAGGAATGTTTTCAAACACACACAATCTGTATTCAGTTTTTCAGCAGTTCAAATTGAATATATATGAAACCACGCAGTGAAACAAAAAAATGTGTTTGTCAGGGGAGGTTGTTTTCCTTCACCTTTCTGCAGAATATTTTTTCATCACATTTCCATTGTTGTATTTGTTTACAACATTTGTATCTTGTTGGCCATCAAAGGAGTGGGATTAAACGACTCCCAACGAGAGAATTATGTTTCAAGTCTTTTTTTTTTTAATACAATAGATTAACTTATTATAAAAGCTGCCAACATTGGTTTATTCCACCTCACTTTGTCATCCTAAACGACCATGGGGGGTCTCCTGTATTGAATCACTACCTTGCAGTTTGAGCAGAGAGGTGTCTGGTATCTGCTCCCCGTCACTCGTTTGCTGCTGGCACAGTCGTCTTCTCCACTCTTCTGCTGAGGGAAAGACCACCAGCACTCTGCGCCTGAAGCCTGCAAACAGCTGCAGCTTGTGACGGCGCGCAGAGAAGAGGATGTTGCACTGGAAACAAAGATAATGAATAGATAGAAAATTATAGGCTGACATTAACATAGAAGTTGAAGGGGGGGCTGTATCCGATCATTGTTGAAACGTTCTATACATGACAATCCAATACCTGATCATATCATTAAGCAATGCTGGTTTTGCTTCTTGTAGAACTAAACAGAATTTGAACTGATCTCCAAAGCTCAAATTTTCGGCCAGTATTTGTATGAATAGCTGACTGCAACAATAACAACACCTTCAGAGAGAGGCTGTCCAAAAATGTGCATCTTCATACCTATTTTTTAGGGTTTATTAAATCTCACTCCTTTCCAAGATAGAACACTTTTCAACTATACCCATAGTAGTTCACTTCAAGCATACCGAACCTTTAAAAAAAAAAAAAAAGGAGCTACACTTTGACGTATTTAGAGTAAAGTTCTACCTGGTCGAGGATGTAGTTGCCAGGAGTCTGAGCGGCCATCTTGATCAATTCAGTGAGACACTGAGAGGCCTGCTGCAGCTTGCTGTCCTTCTGTCCACCGCTCTACACACAAACACACACATAATGGAACACTGTTGGACCAGTAGGTCAGACACCGAACATCCTGTCTGAATGTGAATATAAAACATGAGCGCGAGACTAGAAGTTTGACTGACAATCATACAAGCCAGCAGCTCCTCTGTGCCCAGAAGTGAGTACTTCTTTGGATGATGCTTCATGTGAGACCGAGCCCAGCAACTCTTCCCTGAGCCAGGAAGACCCACCATTAGCAACACCTGAGGGAAGGGAGCGTAAGATTCAAAGTTGTCATGCTGGTTTTACAGAGTAAGGGGAATGCCTCAGCAACTACTGGATGGATAAACATGAGATCAGGCACCAATTTTGAATGATCTCCTCAGTATACATGGTGGGTTTTTTTTCCCATCCAGCTAAAAGCTTATCTACTGAGTCTCACCTCACACTGTGCCCTGACAGTAGGAGCCAACGTGGCACGCACTCTATGCTCAGCAGAAAGAGCCACCAGTGGTGTAAACCCAGGAGGGCCGGGGTACCAGGGAGGAGCTGTGGGGTCAAGGTTGAGTCTGAATGAACAGCTCTTACAGAGGATGTGAGGGAACAGAGCACCCCCTAACAGCACTGAGACACCCAGGCAAAAGGCTACACCCAGGGATCGACCGTTCTTATGGAAGGAGAGCTCAATAGCACCATCTGTGGAAAATAACTGTCAAACACACAGAAATAAGAAATGATGCCAAATTGAAAACTAGACCACATGTAACTGATAAATTAGACAGAGAATTTTCTGTAAAAAAGAAAAAGGAAAACAAGAAAAAGTCACTCACAGCGTAACAACCAATGATATCTCCCTCTGAGAATTGTTCTCCAAAGTCTTCCTCCTTCCCACCTGAAACTTTTTTACCGCGCCCGTCATAAGCGAAAGACGCTTCATCTTCACCTGGTGTAAGACATGTAGAGAGCCAGACAGACATAGAAGCAATGAAGCTTACTAAGAATAAACATCTCTATGAAAAGGTGAATGAGTCAAAAAACGATTCGTCTTATTTACCCAGAAGCAGAGAGCCGTTAGCCAACGACCAACCAACTCTCAGGCCGTACAGGTCCATGCCTGCATGTTTTTCCAGCTCAGTAGTCAACAACTTTCTCTCCAGTCTCACCTCAAAGCCCACCCTGCCTTGCAGAACCCCATGTGTGAGCCTGCAGCCGGACCACAGCAAAGGGAATCGTTCCCAGAAGCGAGGCTGGCCGCATGAACCATCAGGACTCGCCTCAAAGTGGAGGTGACCCATATCTGAGCAAACAACGACAAAAGTCAAGCTTTAATCTCTCTCTGAAATGATTGTATGACATTTTTGTTCAAGAAACCATGGTTCTATTTATGTTTCTTTGCCCAAGAGGGATGGTAAGTATTGCACAGACTTACCTAGACTGACTTTATTTTCATCTTCCTCCTTTGCCTGGTCTCTGTCAACTGGAGGTTGTGGTGACTTGGCTCTGGTTGACAGGAGAGAGAGACACATGATGCTTGTAATACTGTTTTCAAAAAAGTCCACAGAAAAAGAAGGACTTTCACTTTGCGATTACCGCTTTACCTTCGCCAAACCAAAGACGTTTGATCATCCAGGACAGAGCAGCATAACTAGATGTTTTTTCTATATTTTGGAATTTTAGATGATTATTCTTTAGATAACTACAAAATGGAACAACCTTATAGGGAGAAATAGCTCATAGCGGACGGACGAGCGAGATTGAGCGAGTGTGTCATTACGCACAGAGGAGAAAGATGAAACAGACAGACACTTAAATTGTTCACCTGTTCTATTGTAACTTCACTTACCAGAGTAAAGTGTGCTCTACACTGCAGACTGTAGTCTTTGTTAACACAATGTTTCTGTCAAAACAGCTTCAACGTGCGATGAGTGCAAATTGATGTCTGTTACTATAATAAAGTGTTAAAATGGTCATAACACGTCTGTGTGAATTTTAATTTGAGGTTTGCTGTCTGTTGAAGTAAGAAATGTCATATTTGAATGTTAATACAAAGGCCTCTTACTAACAATTATTAAAATCCCGAAGAGTCAAATGAATCAATAGATACAGTCGGCATCGCGTCATAGTTGGGGGCGGGGCCTCCCGTGGGGGAAAAGAATCACAACAAAAAACTAAAAGAACTACAAAACGATTACTCGAGTACTCGCTTTAACAATAAGAAGAGTAATCGATTAGAGAAAATTTTGTATTTCTGCACCCCTAGTACGCATATTAAGCTTCTCGGGACGGACTAAAAATCCTCTTGCGGCGTAAAAACCCGACAGGAAGTCCACGAATTCAAGTTGAATTTCACAAAAATGGCCCAAAATCGCAGATTTCAGCCTTCCCATCTGAAGGATCTTGCCCGAGGGCGCTCATCCGATCGCCGCAAACTCAGTGTCAGTGCGTTCTAGACAGGCTCAGCATATCTTGTTTGCGCTCTGCACGTTATTTCGTCAAAGGGCGTGGCTGTGTGGGCGTGGCCGTGTGTGCGTGGCTGTGTGGGCGTGGCCGTGTGGGCGTGGCGTGCGCTAAAACTTTTTTGTGCGTTTTGGCAACTTGCCAAAAAAGTAAACGCTTATATCTCAGCTATGCAGAGTTCAATCATATTACAATTTCTCATGCATGATACGGGACCCGCCCTGAACACATCCATGATTGACAATTTTTGGATAAGTCACAGCGCCACCTGTTGACAACAGGAAGTTACTGCTTCTCAATTAGCACTAACCATTGCAACACAGTAGCTCATTTCCCCTCTCAGAATTAGTGGGGACCATTCAAACACCTTGGCCATACAACACTTTAAAGCTCAGACACCTACGTCCAACGCTGTCGCCATACGGACGCGTCATTCGCCGTCAAACGGGAAGTGGTTGTAACTCTCATATACTTTGTCTGATCTGCCTAAATTTACACAGGTATGATCAGGGATGGCCTCTGAACACATAGACATAACAATAGTCAACTTTAACCATAGCGCCTCCTACTGCAAGGAGTAAGTACTACATCCTATACACTTTGTCTGATCTACTTCAAATTTCACAGGTATGATCAGGGTTGGTCTCTGAACACATAAGACATCACAATAGTCAACTTTAACCTCTACGTCAAAATTTTCTGTGATCTTCATTACGCTGCCTATCTCAGCATACCATAGTATGACTTTTACACAAATCGGATGCAACACACCCCGACATTCAGAGGGGTGCGAGGGCCCTTCATCACCGCTTGTGGTTTTAATTCTATTATTGTATGTTTTTCACCCTTTATTTAACAGATGTAAATATGTTTGATTTTTAACTTCTTGGTATTTTTAATAATTATATTCCTGCTTCCTGTTTTCTAGAGTTGTTGTAACACAAACATTTCCCCCATGGGGGATCAACAAAGTTTATCTTTATCTTTTGTGTTGGCCGACTTTAAGTTAGTTTCTCTCATGCTCTATCAGCTGTCAGGCCAACATTTGCTACCTTTTGTATCGTATCTCCTCTTTGAACTCGTAGAAAGCTCTTCCTCTCCTCCCCTCCTCTGGTGACTGAGCTCCCCGCTCATCTCCTCGGTCGTCTCCTCGGTCATCTCCTCGGTCGTCTCCTCGCTTATCTCCTCGGTCGTCTCCTCGGTCGTCCGCCTCTCCTTCTTCGTCTTGGCTCTCTGGTAAACACTCTGAGATAACCTCGGAGCCTTGTTGTGGTGTTGGTCTCCCAGCATCAGTGTCTGTTTGCGTGGCAGAGTCCGTGTACTTTCTGACACCTTCAGGTGCACTAACCTCGGTTTCTGTCGGGGTCGGTGACGCGTGAACCGTCTCTGTAAAAGGTGCAGTAAAGTTATCATTTTGTACTTTGGGGTTTTCTTCGACGTCTTTCCCACTTTGACCTGCTTCCAGTGCCGACCACAGCCGACCCACCAGCTCAGCCTTTAGCCCCATGCAGTCCAAATTAAGTTCTTTAAGTCTGGAGCGCAACTCGGCAACTTTTAACCTTTTAATATCCGTAAGCTTCATTGTTTTCCTGAGTATAAATCTGTTGTCGGCTTATTGGAGGCAAGTCTTTTTTCTTTTTTTTAACAAATGAACCCAAAGTAACAGTCAAAAAAAAAAAACACCCAGATCAAAACAACGATTCAACATGGTGCCCTGCTTTGTGATTGGCTCTTCTCTACTTCCTCGTTTTAATGTTTGGCAGACTGGAGACCCACGGATACTCCATACTGCCATCACAGGATTAGAAACGTTACTACACCTGGAGTCAAACAGGATGATCCCAAAAATGTGTGATTTTCCACACCACTACAGATTTCCTCTGCTGTTCATACCAGTATTGTTACTTCCAAGTGAGAAATCCAACTTTATGTATTTACTCAGTAGTTACAATAGTTATAAAGGATGTATCAATGTTGTGTTTTAATGTTTTTGGCACAACAGAATTGTGGCACAGCCTATCTAGTCGAAATGTAATTTATTTATTTATGCGGATGATTGTAATTTTTAGTATGCATGTAAGGTGAAGTGAGACTTTCCACAATAGGAAATCTTTTATTTAAAAAAACAGAAAAATCCCCCCCCCCCCAAAAAACAAAACAATAAACACATGAATGTTAAATAATGTCAAACAGAGTTAGGTTCAAAAAGTAAAAACATGACAATGAACAGTCAGATTTCATATTTTACATTTATTTTTCAGTAGAATTTCTGTCTTATCTCTCTTTACTTCAGATATTTTGCTCCACTGTTTGTGTCTCATTACAACCAGCATGAAAGATAAAAGAAAAAAGTGTAACCACAAAAGCAATTTCTTTCCTTTTCACTGACACTTTTGGGCTCTGCAGAAATATCTCTCCATATGCAAATGTTCACAGATTTGTGAACGTTTACCTCCTTTACTTTTATCATCAAGTATCGATGGAGAGAATTTGTCCTGCTTCATTACTGCCCTGTCATGGTTGTCTCCACACAAACAGAATCATAACAACAGTCGTCACAAGAAGTGAGAGGGTCAACAGGGATTCTTTCTGCTACATAACAGAGTATAAAGTCATGCTCACACAGTGAGCCTGTTTTATATGGTAGTTCAGTCTCACTTCCACCACATGCTTCACATTTAAAGCTTCAGTGCTACATCTGAATATTACACTCAGAACGGTCAACAGAAATGTATTCTCCACAATGAGGTCAGGTGAATAATATCACTCTCCTACAGAAATGTAAACAACCATGCATATATTAAAAAACACAGTTGATAATTCACCTTCTGGTTGGTTTTGAATGACACTTTGAATATTAGGTCACTGAATACATATGCTTCAGTTATTCTGACATGTTCTCTTTTTCATTTCCTTGTTTAGTCCCTTTTTGTCCCTGCTATTTCTAAGTTATGTCCTTCAAATACTTAGTAACTATAATGTTGTAATAGTTAAGAGATACAATTACAATAAAGTATATAAAAATCTAGGCTATGACTAATGATGTTTCAACTGAATGGAAGAAAATTATCAGGAAAACCAGTTTTTCCATATTGGGGGCACGCAGAAGAAAAGAAAAATCATAAGGAGCCTATTTGTGTGCAGTTCAACTAAAGAAACCAGATACATCATTTTACAATCACTGATGGCGGATTTCCCAAATTAATTTTACCATCCAGTCACTTGTACTAAATCGACATTATTACTGGTTACTTTTTCTGGATCAAAATCTGAGTAACAAGTTCAGTAAATAAATCAGTTTTACATAAAGCAGATAAAGGGTCTCAGAGGAATTAAAAAAATACTTTTTTTTTTGTTTAGATGTCGGACTGAAATGTAATGTAAATATAATACATACATGAAGAGGTACACACTGTTGTTTTTGTTTGAGGTGATGGACAGCAGTGTTATGTAAGGTAAGAAACATAGGCCCTGCTGAAACATCATTACGCTGACAGATAATGGACTTCAGTATTCAAAGTTCTGATTAAAATATATACATGCTGATATTTCTAGAGAAAACAGGGAAAAAATGTTTTTCATTAAATTTGGCACGCTGCATCTTTGGGATTCACTGACATTTCTTGTTACTTCTAGAGTGTATCTGTCAGGCGTTATTATGTAAGATGATAAATTATATCTTAACAAAAACATATCCATAATGTACATGCAGTAGTGAGAGCTTTAGAGTGCAGCTTTAAGAATATGGTCTTCTTTCACTTCCATATCACATATCAGACCAGGAGGATGGATGATGATGCAGACTGTGGAGGTGAGGGGGAACGGCTGTCAGAGGGACTGTGTCCCAGCAGCATCTCCTTCTCTCGGGGACGACATGGTCTGCTTATGTGCTGGCTGTGAGAGTGGTAGAGCCTCAGGAAAGCCAGGATGGACTGAGTCAGCCACAGCGCGGTCACACACCACAGAGACACCTGAGGATAAGGGGTGGGAATTTATTAAGCTTACAGAAACATCAATCAACTCAAGAGCTATGTTCACTTCAATTTTAAATAATAACTGCTGCTGTGTGTGTAAACTCTGTTTAGATATATAAACACAAATGTAATATTCTACCACCATCTGTTGGTTTCAAAAAAATCAAGCTGCTAGTCACTGAAACAGGGCACCGGTGGTCAAGCAGTTAGTTCACACGCACAGAGGCTGTGATCCTAAAAGTGAAAGGCCTGGGTTTGAGTTTGACCTGTGTCTCTTCTCCCACATGTGATTCCCTACTGTTCCTCCCTAATTTCCGACTATCTGCTGTCCTCTCTGAATGAAGGCATTAAGGCCAACTGTAAATTTAAAACAACAACAAAAAAAACACTTAAAGTTCAACTGACTCTGCATGTCCCATCCCTCGAGGTAAGAGTAATGATTTCATAACCAGTGAATTTGACTGATCAATAACTTTCAGTAAAAACTTCAAAGTCCAACACTTCGCACGAAAAATAATTCAGAAGTCTGTTGCACACTTAAAATAACATTACTGTATTTAATTACTTTGGCTTGAGGTGAATTCTCCTGAGAATATCCTGCCACGTTCTCATATCAGCTAACTCAGACTTGCTGCTGAGAAAATAATCGGAGGCTGGCAGGAGAAAATCCAGGTGAAGTCCGAGTGAAAAATGTGGCTGTTTGCATTCACACATTCAGCTGTTCCTGGAAATATCAAGAGTTTTCTGCAAGTGTGAAAGCCCTAATTGTTTTACCTGTGCCAGATTGAGCTCCATGTAGAAAGAGGAGGTGTCCACATCCAGGTAAAGTGGAAAAGACTGGGACTCTGCACAGCTGAACACAAACAAACATGTAATGAGAAACCACACTTACAGAATGGCACATCTGCTTTATAAATGCATCATCAACACTTGATCACATGTTGTAAAGATGTAGCACTGTAGTTGGGATACATACAGATGAATATCATGACATTATAGAAATTAGGGCTGGTTAAAAATATCGATTCATCAAAATGCATTGCAATTATTTTTTTCCCCAATTCAGGGAAATCCTGAGATCAATTATTCAACAAGTAACAGAAGGTACTGTTATTAGTTATCTGGTTATTTCTGTTATCTAAGCGTATTATTAAATCTATAATGAAACATTTGGATCGATATCTAATAGATATTGAATCGTGACCCAAAGAATTGAAATCGAATTGAATTGTGAGGCTGTGTACAATACCCAGCTCAAACAGAAATGTGACAACAACAGTCAGACAATGAGTACCTGAAAGGCCGTGTGTTGTCATCGGTCACTGTGTCACACCAGGAAACCAGCCCCAGGGACAAGATAACACTGGCCCCTCCAGATAGGAACAGCACACACACGCTCAGCAGAACCGTCAGGAAGGATGAGAACAGGGTGCTGGGCAGAAAACACACATGAAACACATCAGACATCACATACGGCTCAAGAAATACATTGGGCATGAGAGTAATCACAGCTAGGAGAGCTGAAAGTATGTTAATCTATCATTTGATCATTGTAAAATGTATTATGTTAAATTACTTAAGAATATTTTAGGCATTGTTTCACACCAAAATGCAACAATTCTCTGCTTCCTGCCTCTCAACTGTGAGGATTTGCTGTTTCCTTGACAAAGTGAACTGAATATTTCAGAGATTAGGGCTGTTGGTGAGTTAAAACAAGGCAATTGAAAACATTTCCTTAAAGAAAAATATGAATCAATTGGGCTCCAATAATGACTAACTCTGTGATGAAGAAAAGCCAGTTATTGTTCAGTCAGAGAATCTGTTTGTAGGTGTCAATACGCATTTACATTACTTATTGCTTATGGACTTATTCAAGGTTCTGCATGAATATGGATGTTAATTCATTAGGAGCATGGGCATTTACTCAACAACACATGCTGTGTGTTACAGTGTATAAATATATTTACAGCCTCTAAAAATACACTCAAAAATCTGCTTTTTGCACTACTACTACTACTGCAGAAGCACAGCACATCAAAAAAAGTGACAGCTTTTACTTCAGTTAAAAAGGACAGAAATGTTACTCAACCAGATATGCTTAAAGTGCCAAAAGAAGTTAAATGGCAAATTTCAGATTCTGTATATGACATCATAACTATTCAGCAGGTATACAAGGGACTTCTTAAATTACATTATATGTCCTATCTTATAATGATCATACAGTAGCTTTTACTTGCCACTGTAACTTTGCTAAATGTTATAACTAGAAAAAGACAATGAATGAATGACTGAATTTAAATCTTCAGAGTAACAAACGTTTCAATATAGTATGCAATTAAGTAATTAAATATTTGTCATTAACACCGTACAGGAGTAGAAGTAAATTGTCATACAAAGTAAATAAACAAGTAAAGCAGGCTGCCTCTAAATTGTAATACTTAAATACCTTCATTGCATGTCACCACAGTACATGATATCAAGTCTCTCTACTTGTGCTGCCCTTGTAGAGTTAACCAGAGAATTGGGTCAGTGGTGATGTGCCAGTGGACTCACTCGTCATGTCGTCCGTGCAGATAGAAGAGACATCTCCAGCCCTGCGCTGCACCGTACAGCACCGTGAAAATACCGACAAATGTGGAGAACTGGCAGGCTGCCGGCGGTCCCCACTGCCGTACCACCAAGTGGGCGACGTCTCCCGTCATCTCTGCCTGAGTCTCTGTCCTCCAGTAGCCGGTGGAAAATAGTGCACAGCGGCCTTTGAAAGCGGAGCCGTTCAGAGCCATGGGCACGACCACCAGCAAGCCCGCAACGACGGACAGGGCGTGAACCGTGCAGTGGGCCAGCAACAGCCGCCGGTCCAGCTCCATGTTAGAAGTCGAAAAAAGTCCCAAAAGTGAAAGTATTCATGCAATTAAACGAATAAGTAAGAACAACACTGGACTACGTCAACGCATCCCCGTTATTTACCGTACAACGCTTCACCGTGCTCGTAGGTATTTAAAGATGCCTGGGCGGGGACCCGGCCGTCAACAGTGAGGGGAGGGGCAAGTACTGAGGTCTCACTCCGCCACTATTTACAAGAACCACACACAACAACAAAAAATTGTTTATCTTCTTTGAATGAATCACACTGGATCATAACGACAGCAAAAAGCAATGAAGATACAAACTCAGTGATAGACCAACAAACGTGGTCATGGCCATGGTCTGAGTTTTTCAAATATGATACTTACTAATTATAGGGGCCAAAAAAAATCTCCCTTGTGGAGGACGCTATTACAACTATGTTTTTTTTAATATTATTTAATTTTAAGACAAAAATAACCCAGAACTTCACATTTTTCAAAACAAGTCCAGTTTTTTTTTTTATATAATAATTTGCTGAAAGCTCTCAACTGCTGAGAGGAACGCTCCCCTTTTTGTTAAACTGGGTGTTCGAGTAATTTTTTGATCAAAGTGTTACATCTTTTTTTTGTATAAACGATCATTGGTTGGCTGCCAGAAAAATCATCCAGCAGTGACGTAGTCGTGGCGACATGACGTTGTTTTAGACAACTTGCCTCCTTTTATCAGCTCATGCTGTAGAGTTGAATTTGAATTTATTTATTTATTTAATTGGGACAATGCAATTTAACATAATTTCAATACAAAGCATGAAACTGATGTGCTGCATAAAGAGTATATAGCTATTGCTAATTTCCAACTCGTGTGCCCAGTTGGGCTTTTGTGTAAACAAACAGATTAAAATGTACAACATTCAGTTACATAAAACCCCATAACACAACATGAGGATACATTAAAATACATGTACAACAATACAAATGTTATAAACCAGTTTAAAATAAAGTTTGAAGATATTAATTAAAAGTGGGTACAGCTCTGGCTTGCTTTGAGCCAGCATTTCACCTGTTTTGTAAAAGATTTTATTTCAGGTGGTAATGTGTTCCAGAGTTTGCAGCCTTTGATGGAGAAGGCTGATTGACCAAACGTAGATCTACGATGTTGTACGCTACAGTCTCCATTCACAGTGCTTCTCGTTACACTGTTTCCGTCCTGTCTTTGAACGCATCTGGAGAGAGGTTCAGGGGCCAGATTGTTGATACATTCAAAAACAAGTTTGAGGAAACATAAGTGCATAAAGCTCTCAAGACTGAGTAGATTGTGTTTTTTCAGTATGTGACAGTGATGCCAGCGGACAGGTTTTTTGTCCATTATTTTCAGGGCCTGGTTGTATAGTGATGAGAGGTTTGTGATTGTGAAGCTTGTGACCAAACTGTCATACAGTATGAGAAATGAGAGAAAATCATTGAATGCATGAACACCTGTGCTGCTTGAGAGGATTGATTAATTGATTAATCACGCCGCAGACAGAAATGATTGTCTGCAAGGTATCTTTGATGAATAGTCTGATCAGTGACGTGAATCAGCAGACATTTCGGGCATTGCAGCACTGTGCAGTTTAGTCTAAGTTTATCCAAATATGGATTTTTTTTTACAGCATAAAAATAAATTTGCATTTATTTTCAGTGCATTTGATAAAAAGTTAACCTCTTAAAGGTGCACTATGGAGTTCTGTTGGTGAAATTTGGAAGTTGGAGAAGTGAAACAATTGTGTGCTATATTTTCTGAACTGACTGCACAAACTTCTCTCAAAGAAAAATGTGGTCCCTGGAACACTGTTTAGAGCTTAAAAGCTACCAGGAGAGATACGGTATCACTGCTGCGGCCCCCCTCCATAACTTCAAACTATCATTTTATCTTCAAACAGTGTTAGAGGGATCACATTTTCCTCTAAAAAACAGATTTATTGAATTATGGACATATACCACAGAATTTGTACACTTCTCCAACTTTCAAATTTCTCTACCAAAACTACACAGTGCACCTTAAACATCAAGTTATAGACCTACTATTTGTCTTTCTTGTTCTCCTTTCTTGTTATAATCCTTAGTATGTTACATATTACAAGTTAGCTATTACAAGACAAATTATTTGCCTGACCTTTGTCATGCTGGTTTCAAATAGCAAACACAGATATTCTGAAATTCTAGAGAACCCCATGCATCCAATTACTTGTCTGGTTAAAGGGATAGGACAGAGAAACATTACTATTTACAGAAGCACAACAGACAACAACAAAGCTGGATGGAACTAAGGTTCACGTTGCGTTTGGAATATATAGCCTATTTTAAATGTTCCCATAGGGTCCAGGTGGATGCCTGTGGGACAGACACAACTGTCCAGTCCCTTTCCCCCTTTCATCCTATAAAGAAAACTGGTCTTTACTGCTATTTTAGTATAAAAATGAAATCTTAAAAAGCCTATGTGTGAAGACATCTTCTGTTTTAATAGTGTGTTGTAATCCACCAAATGAGCAGAGCACACACTGTGAACTCTAACACAAAATGAATTAATAAACATGTTACATTATCTGTACAAAGAAGTAAAAACAAGAAAACATCAACACACTACATGAATAAAGGCAACGTGATGAATGTGCTTCCATAATGAAATTATAACTACAATAGCATTTATTCTTTGGGGTTCATTCAAAAAAAAATTACACTTCTGATTTACAATTCACAGACAAACAATGAAAACAGGCAGCCTAAATGGTATAGAACATGATTTTGGTCCGTTTGGTTCACGCTTCACGTTATAAACATCATATAGTTCTTATGGGCAAGCTGGCAATACTGGAACCAGGCAAACAAGAGCAGCTGTTTAAAGGCATTTTCTATTATAATTCCTTAAGTTAAAATAATATTATATATTTTTAAATGTATACACAAATCATAAAATATAACCCGTTTGTGTAGCCCTACTGAAGACTAACCAGATCAAGTATGCCGAAATGTCAAAATGCCGAAACCCGGGATCGAACCAGGGACCTTTAGATCTTCAGTCTAACGCTCTCCCAACTGAGCTATTTCGGCGATGAAACAGAGAGAATACGCACTCCGATTATAAACATGATTACGATTACATGATGAATGTTATGAAGAAAAGGCCAGAGTATAAAGACGCTTCAAACTATCATGCATGTTAACATCGTTGTTTCTGCGCCTCTGCAGTGACATGACGTCCTCACACACACACACACACACATACACAAACACACGTTGTGACGTAATCGCCACGCCCACATCAATCGCAGTGGCTGTTGGGAAGAAAGGTCAAGAATCGATGGCTGCGGAATGCACGGATTTACTGCCGTGAGAAAAACTATCTCTTTACAGCTCAAACTCCGACTCCCTGAGAAACTGCTTAACGATTTTAGACAACACCGAGTGCTATGCTAGCGACAATACATCGACATTTTTTATCATATCTTTCGTTGATTTCTCTGAGACTCAGTCGACAGTCTGGCTAGCTCCCGTTAGCTGGCTAGCATTGTTTTTGTTTTCGATTCATTTTGGTGGTCGTAGAAAAAAAAAAAAAAAGTAGTCCCCGAAAGTACCCCAGCCGAGGCTAGGGGTCTGGACTGCACGAGATATGTTTTTCTGTCCGTCCCGGGAAGATGGATGAAAGGTCCAGCGGCAGCAGCCACCACAGGCTCTTAATAGTCCTGCTCATGGTGTTGCTCTTCGGCGTCATTACCATCCAGTATGTGTGCCCGAGCGGGTCTGAGTGCCAGATGCTGCACCAGCTGATGTCCTGGTTCAAGGACGGGAGCGGTGCAACTGGTTCCCGAGGCCGGGGCGATCACACGCAAGCAGGGCTCCAAAAGGATCCGTACATCGCAGAAGACGGCGCCCTGGTCCGCTTCGTTCCTCGCTTCAACTTCACCAAAGCGGACTTGAACCGCGATGTGGACTTCAACATCAAGGGAGACGACGTAATAGTTTTTCTGCACATACAGAAAACCGGTGGCACCACGTTTGGTCGACACCTGGTGCGTAATATCCAGCTGGAGAGGCCCTGCGAGTGTCACGCAGGTCAGAAGAAGTGCACCTGTTACCGCCCAGGTAAAAAGGAAACCTGGCTTTTCTCGCGTTTCTCCACCGGCTGGAGCTGCGGGCTCCATGCGGACTGGACTGAGCTGACCAGCTGCGTCCCGTCACGCATGGACTCTAGAGAGGTTCCCGAAAACATCCCCAGGTTGGTGAAAGACCAGTATCAAAGTATGAAATAAACTCTTGAGTGTAGAAATGTTGTTTCAGGTTCACAGTGTTGCGCAAGAGATTCTTCTGTAGTACATTAAGGTCGACAGACATATTCAATGGAAATCTTACACGAACTTGTAATCTTTTAAGCTTTTTTCAGTTGTGTGTTTTTTCCTTGAGTACTACTATTATAATTTCATTCAGCTTTACTTGTCCTTTTTTTCAAATAGACGAATTAATTGTGTCTAAATACAAACCTTATGTCCTCCTTGTCTCTCCAGAAGGAACTATTATTATATCACCATCTTACGAGATCCAGTATCACGGTACCTGAGTGAGTGGCGCCATGTGCAACGCGGTGCTACATGGAAGGCTTCCTTACATGTGTGTGATGGACGTTCCCCAACCCTGTCTGAGCTGCCGAGCTGCTACTCAGGCGACGACTGGTCAGGGTGCTCCCTGCAGGAGTTCATGGACTGCCCTTACAACCTGGCCAACAATCGGCAGACCCGCATGCTGGCTGATCTGAGCCTAGTTGGTTGCTACAATGTCTCTGCCATGAATGAGGAAGAGCGGTGGGCGTTACTCCTTGAGAGCGCCAAACGCAACCTGCTTGGCATGGCCTTCTTTGGCCTGACTGAGTACCAGCGTAAGACCCAGTATTTGTTTGAGCGCACCTTCCACCTTGAGTTCATCACACCTTTTACACAGGTCAATGGCACGCGTGCATCCAGTGTGGACGTGCCTGCTGAGACAGAGCACAGGATCCTCAAACTGAACCGGTGGGATGTGGAGCTGTATGAGTATGCCCGTGACCTTTTCCTGCAGCGTTTCCAGGTGGCCAGGCAACAGGAGCGCAGGCAGGCCAGGGAGAGGCGGCAGCAGGAGAGGAGGCGTCTCCGTGGAAGGCTCACGACAAAGCAAGGGAGGCAGATGAAGCCCACTGAACCACCCCGTCATCCCGACGGACACTCTGTAGAATCTGAAGACAGGCAGAGGGGAAAGGCTCGGGGTGACGGTGAGGAATCTGATGTTCTTTTCCCAGCCTGGTGGGATCTGGATGAGAACAGCACCCTGGAGGATTACATGGACAATGTAGAACAGTGGTAATGACAGGATCAAGCAATCGGGTGTCTTAAAGCTTAGTGTGCCAAGTTCTGCCTTGTTTTTTTTTTTAATCAATCCAAGTAATTTTTTGTAGATGCCTTTTACTTAGTTTTTTTTATTCTTACCATGGATTAATAATGACACATTTATTTATTGATACTGATTGTATTTCTTTGTCATAACAGATATTCAAAACGGATACATTTCCCTGACAGAAAGAAAGGCTTGTCTATGTAGTGCAGTCCTTTACCTTTAAGTGATCGCCTAAGGCTTCCAAACTATTATCCTGGCGTAGTAATACCTCTGGACTCTTGTGATATAGCTTGGAATGAGGCAGAGTTCATTTTTTTTATTGTTAAAAAAACAATGTTGTTCTTGTTTCTATAGTAGTATGCTACTGTTTGTGATTTACAATCTATGTTTGCCAAATTGTTGTCTTGTCTGACACATGTTCATTTTAAAATGTAAATGTGAATTTAAGTGTCTTAATTCACAGAAAAGGAGAATGGAATCTTCATAGTTACCTCAATGTGTTGCATTAACTGCTAATGTTGTAAAAGTACTGAATGTGTTTAAAGTCTTGATTTTATATAAAACACTTTTACATTCACCTCATGATTATCTTTGTTCCTTCCACACTGACATGTCCCCCGTTTTCCTTTTGCACTGATCTTTTTGCGCAGAAGATTTCAGGTGTTGTGTCGCACTTGCAGATACCATGAAAACCAGCAGGGAGCGCTGAAGTCATCGCAATAAAGGCAAAGTGGATTTGCAGAGGTTGTGGTTGACATCACAACATATTCTTTAGTTTGGTTGGATTTACTACAGGGATCATCTTTGACAGGTGTTTCGAAATTCGAAGAATTGTTCAGCACTCCAGTAAAATGAAAACGCTCACCCAGACTTGACTGGGATGATTGTTTTGTTAAAAAGTGGGATTGTTTATTTTATCAGCAAAGTTGCATCGACAGGGACGGCCGAGTGATGAGCTCAGAGCTTGTGTCGTTTAACTCTTATACACATTTATACAGTAAAACATATTTTAATAATTTTGTTTGGACTATAAAGCAGACTACTATCATGATCCTACCGTTGTAATGAAAAACAGTGATTAAGGAGAAAACACTAACTCACATTGTATATTCGAGTCATTTTTTACCAGAAACACTTAAGCTAAATAACACTCCTCCTTTTCTGCCCTCATACTCTATTGACATATTTCTGCTGCTAATAAACTGCCTTTTTATATTTAGATTTAGGCAATAGAAAACATGTGACAGAAAGAGGAAACAGAACAAAATAAAATTGTTTAAAAAAGGAATTCAAATACTTTTTTAACATTTTTTTTTTGTCCAGGCACACATTCAAAGTGACCCACTTTTGGTCCCGACCCACCAGTTGAGAACCACTGTTCCCAGCTGTTTTCAGTGAAGTTGAATTCTTACTTTCTGTTTTTTTCTTAGGCCAACGATAACCTATATTTTATTTGTTATCGCTAGTTAGGCCTATTTCGCCTCTTTTTTTGGAGGTAGGTAGTTGCATATAGGCTTTTGTATGTCAACAGTGTTAGTCTTTGGTTACATTATTTAAGTAACAGCCCTGTGTTCGGCTCTAACTGGATTTTTGGGCCAGCATTTTCCTAACCATGTTGACACTAGATATTATGTACACTACCTTTACCCTCGGTAAAAAAAAAAATCTGGACATAATGCGTCACACGTACCAAGAACAGACATTCATCCGCCGTGTGTGTGTGTGTGTGTGTGTGTGTGTCTGTGTGTGTGTGTGTGTGTGTGCGCGTGTGTTTAGAAACAAACCCAAGTGTACAGGCTGTGCGTACCTGCAACGTCGTCGTGACTTTGATTTCCCCTGATTCTAACGATGTTACCTGATAACCGAAGGCAAAACCACACACTACTCTCTCTCCCTCTCTCTCTCTCTCTCTCTCTCCAACTCCTCCCTCACCACTTTGCCCTCCCTCAATTTTTTCAAATGTGTTATTCAGTCGGTGTTGCAGCCGAACACATTTGGTTGCAGATGCCAGTCCAACCCCGCTTCTTTCCCTTCGCCGCGGCGCGAACACGTTTATATTTTATCTGATAATTCATACCTGACAAAAACAAGCTTTTCCGAATTATTTCACTTCCCATCATAATTAAAGGCTGTGTGTCCGACTCGAAATGCGTCTTGGCAAATAACCATTTTTAACTGGCGTAGGAGACACTGGAGTCTGGATACGATTGGACTGTAAACAGGTGAGGCTGAGCACGTTTTACGCAGTTGAGTTTGCAGCAATATTAATTTTGACCTGTTATAGAATCCATGATTAAAAAATATGTTTCCCTCTCCTGTTGCGTTGAGGCTCAAAGCTGCTGTTGTTGTTTTTTTTAATACGGGTATAGTTGGTATGTTACACTTGGGAACAACAGTAATAACATTTAGGCTTTATATCAATTTTATAGGCCTATGTATTGTTAAGATCTGTCGTTGCTGAAGGCTATGTTCCATATTTCTACAATAATACTATTGGCTGCAGTCAGGTTCAAGTCTGGAATCTGCACACAAGGGTTTGGTTGAATCTAATACGCAGGATATTATTGGCTGACAGCGTTTCAAGATTTTTTTGTTGTGATGCCGAAAAGTGTAGAGCAAAAATCCAAAACCAAAACATACAGCCTATATGTCATAACTGTCAGATTGTGTTTTGCCACGATAATAATGTCTTTGCCTCCATACATTACTGCTGGTAGAAGTACAGAGCACCTGCAGGTTGCTTCCTGGTTTCCTGCTTGGAGGATTTTGCAGCCACTCTCCATGCATGCATTCAGTGCAGGCAGGCTGAGCGTTGTCCTTGTTTACCCTCAGGGGTTAGACACTCAAGCCACCATGGCAGACTGTGTTGTCACTTGTTGCCTACATGTACTGTACGCACATCCAGTGGGTGTAATGCCATAATCTTGGCCTATTTAACAACCCAGCCAAGTTAGGACAAGTTCACACTCCCTCCAGGCTGTAGACTCTGCACCAGTCTAGCTAGTTCTTCTTTACTTATAATATAAACTGACACACACACACACACACACACACACACACACACACACATTCACACACACACACACACACACACACACACACACACACACACACACACACACACACACACACACACACACAAGCATACTGCCACATTTCCCACACAACCTGTTTTCATTTTCCCTCCCACACACACACACACACACACATTAAACTCTCTATATTGTATGGGGCAAATGAAGGTTTTCAGTAACAATTTAGCAGTGATAACAAATCAAAATTGTCATATTGACACACCATTATAGATTTCACTATAATATACAGTTTGTCCACATAGTTCACTTTTATAATCTCACCAGGATTATGGTGAAGTAAAATGAAAGCTGCAGGTTGTACACTTTATTCAGACTAGCCTCCATATTACAGCGATGAGCTAAACTTTATTATTTCATGTCTCTCCCACTTTGTGATAGGATAGGCCTGTTTTATGTTTGTTTGAATGGGAACTGTGGTGCTTTAATGAGATGAAAGGATTACTGATACTTAACCTAATTACTTTGCTCCGTCCCTGCGTGCTGCTGGCTTCACTCTCATTGTGATTTATGGATCCCCCACCTTTTTAATCAATATTCTGTTCATTGAGGTTATCCATTTTTTTTTTGTACACTTGTCCTTGTTACCGCTCTTGAAAGAGTTGTCTGTAGGTGAGTTTTGCTTAGTTAAAGATCAGGGTTGTGTTTTAAAACACTGTATTTGAGGAAACCAACAAGCTTTGGGAAACTCAAGACAAAAAAAAAACAAACTAAAAGTCACAGTTAACTCAGAAATTGTGACTCAGATCTTTTCCAGAATTTTTTTTCCCAAAGTCAAATATAGTTAAAATCATTTGTTGTCAACACTAAGCTTTTAAAAATATATATTTTTATGATTCTTTTTATTTCATTTGGAAAATCTCTGTTTTTGTTTAAATTAAAACTATTTCAGATTTGTCCATTTTGGGATTTCTCTGTAGTTTCCTGTTTTTGTTCCCATTTATAAACAACATGATCACCATGAAACACTCATCTTGTGCTCTTCTTACTCTAGAGTAACCAATAGACTCAACACAGATATAACAACTTCTATCAGTGCTGTTACAGTGTTGATAATGTTACTGATATTATTCTTTCTCTATTCTCAGGACACAAACATTTGCTGATGCCCCCAAAATATATACTGTATACTTGAATAATTTAATTTGTACCATAAAATATCGTTGACTTGGAAACTAATGAGCCCAACTCATGGTGACTTGTCAACTATAAATCTGTAGCGTGGGGCTGGCCTATATCCACCAAGCTAGCCAACACATGGCTAAAGAATGGTAGAGAAAGGGAAGCTGGATACTGTTGGTGATGTCAGAGATGCACCTGCTCTCTTCATTAAAGTTGTTTATGGATTGTTCTGGCAGTGCAGGTTTATAGGTTTTGGGGGACACAGGAAAATAAAGCCTGGTTATTTTGTACGGTTGGATAATCTCAAATTGCTTACTCTTCTGGTGGTTTCTCCAAAGTTGCATATACTCCAACTTTAATCTAGATCAATCCACAATAAGATCACTTATAGAGCAAGAGTAAATGTGTAATCAACTTGTCACATTGTTTCAGCTCTTTGAGTCTTACTTCCACTGCAGCAGATACCTCAACTTAAACTAGCCCCTTCACTTATGTTCATTCTTCAACTTCTGTCTGCACCCCAGTTTCATCTGTCAAATTCTACACAAATTTCTTGTGTTTTTTTATTAGCTGTTTCAGACATTTGAAGTGCAAATTTTCGGCAGTGAGCAAACAAACATTTTCTCAGAATTTGTAGTTAACCTGTGAGCCTGCTGTTAAAGCCTACAACATTAAACATTCCCATTCATTGAAAAATGTACATCATGCTCATAATCCATTAGATAATCTTAAATTGCAACAATGGAACACTTTTTACATTTTAAACCAACAAAAGTTGCAATCAACCATTGCCTAAAAATTAAAAAGACATAGTCATCAAATGAAACCCTGGCTGTAGCAGGATAGTAGAAAACGAGCAAAGGGAAATATCTGACAGCAGGAAAAAAGAATAAAGGGGCCTTTATCTTAACAGTGTCAGCCTCCTTTTCCTAGACTGCACGACTGACACTCTATTAGTCGTATTGGTATACAGCTACCCTTCAGTGTGAGCAGAAAAGGTGTGCAGCTTCCTGTCGAGGTGGCACCAGATACTCACTGGGCATAATGCAGACGTCAGAGCTCTGATGAAGGTTATACAGCTGGGAGCCGTTTGGTGCACTATTTGATGAGGGACGCAGTGCGCAGGTCAGGAACAGACACCTAGATCTGTCCTCTTTACCACCCCCATCCTGTTCCACCTACACATTGACCCCCACCTGCTGACTGCTAAAGCCCCTCTCCTCTCTGCAGACACCTGGAGAACAGGCAGCAACATAATGACTGTTATAACTGGGGCACTCTATATTTATACACCGTGCCGCATCCCAGCAAATGACTATTTGTACTGCACTCTAAAGGTTGGACAAATTCAGTAGGCCAAAAAATTCATCACAATATAACAATTAAGTTGAGAGTGAAAATGTCACGCATGTCTTTGTATAGAGGCTGAACGTGTCAATTTTACTGATTAGTTAACCTGCAATAATAACTCTTTAACTTTTTCATATTGCAGCTCCCGAAATTGGGCGATTTGCTGTTTTCTTTGACATACAGTAGCTTTTGTTTTGGAATTTGATTTGAATGTAGATGATGTCCTCAAGTGTTCATCATTTTTCCAAAGATATAATTCAAGAAATTGATCTGCAGACGAATTAATAACAGCACCCATAGTCTACGCTATGCAGTAAGGTTCATATCATAACTATTGTCGTAGAAAAGTCAAAGCTAATGTTCATACTTTATTATGTTTGCTTTGTTTCCAAGAGCTTTAACCCCTTCAGTGTTGTGAGGAACAACGCTAAGATCATTGTTGTGTGCACTATACCTCAAGCATCAAGCATGGTGCTTCTCTTGTGGTCCGAGGTCAATCAGTGTTTGGCTGAAAGAGAACCAAACGTCTTGTTAGGAAGTACTATTTTATTCTCTGCTGTTTGGTCTGCTTCTGTATCTTCCGGCATTCTCATGTTTGAGCTCTGTATGAAATGTTGAAAATTTTTCTGAGCCCATTGGCTATTGTCATACAATGTTAGAGCCTCTGGGAGCGACAGCCAACTTGGTGTTTCCAGTGTTGCCAGCAGCTAAAGATAAAGGACTTCTGCCTCAGACTTCCTTATCCTTACATTGCCACTGTTCAGTTCAGTCCAACAACAACTTCAGAAGCGAGAAGGAAGTTAGTGTTGAGAAAAAAAGAGATTAATAAAAGCTTCCTCATTTTTTAGATGGCTGCTGATGTTCTGCTCCTTTTGATTTCCATACAGACTCTTGACTTGTAGCTATATTTGTAAAAATGACAACACTATTGGGACTATGGAGGAAAGGCAGAACACTTCCGATACCAAAATCAAGTCCTGGGCCCACAGATTGTGCATTTTTATGCAGGATCTGTCGATAATGATTAGATGTGTAGTTATACATTTATCATTGCAGGCTGTAGGATGATTATTTCAAAAGCATGGGAATTAGACCTATTTTTCTTCATGCAGTCAGAGCATGTGTCTGTTGTTTTTGTACATTTTTGGCAGACATTTTTATTGGGTTTAATAAATATTATTGACACTTAAATATTTCTTGGGCATTTCCAATGTGTTTAACAAACAGTGACAAAGTTGGGGCAGACTAGACCATTAGAGAGAGATATGATAATTGTCATTAAATTATTGCCTGACTAATGTGCAGTTTAGTCTTACAGTGTTAATACAAAGTGGAGTCCAGCAACGCTTTTAATGCTGTGACTTTTATTCCATGCTGGCTGTGGTGCATTATGAAGGGCAACGTCTGTCTGTCCATTTCAGTCAAATAGTCACATCTGTTGGATGGATTGGCACACCTTCACAATGACACGTTCATGTAAGTCAGTTAATCCTAATAATTTATCAAGGTTCTGATATTTCCTCCAGAGTCAACATCAGGTTCAACATTTTCGAATAGTCTGTGACCAAATACCGCAAAACGAAAGTAATTCCCATCAGCATCAGCTGTACTTTGTGTTGACTCTGTGTCTGGCCTCACTGTCCTGGGAGTGTTTCTCTCTCTGATGTTTCTTTTTCTGTTAAAGGATTAACATTATAGCTGCTAATATTTAGAATGATAGCGTGCCTACGTTAATATTTTTGCATAAATGCTAAAAGCTGCACTGGTACATTCTCACACAGTTGTCATGCCTGCATACTGATACTTTGTTTTATGTGGTAGACAATCCTGGATTCAAGATTTTTACTCTCAGTTGAAGTGTTTACACAATTGTTTGAGTAACTAATCAGTATAATTATTCTTGATACTAAAATTGTTCTATTTTGTCTGAATGTCAGAGACTCCTAGCTTGATAATGGCTCTGACACGTTGATCTGTCTTTTCAGGAACATGTTGTAACTAACACATGTCACATTTGACCAACTTCTGCATTTCAATATGGCATGATTTCTCTATTTGTAACTCCCCCATTGTCCTTCAATATCTGTGCATTACCTGATAGAGGCCAAAGGGAATACTATCCAGGAAAGTCTTGTTTAACTCCTTGAGAGCAGAGCCACAGCAGTACATATAAGCTAGTGAAAGGTCATTACTGTGTATATTCAAAGGTACAGAGTGCAGTGTGAACTAGAATGGCTTTGGACCAGAGCCAGTGTTGCTGCGTAGCTTTCCAGGAATGGATGTAATGGCAACTGTGCGCCATTTGGTGTGAGCAAGGAGTGTTGCTGAGGAGCATTTTGATGATGCTATGGGTGCATATTGAGCTGCACTGTAAGGGTGTGCGTAAGCAAAGGGCGCTTGATGTGGAACTGAATGCAGGACAGGCAAAGCTGCAGGAGGAGTGCTTGTCTCGTCCCCCTGAGAAAGTTTCCATCGATCTGTAGGTGGGCAGGGAGGAGGAGGCGGCACAGACAAGCAGAATGATTAGCAAGCAAAGCAATTGCTGTACCTGCTTATCTCTCATTCTTCCTCTTTTTGGGCTGGGATGTGTCTTTGTTCTCGTGTTTGAAGGTTGGTGTACCAATTCACCCCCCCCCCCAACCCCACCTCCCCCTCTCCCTCTGTCTCCCTATCCACCGCAGTTTCCTCCTTCTGGGCTGTCTGTCTGCATGCTCACACTAACGTTCCCTCATACTCTTCCCCCCCGTCAGTTCCTCCGTCTGTGTCTGCTGCCATCAGACGCAGGGACAGATAATATCTGCTCCAACCCTCTGCTGCTCCTCCTATTTTTTACACCCCTCCTCTCCTTCATCTTGTCTATTGTTTTTTTTTTTTTAGCCCTGTGCATTAATTCACATATCTTTTTGTTGCATACAGGACAGCCTTCTTTTCATATCATTTTTTACATGATCCCACAGCACCATCTGGACTTTGCCTTGTCCTGGGAATCTGACCTGTAGTTTTCCTCTCATTATTGAGCCTCGTCATCGATTGTGATCTGTATTCAGTTAGTGTGCAGACACCTCACTCTACTGCCTAATAGAGAACCGCGCAGCAGACACAGCATGCATCCACCCTGCATTACACTGCAGCAGAGTCGAACTTAGTCCTCCACGCCTGTGTGAGGGCGAAGTGAGCCAAAAGTTGTTGTATAGTGTAATACTAGCATGTGGCTCAGCCATGACTGTGCTGTACCAGTGAAATAAGCCTGGGAGGAATAAGGATTGGCTCTATGGTGGGAGGAGCTGCTGTGGAAACAGCCCTGTCATTGGGCAATGAAGTGCTCTGCATGCCTGCAAGAGTCTGTCAGATTGGCTGGAACACTGCATTGAGCACAGCAGCTGCAGTTGTGAAGAACTGCCCCCTCTCTCTCTCTCTCTCTCTCTCTCTCTCTCTGGCCTGTCTCTCCTTTTCCTACTTCTTCATTAATAACTGTCTGGGAATCATTGGTGTCGTCCACATGTGCCTGTCGTACGATTTCAAGGACACTGCTGTTCCCTCTATATTGGAGCTTCATGTCAAGTTAGTCAATTACTTTCTGCTCCATCTCAGGGTATTTTAAGTGCCATCTCTGTCCTGCCTGCAATCCCCCTCCATCCCTCTCTCTCTCCCTCCCTCTCTCTCTCTCTCTTGTATCACTTAATCAAGACATAGCTTGCCCTTTCCTGTTCATTGCTGCCTCCCTTCCTCCCGTATGCTCTGTTCTCTTATTTGCTTGTCCTCGCTTTCTTCTCTTTGGCTGTTCCCCTCCCAATCTCGTGCCTCTTGGTCCTCGTCACCCTTCATTTAAACAAGCTCTGAGGTTGTAGCTTGCCGTTTTTTCTCCTCAACAGGCTGGTGTTTTGTTAATGCTTTGGATTAATGTTTGCCTCTCGTTTTTTTTTTTTTTACAGTCTGCAGCAAAACAAGCAAGGACATGCAGGAGAGAGGTCATTGAGGATGATGACAACAGAAGAATTATCAACGGCGAAGTGGGGGATAGAAAGAGACTGATATAAGAGGAGGAAGTGGAACTCCAAAGTGCCTACTGTGCCGGGTTGTCCACTGCTGCTGGTTAGCTGCTGTCTGACTGCTGGACGAGATCAGGTCTGGCTCAGTGTGTGTTTGGCCTTGAGTGGAGGCTGTATTTTATCCTGACAGCCACAGAGTCATCCATCCCACGTTGCTGAGCTGCAGCCCCCACAAACGCTGAGCCAAGCCGCCACCTTGTCTCATCAGTGTGAGGACACCTACCCCTATAAGGTTCTGCTTTTTGTTGTTTTTTGAAATCTACTTTGTCAGACTTTTTAAAACAAAAAAAGCCCCACAGTGACTGCCTCAGCCGTGGCCATGTTGACGTAAAGATAACAGTGACTTTCCGAAGCTGTCGGTTGATTTAGGTAAAGGCACAGACATTCTGTGACACAGCCAAGCATGCTGGAGTGATGTCCTCAGACTAGTTTAGGTTTTTTCCTTTTTTTTTTTTGAGACGGAGCTGGCCTCTGCTCACAGTCAGCCCCCTCTATCTCATCGGCCTGAAACTTCAGCTGCCACTTTTCCCAGGAAGAACTAATAAACATCCCCTAAAATAAACCACCCAAAAGGACTTGCTACCTTTTTGCACAGAGGAGAAATATTTTTGGTTCTGTTTCCTCTCCATTTTGCTGGGGATTTTTTATTGCATTACGATTAGTCACTTTTGCTCTCATTAGACAGTTTTCCGTCCATCTGTCTCCACCGCTGCTCAGTGTTGTTGAGGGATTCTGATGGCTATAAGCATGAGCATGGGACGGGACACCAAATGGCTGACCCTGGAAGTGTGTCGTGAGTATCAGAGAGGGACCTGCTCCAGGTCTGATGTGGAGTGCAAGTTTGCCCATCCTGCCCGGAGCTGCCATGTGGAGAACGGCCGTGTCATCGCCTGCTTTGACTCACTCAAGGTAACAATGCCACAGTCATTGCACTTCTCAGTCACTGCCATATTATATCTAGTTAATTTAGACACCTGCAAAGTCAGCTGTGTCAAGTCAGCTGATGTATTTGGCTCTTCATAGTATGAAACAAATATTACAGACACACGACAGAAACACAATTTGTTGTGTTTTATAGCAGAGGCGGTCTTTGTTTTCAGATAAGGTACCCCCCCCCCAAATAGAATAAAGTAAAAGTAAAAAAAAAACTCCTTACTTTTTGCCACTTATATAGCTGTAGTATGGAGGCAGAATCACACTTGAGGTTGAGATGTGCTGAATGTCGGCACTGCTGTGACTATTGCCTTGTGCCTACAACCGATTCGGAGTGGGGCAAACGTTGCCTGGATGTCGCTCCCTCTCATGTAATATCGCTTAATTTAATTGAAATTATTAATGTTTTATAAACCTTTTTAAATTATTTAAAATGTTTTTTGTCCAATGCCTAGCCATAATCTCTTTATTAAAAATTTATAAAATATAATTGAATGATGAGATATGATGATCATTTTATACACTTTAACAAAGAAAAACACCAACTTCAGGGCTATGCCACACATCAAATCACAACAACGTTTTCCTTTTTAGTTTTAATGAGAATTTAAATGGTTTAGTGGGTTGTCTGAGATTTGTCAGGTCGAGGTAGTTCAATTCAGTTCAACAATGTGCCCAATACAATCTTACAAACTACCCAAATTTATATTTCTTGAATTTATATGTCTAGTTGTATTAACTGGGGGACTGGGAAGTTGATCATTTGATTAGATTGTTACTGTGTTGTAGGTTTACCTTCAATAGAAAGCAGTCAGTTCTCCACAACTCATTTTTGAAAGACTTGAGATCAGAAGCTGATCACTTAAGGTTTAGCCCATCTTCAATTAGTCTAAAAGGGTGCATATAAACTAAGGGAGGTGATCTGGTGTGAGGTCATTTTGTAGTTTCGTATGTCATGATAGAGAGCATATGTCGATGTGATTGATCTGGAAAAACCCTGAACCAAATTAGATCCCTGTAATGTTAAGTTTAGGTATAGTTTGTGTTCCACTCTGTAACTTCAATACTCGAGGAAAATGTTCATCAGTGGCCTTGCAATAGTGTCTATGGTTACAAAACACACTGTTCACATGACTTTCCATGTCCTTAAAAAAAGCTAACAAAATCCCTTTGATGATAGTGAGTATAAGATATTAAACCAAACAGGCTTCAGAGTAGAATCAGAATCAGCCAATGTATATTGACATCCCCATGTACAGACTCAAGAACAGACAAAGGCAGCAAGCTATTCGAGGTAACAAGAACGTTGATTATTGGACTACTATTAACGAGCCTACAGATATAAATATGTTAAAATCATTCTGAAATAATACAATATGTTGATTTGTGAAAGGCTAGTTAATTTACAGGAAGTAAATCAAAAACTTGGTAAATGAGGTAAATTAACAACTGAAATCCAACATCAAAAATGTCTGCTCACTTAAGGTTAATCTACAGCTTCAAGCAAATCAGGATCAAGGATTTTCACTGGCTACGGTATAAATTGTCATATTACCTAACCCTCCGTTAAACCAGACAAGAAGAGTTATCGAAGGTCATATGGATGCACTGCCAATAGCAGGTCTTGTTATCAAGATATTTATTGTGTGCATTTTGCCTGTAGACATCATTTCTCATAAAGCCGCTCTCCTGGCTGTCTGTCTGTCTTTAGTGATGTGGGCTTGCCGGTTGTGTCTCTTCACCATCACTGCAGCTGCTCTGCTGGTTCCTCTCTCCTCTACCACAGAACTAAAACACTACATCTACTGACACTCAGCAGAAAAGTGATGATGCTTCACTGTAGTTTGTCAGTGCTCTAAATATCAATGGCCAGTTGCTCCAAAATCTGGAAGTGACTGTTTCTCTTTCCCCCGGTGTGCACGCATGTGGATACATGTGAGAGGGTTTTTCAAACAAGCATTCGTGCAGGCAAAAAGTGAAACCCAGACAAGGGGCTTTCTGTCTGAGTGCAGCTGCTGTCTCCTCGTTTATCGAGTTAGAATTTATTATTCAGCCATTTTTCTGTTATGTCCTCCAGAGCAGGAGGGAGACTGAGAGGCAGCGAGAGGGAGAGGAACAGAGAGGGGGGCCTAGCAACAGCACAGGAGTGTGTACCCATTGGATAGTTTGATCTTACTGAGTGGCACGGCTGTTTTTAGCACAGAGCAACAGCCTGGCTCTGTACTGGTTTCATTCATGGGAGAAAAGGCGAGTTTCTTTGTAATAAAAGCAGGGGAAGAGAATTAAAGGGCATGTTTGGCTGTTTGAAGGCCCCGGGTGCATGTCATTGGTTTGAGAAGGTACTGGTGACAGTTGAAAGTCAAAGCAGCTGTTTTGATCTTGGACTGCAGCAGGTTTTAGTACCAGCACAGTACGTTAACAACCACCTCTTTATAGTGTCTGCCCTCATTGTTTTGCAGGATTATACTCAGCTGACAGCCATTGTTTGTGGTCGACTGACTTTAAAAAAAAAAAAGAAGCACCTTGCTTTGTCCCCCAACAGAGCTTCTCTACAGCATCACTCCTTCCTACTGTTCTCCCCCCACCCTGCGCTCTTTTGTTAATTTTATGGATTTGTCTGCTAATGGCCTCTCTCCTCACTGTCCCTCCCCTATCTAGCATCTTTAAGCCGACTATGAGGCGATCGCTGTCATTCCCTGTTGCTCCATTAGCTCTGTCTGGTCAGTCTGAACTTGCTGTGGGGGAAGGAGGGGACAGACCACCGCCTAGTTCTCTTTACCTATTAACTGGAGTGCTGCTGTCATCTCAGATGATTAGTTTGGACGTCACATCTGCCCGTCATACAGTCCATTCAACCGCAGTGTCACTTCTGGATGACATCATAATGCTGCAACTACCACCTGATGTTTTAATTGATCATTCTGCTGAATACTTTGTTGATTAATCAACGTTAATATGATATGATAGAAATACCAAACAGAATTTTAGAGATGAAAAAACTCCTACATTTCTATTTGGAACAGCAATCTTAAAACAAAATATCTCAATTTAATACAACAAAAAACTATAGATATTTACCTTAAAGAAGCTCGGACACATTTTAAGTATCTTTCCACTATCGAGACTATACAGCTATGCTAGACACACTTAAAGGATATACCTCAGTGCCGCAGGAGCAAGCATAAAAACACGATTTGAACAAAAATTCAAAACACAGCTGAGGTTGTTGAGTGACATTAGCTTTTTCAGATATTTGGAAGTTAAAGCTCCTTTGAGGAACTTACAATTTTGTGTCAGTTTCAGTGTCCCCTGTGGACAAAAACAGTCGTCTCATGCAGGTTTTGTTGTTGAGTACATGTATGAGTAGTGTTTTTCATTAACAGTCAATTCTATTACTTATTGAATCTCTTGCCTGTGGAAAAAAGGTTTTTTAAAAGGCTTTTTCTGGGGACCTGGATGGCATCATGTATGGATGCTGTAGTCCTCATCGCAGCGACCGTGATCGTGGGTTTGAATCCAACCTCAGCCCTTTGCTGCACATCAGCCCCAACTCTCCTCTCCAAACACTTCTCTCTCAGCTGTCCTGTCTTATGAAGGCAAAAAAAAAAATCACAAAATATCTTTAAAAAAAAACAGTTGTTTCTGCAGTGTGCTGTTAATCACTTAATCTGACACCTAGTATGTGGCAGCACTTTCAGGCATTACAAATAACTATATACAAACTATTAATCTTCTTTGTGGTTGTCTTGTTTGCTTGAGGGGTCAACAATCAAGACCTCAATATAAATTTCAGTCTGTTTCATAATCTGCAAACTAAAGTACTCGCCAAGTTTACATTTTGACCTGATAACTATTCAGCTGATAAATTTGTTACCTGAACATCATGTTGGCTCACATTCATCTGTGTGATAAAGCTCTACTGTATATGTTTTACAGTTCTGAACTGGGATTCTGTTTATTGTTTATTATTATCTCTCCCCTCTCTCTGGATGATCAGCAGCTCACCTCTTTACTAACAGGGACTCTTTCTGTGTTGCGTAGTGTGTTGCTATGGCTACCAAAAGGATATTCCTGACCCGACACTGCCGTCCACACCATTTTATCAGCTTTTTTCAAATGTTTTAGCGTCTGTATCATTGTTAGTACTAAAAGAAAACCAAGTCCAGTTAAAATTGATTTCATATTGGGGTTTTTTTAAGCTCAGCGTACAAAGTGCATCATTAGGCTCATTAATAGGAACTTTTGTTACTGAGTTTAAGCAGGCTGGACTCATGGGACGCACTCCTCATTACAGACTCATCCCTAAACACACAGCTCGCTGACGCAAAGCTCGCTTGCATCTCCAGTGTGGGCGAGGGTGTTAGTGTGAGCCTGTGTACCGTCCTGACCAATTTTCAGGCTGCTGCATGTTCTCTAGTGTACACCTTGTCTGGTGTGTGAGGTTGTTTCAATCACTCATGGGTAATAGTTTAGGAGACATTGCAGTTTATTTCTGTCCTATGCACCTCTTCTGCTGCTTTTAAATCCTTATTGTGTGTGTGTGTGTGTGTGTCCTCCTCTCAGTGTGACATCATCCATCACCTTCAGAGTCTCTGCACTATGACGTCATTTTGTCTTTTTTTATTTTCCGTTGTTTTACTTTTCATTCAGCTTGTGATGACCAAATGAGGTAGCTTGTGAGGGTGTGGTCTGATGACAGAGCATGTGGAGGTAGCTTTGCGGGTAAACAGCTCCTCTGCAAGAGCAGACAGCTGCTATCGGCCCAGGGGTTTAATGGAGACTGCAGTTTCTCCTGTGAGTGCACGTTGACCTGCAGTGTTCCTGCAGCTGTGCTCCTGCAGCACCATCTTCACCTTCCCCACAGTCTCTGGCAGAGAGGAAGGACACTGCTGTAATGACATTCTGTGGCAAAATGAATTGCTTTTAGATAAATGGCTCACAATCTGATTTAGAGTTTGTCAAAAAGCCAAAGATGACAAGAAAAAATGAACATACAGAATTACTTCTGATCAAAAGTGTTTCTGGCAGAGGCTGCTGATCCATGATAAGTCTCAGCTGACTAAAATACATAATTATAGCTACCTATGTTAGTAGTGGATCATTAAAAGGGATGGTTGGGATTCAAAGTTTCATTCAAATGAAACATATTGCATTTATCACAAAACTAATAAATGATTCAGACATTTGTAGGTTAATTTTGACCCATCAGAGCAACTACAACTACAACATTTCATACACTAATTTCTAACCAAAAACATGTCGACCTGTGTGACCTCTATAAATATTTTTTCCTTAACCATTTCTTGCTGTTTCATTGGCATTAATGATAAAGGCAATCTTCTCTCTATAATAAATGACAGCTTTGTTCGCTTACAAACTGCAGTCATTGTTAAAGCTTTCATGTGTTGAGTGGAGCTTTGCATACTGGACAAATAAAAAAGCTTCATGTGCCCATAAAGATAACATCTGAATAACGGCTGCTCCAGCTACATGTCTCATGCTGCATTTGTTTAAGTCCACATGAAATGAAAAAATACATTTTCCTGAGTTTTTTTATTCAGCATTCATGTGTTTAATGTTCATTTATCTGCCAAATATATTTCCTTTAAACATTATCAGAGAATTTTACATGAAAATAACTGTATCTCTTATCTTCCTGTGTAACGATTCAAATCTCTGAAGACTCATCCTGCACTCAAAGGCGTGACACGTTTTTTGGCCAATTAAAAATCTATGTAGAAGCTCGGCTCATATCTTGTGCTGATGGTCACCAGGCAGAGATACAGAATCTGGCATACAGGATCTGAGAGTCAAGCGTCTGTTTTCACTTTCCAGCTTCATCTCTTGTCAGCAACGCTTATTTGACTTCTGCTGACCCTCTGTGGAAAAATCCAAAGCTGGTGCAAATACTCCACTGGCCATTTAACTGTACATGTAACAGCCATTGTAGCTCCATCAACAAGTTTTTGCTTTTAGACACGTGAGCCATCTTAGTTTGATTGCCAGTTAAAATTCTACATTTTCTTGTGTCAACCCAGGGGGAATGGTAGAAGATATTACAACATAATAGGAGACACGAGACAGATGACCATGACAATTAAAGTGTCTTTATGGTAACTTAGAGGTTAGAGGGATTGGGAATGGGAATGGACTTAAGGTTTCTTCCCGTACATAATTGTCAGTGAAGGGCTTTGCCACTGTCCTGTGGACACAGTAGAGAGTGAGCGATGAGTGCTTTTGTTTAGTCTGGAGTCTTAATCAGCAGGTCGGCTTTCCTAGTTGGGGGAGAGAGAGAATGAGCCTTCACAGTTTCAGAATCCAACATTGCATCCATGTGAAAATGGTGGCTAAACGAGTGACACTCCTTGATCCTGCTGCATGAGCCTCTGTTACGCTCTCCATGCTTCTTGGACGCAGGTTAAGTAAGCTCTGATGGTTCTGCAGGTGAGAACAATTCCCATTGCCCATTGGCTGACACACCTGAAATGGGAAGAACACTCCCCCTATTACCTCCCCCAGCCTGAGTTTAGGGATCTGCCCCCCTGTGCTGGATTGTATGGGGTGTTTCCCCCGTATTTCCACATACTTCACAAGTACTTCAGTCCACGAGGATTTTCCTTGTACTGTAACCTTTGAGTCCTCCGCCTCAGCTGCCACCACTGAACTCCCCCAAACTATGGATATAAAAATGGGCACAAGCCCTGAGCTATCTCGTGGGGCTCGTGATCCTTTAGCCTTAGGATTTTCCTTGAATAGTTTTGCTTTCTAAATAGCTAGATTTGTTATATTTAGTTTAACAAATTAAACTTGATTCAATGGATGATGCAAACTTGACAAACGTAATACCCTATAGTTAGCATGAAGTCATTCATTTCACCCTGTCTGTGCTCTCTTAACTTTACTCGCTCCTCTCTCCTCCTCAGGGGCGCTGCACACGTGAGAACTGTAAATATCTGCATCCACCTCCACACCTGAAAACTCAGCTGGAAATTAATGGGAGGAACAACTTGATCCAGCAGAAGGCTGCAACAGCCATGTTGGCTCAACAGATGCAGTTCATGCTGCCTGGAGCGCAGTTACAGCCTATAGTGAGCAGTCCGATCTATAACTATTGCTCCCCTATTAATGCAATGTGTTTGGAGAATATCTCTCATTCAATAAAATACTAACACTGTACTCTGATAAATTTTATGTGACACACTCTATACTATACTATGTTGTTGCCAGATAATGTGTTCATATATTTAGTAAGTAAATAACTCACAGTACTGGTTATGTTCACGTAAATTCCTCTCTAAAGCCAGAGACAGCTCTGCCATAACTTGTTTAGTTTCTTATGCCTCTGCCCTTCTCTCCCTCCCCCCAGACAGCATTCCCAATGACGCCTTCCCTGGCAACCAGTCACAGCATGGCGTTCAGTCCTTATCTGAGCCACATGGGCCCAGGCATGGGCTTCATGCCTGAGCTGCTGCCCAGTACTCCCCTGCTGGTCCCTGGGAGTCCCACAGGCCTGGCAGCCATGGGCAACGATAACTCAGCACAAAAACATGTGCGCACAGACAAGCTGGAGGTATGCGTCCTGCATGCAGTTGTTGTGCGTCTATGTTTGGCCATTGAATGATGAAAGCTAAATGTTAATTAGCGCTCTTACCTAACCCTGCCAGGTTTGTCGAGAATTCCAGCGCGGTAATTGTACGCGGGGTGAGAGCGACTGCCGCTATGCTCACCCACTGGAAGCTGGAATGGTTGACTGCAGCGAGAACTCGGTCATTGTCTGCATGGACTACATTAAAGGCCGCTGCAGCAGAGACAAGTGCAAGTACTTCCATCCCCCAGCTCACCTGCAGGCCAGGATCAAGGCTGCACAGCACCAAGCCAGTCAAAACACATCCTCCACAGCCTTAGTGAGTCGTTTTTTACACAAACTCTGGGATGCCTTCAGTCTTTTAAGAAGAAAAAATACCAAAGATTTCAAATTCATAATACAATGAACCCCAGGTTAGAAAAAACCCATGGGTAAGCCAGAACTCACCTAATCTAGAGCTACAGATTAAAACTCACCACATGTGCTTCACACAGCAGTGGAACAGAAGAAGATGTTCTTGTTCTCTATTGGGATATTGTTGACTGATGCAATGAAGAATCAGGTTATCACAGTGTCGCTCGGGCAGCATGAAATTTGATCATGTAGTCTGGGGATTATGTTTTTTTTATTTTTTATTTTTAAGAACGTCAGCTCTGTGCATTTGTCTGAGACTGTGCTCTCTGTGAAGCAAGCTACAAGGGCTAAGTTAGCATTCCTGAGCAGCTGTACATATTGTCAGTAATCAGTAGTGATAAAACACGAAAACTGTATTTTAGCTCTCTGAAAGGATTTTTAAAAATAGTGAAATTAAAGTTATCAGAAATATAATGTATGCAAGGTTTACTCCAGTATTCATGTAGGGTTTACAGCGTTGGCAGGTGATGCTTCATTCAGCTGAATGAATTTATCACTGCTATTAGTTTTCTGTGTTTTCACATTTTCACTGATTTAACTTTAAATTGATCAGAGCAATTAGGCAAGCTAATTAAATAAAGTAGCTCTTTTTCCAAAACGATATCTTGGAAACTTTATTATTATATTTCCCTGTTAGGAGGAAAAAGTACTTCCTCACTTCAGTTAATCTGATAAACTGCAGCGCCTTCTTGTGGTGGAAAACAGAAACATCAACTGTATGTTTATGTGCAGGAGAACATCCAGAGATGACTACACATTTAATCTCAGATAACATAGGGTAGTGTAACTTTTTGGTTACAGGGGAAATGTTGATATACTAGTGTAATGAAGGATAACTTGTTTTCTCTTTAATTGCCTGTTTCTTCCTGGACAGGGTCTGCCTCCAGGCGTCATGCAGCTTCAAAAGAGACAGATTTTAGAGAAGAGCAACGGCGCTGCTGCTACTGTCTTTAACCCAAGCATGTTCCATTACCAGCAGGCCCTTGCTAACATGCAGCTTCAGCAACCAGCTTTTGTCCCCACTGGTGAGTCCTCGACATATGTAAGCATCAATAAAACATAGCCTAAGAAGCCTTAAACGTGAAGGAGTAAAACTGGAACCATGAATGACTGGATCTTGTTTCGGTTTTTGTTTGTGATGGATGACTGGAGCAATGTGTGCACAGGAGTAATTGTAACAATCTCCTTCAGTCTTGCTTTGTGTGTGAGAGTCATAAAGCTGTAAAAACATCACACGTTTAGTTAAGCAGTTAAGCAAAGACAAACGACGCATGAGAAAATGACTATGAGGGAATGCTGGCGGCAGGCCTGTCCACTTAATGTGGAATGTATGGACAAGGCATGAATCATTTTTGCTGACCTTGATATCGCTGGTTTTGTTGCAGTTACATGAATGTTTGTTCAAAGAAGCATTTTAAACACTAGCCTTTAAAAATCGGAGGATTTGATGCATTTTTTCTATTCATAACCGATAACCAAAACAATAAAATCCAACCTTTTATATATGAATCAATTCAGCAAACATTTAAATAATGATCAGGTCCAGACTAGATAAAAATGAAGAAAAAATTAAGCTTGGAGGATCATATAAAATATTTTTTGTGGATATACACAAATATCTTTTTTATTTTTTATTCACTTTTTTTATTCCATAGTTGCAGTAAAAAACAGACAGTGGTCAGTGAATTGTTTGAAGTCTGTCCGGCATGAATTATTGATTACTCGCATTAAGGCCAAAACACCCACACACTGTACCTGCTCTATGATGAAGGCAGTATATACTGATGCTGCTTCTTGCTACTTGGCTTTATTCAATTATCCTTCACAGATCAACTTCTTGTTTGTTTGTGTGTCTTTGTACACACTCCTGTGTTTAATATTTCTGACAGTCTCGATGTCGCCTGTGATGCCTTCACTAACCCTGAACCTGCTCATCTGCTTTTACCTGCTGCTGTCCCAACTTCTTTACCTCCACATTTTGTCTTCATTTTCATTTCATTGTTCTCCTGTCGTCCTTTCTTTTGCTCTCATCCTTTGCTTTCTTTGTTTTTTTTTACACGTGTCATTAAATAATTTGGCCTGTTCTATACATTGTGTCCCTCAGGATCCATTGATAGGTCAGATTTGTCTTCTATATTTGTGATAGTGGACAGGAGCCTTTATTGAGGGATATAGTGATTATTTACAGGACAACATGACTGTACTGGGTCGCATGTTTTAGCCATTTAGCTAAATATAGCAAATGTTTTACAGTGCAACAGGCTTCAGAAGTCTGATAGGACTTTTTTATTAGCTGCCTTCAAGCTAGACTTTGTTAAATTCACACAATATCATTTTAAAATTTTGCACTTTTTTGTGAAAGTAAACACATCAAGTTTATCTTAATAATTTGAGGAGAGTAGTGGAAAATTTGATTTAATGAAAAGTGATATAGCGTAAATAAGTTGTTCATGAAGTCAATATTTCATAACTCTGCTCTCACTAACAGTTTGGTGCACTGCCTGAGACTAGTCAGGGTAGAACAATATTATAATGCATAATGTATAATATCCCAAGAGGGATTAATAAAGTTGTTAGAATTGAATTGATATTTGATTACATAGTATTAGTTTTGAACACTAAGCATTAAGTATAAAGTGATAGATTTCTTTATCAATCTCATACAAGGTGGTTGAATTCTCTATCAGGGATGGATTTGCTCTTTACAGAGTTGGGCTGGAATTAAATGGGAATATATGAGTGATAGCAGTGGTTTCAATAATATCAGTATTAAAAGATAAAACAATGACAAATGATAACTAACCAGATATGCGGCTCCAACGGGTCACACTGTGTTAGAGACTGTGATGGTTTTGCTGGCCCAAAGTTCCCCTCAGTGGACAGGTTGATAGTTTCTGGAGTCAAATTGTCTATCAGCTGTTGGATGGTTATCGTTGGTCCGGTGCTTGCCAAAATAAACTGGCCTATTAACAAAGAACTTTGATGGCATGTCTGTGTGATTACAAAAATACATTTTAAATGCGAGAAAAAGTAGCAAATAAAAGAACAGTGGCCTGATAACTGTTTACAACTGAGGGAGAAAACTCAGCAGGTCCAACATGTGATAAAAGGGAAACTTTGGCGCATGTTAAAAAAAGGCAGTTTGACAAGATGGAGACAAAACTAACATGAGACGAAGACTCAATGAACAAAAGACAAACTGAAGAGAGCAGGAGCAGCAGAGAGAAGAGATGGACTGGTCTGGTTTCAGTTACTTCAGAGGAGCTTATTTTTGGGGGGTTGTCAGCCTCGGCCGGGACTTCTTAAAACTCTCCTGCAAGCACGTTGACGGAGTGCGTTCATTACCTTTATAGTGTAAATGAATTTAAATGATCTCACTATAAGATGCATTTGGTGCCCCTGTTATTTTCATATAGTGCGGAGACGAATGACTTGAACAGAACATTAATGTATTTCATATTTCATCAAGTTCGTTCAGTTGTGCATAAAAAAAAAAAATACATTTATTTCACAGATTAGCTTGACTATTGAGTCTCTCAAAACAACACCAATAACATAAGAATATTAGTTCAGTAGTAAAACAAAGACCCAGGTATTGAGCTGAAAGTGATGTGATTCTTTTGTCCAAACCTTTTGGTAAAATGACTCTGTTGTCAGCAACTTGAGACCTTCAGGTAGACCTTCAGCCAATTGTCCTCTTGAGAGCGTCCTAGCTGTGTCCTCATGTCTACCTGTCTACAATCATGAAAATGTCCTGTTTGTTTATGGAGTCATGTTTTGTGTAGGCATGTGATCATTTCATTTCAGCACTGTGTGTGCATGCCTGGTGCATGTTTGTGTGTGTGACCCCTCTGTATGCATTTCCTGACTTGTCTTTGTGTTCTCAATAAATACCATTGTTACCCCTTGGCATGCATACTAATATTATTACAGTGATATAACACATTCAGAAATAATATCAGTATCGGAGAGGAGAGGAGATTTTTGTCAAAATCAAAAGGGAAGCCTCAGATGTCACACTATCCTGATTTTCAGTTCTTCAGTCTAAAAGCTCTGGAGCATTTTTCATGATGCAACAAAAGGCATAATTTCACGAGACCTTCCCTTCAGCATGGCAGTGAAGTAACTCACATTATCTGAAATGACAAATCTTCTCCAGACACAGGTTACATATATCCCTTTTTTCTCAGGCTCACTAGTCATGCCAATGATATTTCATTGAATCCGTCCATAAATTACACATTAGACTTATCTTCGGTAGAAAACTTTCACACTCATCATCACAGGATATTTTTGAGTAAAGTACGAAGTGAAAGTGAGGTATTAACTATTTTTTGCAAAGCTGGTCAGTCACTAAAACCGACTTAATCACAAAATGATCAGTGAAATCAGAGCAGATTTTAGGTGATATTATTTAGCTGATTATGTCTAGGAAAATGCAGGACTATTTTTTTTTTAAATAAGGGATAAACTGCTTATTTGAAATGCAGATGCAGCTGTGACATTCTTGGTTGTATCCTGTACTCTATCATATTCTTCCTCCATACACTCACCCTGTCCATGTAAATACAATATATCAGATCCTCCAGTCTGATGAGATTGTATGATTGTGTATTGCCTTCTTTGTTTGAAGATAATTTGCTAGTGAGGTGATGCATTTTCTTTTCTTTTATAACCGGTTGGCTAATTATGTTTTCTCCTATTTCTTTTGCATGTGTCTTGATACTTGTTTAATTCATCCCGGCAATATCACATGACTTGTGCCATGACTTTTTGATCCTACACATTTTGCCATGGTAACCATATCATTCCTGTCCCCCCCCCTTCCCCGCCCCACCCCTCCCCGCCCACATCCTTGTCCTCTGTCCTTCGTCTGACTTGCCTGAATAAAAGTTCCCATGATGCACGGTGCCACCACCTCCACTGTTTCGTCGGCTTCGACCCCAGTCACCAATGTTTCTTTCGCTGAATCTGCCGCCTCCAATCAGGTTTGCTCTTTCATTTCGTTTCTTTTAGCTCTGAGTCCTGTTCAAAGTCTTTTCTCATCAGGTTGAAGGTTCACCTGCCTGCAGAGTCACCAGTATTATTTTCTCATTTCATCTGTCCTCTCTATTCAGCCTGTTGTGATGTGAGCAAATGAAAGCAGGATTTATTCAGTGAGCGATCTCAGAATAGGTCGCTGTTTTCATCTTACATGTTTAAGTTTTTTTTGTGAGAACCACAATTTGTCTTTGTCTTTGATGTGATCATTTGAAACACAGAATGAGGTCTGGCATCTGTAACAAACCTGCTTCTGTATTCTGCGCTTCTGGCTAAATTCTGCAGCAATCCTGGAGGTTTAACAGTGATATGTGTGTCAGTTTGTATTTAATTGCAACACGCTTAGAACAAATCCAATTGTATTGCATTCTGGTCCATAACGGAGGGTTTTATTGTCCCTTTGAGGTCACATTAGTCGTTTTGGTAACTAGAATAAAGACTGTAATTTGAAACTAAAAGAAAAGAAAAGTAAAAAATATGATTCAACAAAAGTTTGAAGAATCTTTTTCACTGCTACAACTCTGGTAATACAACAGTGACAACAAAAGTGATTTATTCACAATATGTATTCTCATTGCACCTGTCATTGACACCTTCTGATATAGTTACTGGTCATATATAAATATGATATTGGCTCATTGGCTCACCCTCAAACACTGGCTTTACAGTTAAAACATTACTTCAATAACTTACCTAAACTAACTTTTCTACTGCAGCTTTTGATCTTTGTGTCATGTGGGATCTCTCTGCTTTTCCTCTCATCCCTCTCTCTCTCTGTCTCTCTCTCTCTCTCTCTCTCTCTCTCTCTCATTCCTCTAGTAGACCCATCAGAGCTTCTGACACCTGATCCAGTGGAGCTCCAGTGCGTCCCCATGGAAACACATTTCTGCCCCGTCTCCAAACTGCTGGTGGCGGCTCCAGTGGCCCTAAACTCAGTCAGCCTTTCCCGAAACCCCAGTTAAAGCCCCACACTATCAGGGGGGGGGGGGGGGGGGCGGTCATCTTTCTGAATGCAGCAAATATGTGCCTCACCTACAGCACACACTGACAAAGTGAGTGACAAAGTGAAACTTCTTATAAGATTGTATTTAAAACAGAAAGCCGCGATGTTTCACGCAATACAAGCCTGGGCCTGTTACTGTTGCTGTCAAACAACCATCTTGATGTAGAGTGACGTGATCAGGCTGAGCAATAGAGCTCCCTCCTTCTTACAGCCATGCATCCCCTTACCTTAAAGTGCAGCAGACATATGCACACACACACACACACACACACACACACACACACACACACACACACACACACACACACACACACACACACACACACAGACTACAGGCCCTTTATGGGTTGAGGCCATCGTCTGTTCCAAAGTCAGAAACTCTGAAAGTGAATTCTGGAAAATCAGACTATTTGGTTGGACCTGTCGCTGGTCTACAAACATCATGTGTTGTCAAAATGAAAGAGTGTTTCATATAATGTCATGTTTACGTTTCAAGTTTGGCTACAAATGTAACATTTACGTCGTGTCATGTCCATCATTTAGCCTGTTCTCTTCGTCTCATATTGCCTGATGAGTCATCAGTGAGTCATCGTTAATTTCTTTGTGCCTTTAATTTATGTGCCCAGCTGCAGAGAAGACTTACATTTGAAACATCGATTAAAATATGTGGTTATTTACTCCCTGAAGGCAATATCTATTATACAAAAAGTCTGTATATGGCCTATAGCTCTTACTGTAAGAAAGTCCAGTCATCACAGTTGTTGCTGCTTTAAATGTACCGGTGTGTTTTTCCCAAAAAACGTTAAGTATGTTCAGGATTGTCTTTTGGTTTTAATAGTCAGTATGTGATACTCGATCTAAGCAGCAAATAATGAGTTTATTTCCATTTTATGCAAAACTTATCACAAAATTAGGATTCAGCACCTCTTTGCTAAAGAGGCGCGAAAATGAGACATTTCAAGGATTCTTCATTTAAGAAAAAAATACTTACAGACGTGACGTTTGTTCTCTTTGAACACTGATATTGAATAAGAAAAGTCAAATTATTACAGTGTTGAATTTCCGATTGTGTTTAATGGAAGTGAAGGGTAGATGTGGTTGTGATGATAGAAAGGAAGGTTTATTTATTTATGGCCTTTAAAGATGTAAAATAATGATAATCTGCAGGAGAAGTCTTGTTTATTTCATAGTACAACTATGAATCATGGCACAAACCCACATTTTCAGTGTTCAGTTCAACTGAAATCAAATTAAAGGTGAAATCAACAAGTTCACTTTTAAAACGACAAGCTCATATCTGATGTAGGAGTTCTTGCACAAGACAGAAGCTGGATTGGTTTCCTGATGTTGTGCCTAAAGTCAGTGTGTGCCAAGATCGGCCCTGTTTAATCGGATACCTGAATAGTACCTTCAAATAAATATCTCCCTCTCAAATGAAAGACATATATAAATGTGGTTTGTGTAATTGTATTCTTTTGTGCAGCTTTAGGATCGAATATGTGGCACAGGAGGTTTATGTTTCATGGCTCTTTAGGGAGAAAGCTTCGAACTTGAACACGTCCTGTACGGCTTTCCCATGTTTCGACTTTTCTACCGATGTGTGCATTTTGTCAAACTCAGACAGAATATGGCAGCCATGGTGTTATTACAACAACCAAGTTCTGGTAAAGCCTTGAGCTGGAAGAATGATCACGTGTTGGATGACTGATTGTTAAAATAGTGACAGACCAGGTGTCATTTTGGTTTCCAAATGTCTGTAAGGAATGCTCTGTGGGTGTGACATATTGACAAAAAGGCTTTGGAAACTTGACTTAAATTAATAATATCTAAATTCAAATGTGCCTCTTTCAAGTCTCCTCCACCACTGTCAATACACTGTAAGAACAGACCAGTGCTCAAAGCTAGATTTAATAACATTATTGAAATGATATATCACATCTGTACTATGTAATTCTCTGAGACAGCTGTGCTGTCTTATGGTTTATGTACAGAATTAAATTACTGAGTTGTTTGCATACATAAGTGTGTCAAAAGAGAAATGTATCACATCTTTGTTTAGTTTGAAATGCTGCTGATGTGGTCACAGCTGCCCCTGAGAATAGTTCATTTTATACAATGTTGTGTATTGTGAATATATCTAATGCAAAAACTCTGGACATGCCCCTCTCAAAGACAGGCATTTTGAAATGTAATGACATACTACGTACATAAAGACTATCTCTGAGGCCACATAGGTACCATGCTGATACTGTGTCAAGACTTATTCAAGTATGTGTATTGTTGTATAGGTTTATATTTAATGTTGATGGATGCTGTGAATACTTTTGCAAATATCTCTCACACTCACGTGCATTGTGGTACCATGTATTGGTAGTCAGTTTTTGCACCCCTATTTTGGAAAGTGCCCAAAGTGCACCAATGAACAGTAGAATAATCATTCGACCCCAATTGTAAAATACTTTTGAGCATTTGTTCTGTTTTCCATTTCCATTTTGAAATTTCCAAATTTAAAAAAGTAACAATTCAGGGAGACAATCCAGCAGGAGGAGCAAGTGTGTAATCCATTCACTGGCTTCTTAATAAGAACACTGCTACAGTAACAGTGTGCAGTGGGGACAAATAGGAAGGTCAGATTCCTGGAATTTACCCCGAGTCCATGCGGGTGAATGTTTGCTTCTTGTTAACAGTCTTGCACCCAATTCAGTGTGCCACAGTTACTATAGCAGCAGACCCTGATCTTCATGTTAATTTAGTAAACATTTTTCCTGCAAAAGTAGAGACCTCTTATTCACTTTTTCAAATTAATTATGTCCTTCCGTTATTTATGTTTGGCTGCTTACCTGCCAGAATGTAGAATGATATGATTGATATAAGCTAAATTGACATGTCTCCTTCCTATGTAACATTTTATGCAAAATGTCCAGTCTTAGAGATAAATCTTTAGGGTAGATGTGATCTGGTTCAAGGTCTTAATATCTGTGCAAAACATATGAGAGGAACGCCTTTCTGATCCAACCCTTAAAACAAAATGAACACATGCATAACATCCAACATTTCCTTAATATATAATTGTTCAATTAAAAATTAGGTAGCCTGTTTTATTTTTGTTATTGTACATCGCTAAAGAAACATACTTTTTTGGTACAGAAATATACTTCTCCTTAACCTCTGTTTTTGCCAGGTTTAACTGCTTCATTTCTATATTCTTTGAAGAATTTGGAAACTTTTCTCCCGCTCGATGAAATAGTGATTGTAAGAATGTCCAGACATGATTAGTCTGAATCTTATAGCTTTTAAAGACTAGCTTTGTCCAGCCAAGTTATCATCTAGCCTTGCTCTCTTTTCCCCCCTTTGACATCATTTTGCCTTCTGACTGCTGGAAAAAAAAGATTGTGCCTCCAGTGGGCGTTCAATTTTACATTTAGGGGTATGTATTGATGCACAGGAGCTTATCAGTGAGGGGGAATTATGTTTTGGCACCAGAAAATCGTTTTTTTACCACACAGACATGAATCATTAGTCTGAAATATGCAGAAAGCTCTGGTCATTGTGTGCGATGAACAGATCCTTTAGCATGCAGAGGGTGAATTTTTCTCCTGAGCATACTTGAGTTGCCCCGGAACAGAAAATGGACCTTATTCTCACTCACTGTTTAAAGATTTGATAGCTGAAAAATCTATAGTTAAAAGTGAAATTCATTAATGGTCATTTAAGCTTTTTTTTAATGTTACATAAAAACACAGCATGGAAATATATTTAAAAAACATTTATACATCATAGATATAGTTTGTGTAGACCAACAAGAAAAAATAGTATAATAAAATCATTTGTATACAATGATGGAGTCATTGTTAATGGTAATAGTTGCTGTTGCTATGGCAACAAAATGACAACATGGCTACCTTTCTATTATCCTACTTGTGAATTTTTTCACATCCATTGAAGTGACATAAACACTAACTTATTCAAAAAGGGAATGTCTAAATTATCTTGTAAATGCGACGCAATTAATATTTTGTATGAAAACTTAGGTCCTTGATATATCCAAAGGTCCTTAGGGGAGATCAGGTGTTAATTTTGTGTTGTTTATTTGACCTTAATTTTTTTTGTTCTTGTACATGGTGTTTTTGAGATTTCAGAATGGAGTTGGGCTTCTAAAGCCAACACCTTTATGTAAGGGAGGTAAAGAGGCTTTTGGACCATTGAAAGAGCTTCATCTTCTCCTGTTAACCTTACTTATAAATCTTCACTTACCTGGATGGTCCTCGGTCAGTTTCCTGTGTGACAAGGCGTGACCTTTAATTTGTGAGTTCTGTTTCAGTTTGGGCCAAGAAGGTGGTCCAGAAGCCTCTTCCTGCCCAGCTGTGCTGGGTGATGTCGATCCTTGCTGAGGTGTATACGAATGTGTAACGTTCACCTTGTTTGCACTTATGTACATAACTATGTTGAAAATACTCTAAATTTATTTTGAATAAATATAGATAAAAGAGATGATTTAAAAAAATCACATCAATGTATTGTTTATGATATGAGTATGTCTGTCATTTAATCACAGCAGAAAAAAATTGCTTTGTCCTTTTTTTTGTTTTTTTCACCAGAACCCTGTTATTTTCATATCATTGACTTTGGAAGACATGAACGACTTGATAAAAAGCTTTTTATGTTCACGCATTGAGAAAACTTTGTTTGAATTATACGTCAACAAGAAAAGTGGATTTGAGGAAGTAGTTTAGTTTAGAATATGTGATATTAACCAGTGCTAACCTTGACTTTATATCTACATCATGAATACACTTCTTCAGGTGCAGTCACGTCAGTCAGGCAGGCAGGAAGAAGACAGAAAAAGAAGAGCAGTTGTGTAAATCACACTTTTGAGGGACCTCATTCACCGGGTTAAAAATTAACTTTCATTTTGCCATTTTAGAAAGTGGGCTGTTCTTTGCTCCTATTATTTAATTTTCACAAAACAATAATAAATCTGAATTCTCCTCAGGACTTTAGCCAAATTGCAAACAACCTGGTTTTCCAATGTTACTCCTGCAGCAGCAACATCCTTACACAGCTCTGTTCCTTTACATTTGAACATTTGATTCCTCTTAATTGCAATTTAAGCCAGCAATTTTGTTGCCATGGCACTTGTCCTAGTGGTTGATGGACTGAGTCATGCTGGTGAAAGGGTTCACAGCCCTCTGATTCCACATGTGGGGAAAAGAACATGTGGTCAGAGTGCACTTATTAAACTGTGGGTTCCCAGTCACCCACAAGTGAATGGGACTGATTTTATTTTAAAATGTGTTCATTCTTTCCATTTGTTTAAATGATTGATTTGTAATTGTGCCTTTATCATGCAAAGTGTGGTTTTACTTTAATGTTCTTCATTTACATTGACTTTAAGGGCACACATATCGTGTGTCAAACTTATCCCTTTATTAAAAATACTTTTTTGGTGAATTGTTATTTAACTGGGTAAATATACAGACAGAATGGCAACCTGTGGAAGAGGATGAGGGCCAAAGACTGTTCAGGACTAAGCCATATGAAAAACTGTCTTTGATGCTCGAGGACAGACTTAAAGTGACTGCTGTCATTGATCCTTACACTTGTTGTTTTCTTTTTTTTTTGTGATAGATCTTTTATTATTTATGTTCAAACATTGTTACACTTGTTGTTTTCTGTGTGTGGTGCTTGTGTGTGCTGCTTTGCCAATTTATTTTGCAGTGTATAGTTATTAAGAGTAAGTTACTGTGCCTATAATGAGTTCTGCCATTTCTGTTTGATCTTTAATAAAACACATTATTGCGATCCTCCTGTGATGTGTTGGTTTTGTTGATTATACTTTTTGTGTTACCTATAAAGAGACATCTAGTATTTATCTCTAAAAAAAAGGGATGCTTTAACTGACTACTTGTAATTTATATACATCTAAAGTGATCATTCATAAAGACAAGCAGTATTCTTAAGTAGGCTATTGCATCCTTGTGTATTTTAATCGTCAAATTGCACTAATAATGTTTTGTCTTTCAAAATAAAATAAAATAAAATACATTACTACTGAATAAAAATATTTTTTGTGAAGAAAAAATATCAAATCAGAGACATAGTAGTTGGGGTTCTGATCCACTAGACCAACCTCATATTGAACATTACATTGTACATATACCTAATATGTCCTAAAGTCAATCAAAATAGCTGATTACAAAACAGTAATTATTTATTTATAAATTAGAATTAAAGATGAGCTATCAGATTGGTTTAAACATTATTCTTTTTTTAATAAGAGTTATTTTTTATTTTAAGTTATGTAATATTTGTACGCAAGTTCAAATATGTATTTTGTAAATGGAGCTTTTATTCTGAAAACCCTCGCACCAGAAGTGTTGTTGTCGTTACCGGAAACGAAGCTGTTAGCTTCAGGAACTCGGTGGTGGGAAAAGGTTTCCTTTCTGTAGTCCAACCTGCCCTGTACGAAGTCAAATATACACAGAGCGCTAAACAACCTGAAGCCAATGGACAATCGAGTAATAGTGTTTAATCTGCGGTGTGTCCGACGATAGCACGCCCCGGTTGCAGAGGCGCCGGGCTGGGCCGGAACCAGGACCAGGACCAGGCCCGGACGGACCGACATCACCCAGCGCAGTGTTTAGCGACACCGGCGGGCTGGTGTGTGAGTTAGCGGGGGGTGGTGGTGGTTGTGATGGTGGTGGAGGCGGCTGGCATGCAGTCCGGAGGGGAAGTGTAATGTTTATCACCGGCAGACAGCAGAGCCCTTGATAGTTGCGGTTGAGCAGATGTGAAGTAGTCTGTAGGATGGGACAGACTGAACACAGACAGACGAGAGCTAGCTTTAGCAAACAGCGGAGTTAACGTCACCGGACATCAACTTTTTTTTTTTTTTTTTTTTTACTCGCTAAGGAAGCTACACAACGCAACAAAGTCAAACGAGTATGAGCAGTATATGTGGGTTAATGTGAAAGAGTGAGAAGTCTCTTTTATATCGTGTAACACTTTTCCGTCGCTTGTGAGCTCTTAAAACGGCCTGATAAATGTTTCTGGAGCGAGGATAGCAGCTGAGCTAAGTCGTTAGCTGCTAAGTTAGCCTGTCTCCGGTCGCCCTCATGAAAGAATACAAAGTGGTCGTGCTGGGCAGCGGCGGCGTCGGTAAGTCCGCGCTGACCGTCCAGTTTGTCACCGGCACTTTCATCGAGAAATACGACCCGACCATCGAGGACTTTTATCGAAAGGAGATCGAGGTGGACTCGTCTCCGTCCGTGCTGGAGATCCTGGACACGGCGGGGACGGAGCAGTTCGCCTCCATGAGAGATCTTTACATAAAGAACGGACAGGGCTTCATCCTGGTCTACAGCCTGGTCAACCAGCAGTCATTCCAGGTACCTGATCTGACACTCACCTGACATACTTTCACTCCAAAAAAACAGGTGCAAACACTGGCATGGCAAGGCATTAAGTCAGGCTACTTAGACATGGTGATGGGATGTGATTCATACTAATTACAGAGCAAAATCCAGCTTTCATTTAGTCAGAGATCCTGGAACAACTAGTGCGAATTGGCATCATAGCACAGTCGGCTCTGTGATACCTGGTGTTCATGAAATCAATCAAACTAATATGTTTAAAAAATAAATGTCTTATAATTGCAAAAGGGTCCGTTCTACATCAATGGTACAACTGAACTTTTAGTTTTAATAGTTAAGTAATCACTGGTTACATGTTTAAGCTTGTAAGGCCAAGAAAAAAAAGGACTCTTCTGTAATGAAGTGGCCTAGAAAAACAATCTTATTCCCATCTGTAACTATTATTATTATTTATTTGTCAATTTTATTTCATTAAAAAAAAAAACAATGAAGTTAACAAAAACAAACAAACATATAATCTAAAATGTTGAATGAAAAGAGCAGAAAGAAGATTCATCTTATAATATCTGCCCCTCTTTTACAAAACATTAATGAAAACAAAACAGAACACTTAATTTAAAAACAGTCATTGCAGCCGATTAACAACAAAATAGTGACATAAACACTTCTAATAAACTTTACAGATTCAGAAAGTTTTAGTCAGCCTTATTCTTTATCACTACGCATATTGAAAATCCGTTGAGAAATGGACTTGGAGAACAAGTTCACTGAGCGAGCTGATGATTTGTACCAACGCTGCATAAGAAAACACACTCATATTCTCTCCTTCATATTCTCTTCTTGTTCATCCTTCAGGATATTAGACCAATGAGGGATCAGATAGTGCGAGTGAAGCGCTTTGAGAAGGTGCCGTTGATCCTGGTCGGGAACAAAGTGGACCTGGAGTCTGAGCGTGAGGTCGCCGGGTCAGATGGACGAGCTCTGGCTCAAGAGTGGGGCTGTCCTTTCATTGAAACTTCTGCAAAGAGCAAGACTATGGTGGACGAGCTCTTCGCGGAGATCGTGCGACAGATGAATTATTCTACACTGCCAGAGAAGCAGGAGCAGTGCTGCACAGCCTGCGTGGTGCAGTGAGGAAGAGGTACAAGCACTGTCATTCTTATTTTCTCTTTTGCATGGCTGCATTCATGTTCAGGCTGCAGCATAGAGCTCACAAGCACAGCACAGTTGGCTGTACGCTAATTTTATAAAATGTGATAAAATGTCCCTGCAGTGTCTGTGTAAAAACAGTTCACAAGCTTTGGAGAAATGTGTCACATAGATGACTGTGTCGTCTCAGTGCAGTGTATAGCAGAGGAGAGGTTTTGTTGGAAGTGAGAATGACTAGTGGGTGGTGCTGTGCAGCGTAAACCGTTGGTTTTAGCTTGTTATCATAGGATCACAGAAAGTATGTGGCATGAAGAACACAACTGTAGGAGCAGCTCGGGGGCGGGGATGAAAAAAAAAACCTGATGAGTCGAGACTGTGTGAGCTAGGGGGAAAAGTGAGATCCTGAAGAAGAGATTCAGTTCAAAAACAGGAAGTGCACTTTAGATTCTGTCACAGATGTTGCCGGTTTTACCTACTACCCACACAGATAACTACATAGATTTAAGCATTTCAACTTGTTGTTAATGAGATGTTTTGTTTTTTTATCTTTTCGTTTATAGATGCATATTTTGTCTCGGCCACCACAGAGATCCTGATGAACCATGAACCTGGGGACTACGTGACATTTGATCTTACTGACACAACTTACCGTAGCTGGTAAAGTTTCTGTTTGCGGTTGTTTGTGACCGTAAGTCGTAAACCATCTGACAGGAGAAATGTCGGTCCTATTTTTGATATCATAACTGTTGAGACTTTTCTGCTGCAACCTTTACGGCCTTGGCAATGACCCAAGAGGGAGTCGGAAAGACAGACTTTTGTGAAGCAGGAATGGCCATCTGTGAATTTCAGTCTCTTTTTTTTAATACCTTTTAGTTGGAGGTATCACAAAATAATAAGCAGGAGTGTATGTGAGGTTGCAGCTTCTTTTTAAAGCTGCTTTAATCACTATTATATTCTTTATTATTACTTGTATAATGTCTCAAGTTGGAATTTGACAGTATTTCATAATATTCAAACATGTTGACTTTTAAGCATGCATGTTTCAACCAGTTTGCTGCCAAGGTACTCTGCTTTTTTTCCTACTGACACAAACTACCGTTACAGTTGTATATTTTAGATTTGGGGAAACTAAGATGGGATGGATGAATTTTCAAATTTAACCTGAAAAAACTGACATCAATTAACACTTTATCCAGCAGCACTCTCCGCTGCCCCTTAATTTACCTTCTTATGATCGCAGTAACCTGAAGCAGCTAAACTCAATTGAAAACATGCATGCTTAAAAGTGGAAAAATGTTCCACTAAATGAACTTGAAGTGATAAGGAAGAGCCATTTTACTGTTTTTTTAGCCGGAGCTGTCTCAGTCTCTACAAGGCATGAATCGTGTGGACGCAGGTCTTCCAGTTTCAGTTTTCTCTGTGGGAGAATGATTTTGGAATGACCAAAGGAAGCTCACAATGCATATTTTAGTGTTTGACTATATGACGTGTGTTGCTTTAAATTCAAGAGAAGCTGTTTTTCTTTTCATTAAACAACTTGCTGCGATGTGGTTTGATAAAAGTTCTGGCACAGTTAATCAGATTTAACTTTGTATTTTTCTTTTTCTTATAGTAACCTATTTATTAAAAACTAATGACATGGTTAGCCAGTTTTAAACTTTTCATTTTATACTAGTTTTGGCTTTTGTGACTTATCAGGATTTAAGGTACATTGTTTTTGTTTTTTTTAAGCTGAGGATTTAACAGAGCCTTAAATAATTTCTGTTGCACCCTGGTCTCATGTTTCTTTATTTTTTCAAAGATAAAAAGCTGTCATTGTTTGGTAATAAACATGTTGGCCTCTCTGCTTTTGTTATGGGACAACATTTTAATAACAATTGATCACAAACGCAAACACTACTTTGATACTAAATAAGTTCAGTTGAAATGTCACTCTACTTTGTTCCCACAGGTCGTGTGCAAAGACTCAGTACAACGAGACTGAGGAAGTTCTTCTATTGTTTCAATGACAGTGGCCTTTCCTACTTCCTAATGCTACACCAAAAGATGCTTATCCTTGGGGCGCCGGTGGCCTAGTGGTTAAGTGCCCCGTGTATAGAGGCTGAAGTCCTTGGAGTGGGCAGCTTGGGTTTCAATTCTGACCTGTGGCTCCTCTCTCTATCCACTGTCCTGTCTCATAAAGGCATAAAAGGCCAAAAAGTAAACCTTTAAAAAAAAGATTAATCAGCTTGTTTTCAACTTTCAAATAAATTTCAAACTATTTTGAAATCACTAAGTGATGTTTTAAAAAAAAAAAAAAAGCAAAGATCGACAAATTCAACTTCGTAAATGTGACGTTTTCTGTCATCTTTTCTACTCTATGACAGTACATTAAATATTTTTTGATTAACATCAGCCGGGTTAGTGCACCTTCTCCAAGCTCCTTTAGGGAGAAATCTCATTTTCAGCCTCTCGTCCTGGTTCCTGTTGACTTACTCTCTGTCCACACCACACAGTGTTCAGGTGTCTTTAAACAAATGAAGCTGCCTGCAAACAACTAAACATATCAATAACAAACCAAAACAGTCAAATAAGAATGAACCCCATATGTAACCTAACTCAGCCTGTATGCACCTGAGTAACAGACATCGTTGACCTACATTTTTCCTCTGGGTTCATGTGAGGTGTGTGAAGTGACAGCATGGCCAGAAGCAGTGATAATGTTGAGCCCAGCTGTCAGTGTCACCTACAAACTGTGATGCCATGATTCCTCTGTGGAGCTCAGTCAGCAGGTGTACTGGTGCTGGAAGTCTTTCCTCACATGTTAGTTTGAAGGTTCTGCTCTTTTTTTGTAGGCACGCTTAAGAGAACAGAAACTCTTTGAAGTTACAATTTTCAATGCCATTGTTGTTCTTGCCATAAGTTTTTCACGCAACAAGGAGTTGCTGAAACTTGATTTCACTCAAGTTATGCAGATAGGTACTTATCCTTCAGGCTAAAAGCTGGCCTTAATTAAATCAACATCAGATTATACATACTTTGTTGTTAATAAAATACATGTACTGTATATTAATTCTCTAATATTACTTAATGCTGTAATATTTTCATTTAAATGTTTTCTTCTGGAAGTCAACACGTCTCTGTTATATTTCGTGGGTGAAAATATATGCACAGGAGTATTAAATAAAGACAAATTGGTATTTTTCCACTTGTGTTAAAACCAGTTACTATTCCAGACCTCTAGGCGGCAGCAACACGCGTCAGGGTGTTGACGTCACAGGTCTAAAGCGGAAGTGGTTGTAATCTTCTGCAGTTGTGGGATGAAGATGGGTTAGGGAGAAGGCTGCAAAGTGTTAAAAAGAAACACTAAAACCTGATAATTTAACATCTTTAGTGGACTAGACATGAAGACGGTGTTTGTTACTGTCGGCACCACGAGCTTTGATGAGCTCAGCAATACCATCACGTGCCCAGAGTCCGTGCAGGTGAGTTGAATTTTGGTTTTAATAAGTTAAAAAAAAAAAAGAAAGTATTCACTTACCTTCTAAGTAATCTTGTTTCCAGTTTGATGAGTAAAAACGGCAAATTCATTAGGACAATAAAAGTTTACTTTCACTTATTACATTCCCATTGAGCAGCAGTATGTCAGCTTATTCCCAGTTCAAAGTAAAATTCAAATAATGGATCTAAACTGTTGTGTCGAGCTCAGAGCAACTGGGCTGTGATTTATTACAATTTTAAGAAAACTATCATTTTTAAGTTTTCATTATTGGACTATGCAGATTATACAGTTTGATTTGAATTGTGGTTCAGATCTGTTTAAGTGTTGATAATCTTGAAATAACCAAACCTTGTTGCTTGTAGGTCTGAGTCAGACCAGCTCTTTCTTTATTGTGTGAAAAAATTATTAAAACAATTTGATATATCACCTGCTCAAGCAAAGTTTTCTTATCCAAATAGTACTTCACAATAAAACATTCATCATTTCGATGTGTGAATTGTCTGAACCCTTCTACAATGATGTCTTTGTCTCCCTGCAGGCTCTGAAGGCTCGCGGATATGAGCGTCTGGTTCTGCAGGTTGGAAGAGGATCAGTTGTTCCTGCGGCTGACAGCTGTCCGCAAGTCAAACTTGAAGTGTTTCGATTCAAAGATTCGATAGCGGAAGACATGAAGCAGGCGGACCTCATCATAAGCCACGCAGGTGAGTGAGGCATCAAAGACCTCAGAACAAGCTCGACTACTCCTCTGAGCACAACAAACTCACTGTGTGTACTCCGTTAGGAGTGGCCACATGAGCCTTCGTTCCAGCCTGGGCTGCACCATAAGTCAATCACATGATGTTGAACTGTTATTATTGCGCATTCATTTTTTTCAAGTGTTCGCAAAAGCAGGAAGTCTTCATGTTCGGGCAACAATAATGACTGTAGAATTCAAAACAGAGACACATAGGTAAGTGAGCAGTGTGCAGACATTAAACAAAAAACTGATGATTAAAACAGCAGACTGTTCTTGCATGAGGGCACAACAGCAAATACAGGATGATATGTTACATCATACTTTACCCTCGCAAAAAACAGCTTACTGGCTCTTTATTTCTCTTGTCCTTCCTTTTCTGTGATGACCCCATCTCTTGGGTATTTACATGTGAAACACACCTTGTGTCTTTTTTTATAAAGGAAGCTGCGTTGTGTTTGTGTATCTCCCCTGAGGGGTGTAGAACTGAGAAGTTGGCAGAATGGATTAGTGTGGTATACTGAGCCTAAAGCCAGGGTTTTCAGTATCACAAAGCTCACTCTCTTAGAACCTGGCACAGTCAACATTATTATGTAAGCTGCACACCTAAACTGCTCCTGAGAAGGTTATTATTTTCCTATTATCTGTGTCCGACATAGTTTCTCAGCTGTAGGAAGGAATGATACATGATGTCTTACTGTAGGACAGAAATACCACTTAAACAAAAACTGTCCAGTTACAGTAGCTCAAACTGTCTGCATTGTTTTTATTCCACAGTAACGTTGTTATATACATTTTGTGATGCAGGAAATCTGAACACCCTTTTGTCTTCCTCCTCTCATTGTTCTCCATTAACCTCAGGGGATATTACCATTTTATATTTCAAGCAGCAGATCATCAACTCACAGAGAGAGCATTGAACACATTGTAACTACAGACTACTGTTGATCATGTTTTTATTGGATCTGTTTAGTTGTTTCGTGTTTTTGAAACAAATGAAATTGAAGTTTATAGATCCATTGGTATTCATCACAAAATAGATACAAAATACAATACGATACAAAACTATGGTTTGGCCAATAAAAAGATATCTACATGTCTTTCCCAGTTTTAAAAACTCTGTATAACTTAGAGTTGAAGAGCTCTACAATGTGCAGTTGTCATGGTTTTTCAAAACAAGAGTCAAATTCATTTTCAATCACCAACTTTCACAGGATTTATTTTGTCAACTTATTTCACCAAAGAAAGTGAGCAACCATCCTTGTGATACTGGTTATCTCTGATCGGGGTTTAAGGTCAAGTAAGTTAGACCAGCTGACAAAAAGAAAGCCTGACCATTTTAAAATGACTTCAAAGTAGAACCGTGTTATCAATGCTGTTGTCCCACAAGACGATTGTCTTGTTATTCTAAACTGTCGTTTCAATAAGGGATTACTACGGATGAAGAAAGGACAGCTGGGTGGATTTACAGTTGACCTGTACAACAGGAGCATTAGAACACGAGGAGTAGGTGGTAAGACGGCCAAAGGTTAACATTTACAATAACAGGTAGGAGCAGTTGAGTCTTGTGCGACAGTGTTTGTTAATGGGCTTATTAGACGTCTCCTCTTACCTAAGGAGATGACTCGTATCAACCAAAGGATTATATGAATGTTTTGGCAGCTTGACCCAGTTTAACAAGGCTGCACAAATACCCACAACCTCATCAAACAAGCACAATAAACACATCTCAAAAGAGTGTCTGCAATGCTATAAAAAGAATACTATTACATGTAGGGTTGTCATAGTTTAAGATTTTTAAACTTCAATACGATTCTAGTTCAAATCATACGAAATCGCTACCTTCCTTGATACCACAGCAACAAAAATAAGCTGTCCTAGGCACCAAATATTGGCTAATGTCTTTTTTTTAAATTAAGAAAAAATTCAGCACACTTCTATATGATTATAGATCTGAAATGGTTTCAAAGCTTTGGCCCTTTTGTGATGCAAACAATCATTAAAGTAACAGAGATGGTATCTCTATAAAGACCTTTTGGAGAATAGTAGCACTTCTGGATTCTGGATTCAGTAGAGACATGTCATAAACACAGATGTTGTAGAAATCATGCAAAACAGAAGAATGCAGACTTTTAATCCAACCTCATAAGGACGCTTTCATATTATTTTATTGCACATGATTTTTCCATGGCAATATCAAAAATCTGAAGCACATCACACATTTCTCTCAACTCTTTCAGGCTCACAGTGTTCGACAAATTAACATAAAACCTAAATTATTGCTTACTGTTCCATAAGCATGCAGTAGTTACAACATAAATACCGTTAAATAAGAAAAACTTTGAGATTCACTTACACTAAAAGTCAGAACTAGCGTTCATATGGGCTAAACTAAGACAAAAAGTAAAGATTGTATAACTTGTTTGTTGTTTTTATCCATATCTGTCGTGTTGTTTACTCCTTCAACAGAAGGCATGCCGTTTCAGAACCAGCAGAGGACTTAAGTTGCAGTCATGAATGAGGATCTTGTTTTTGTCCTCAGGGGCAGGAAGTTGTTTGGAGGCCCTCGGAGCAGGCAAGCCTCTGCTGGTCGTAGTGAATGACAAACTGATGGACAACCACCAGCTGGAGCTTGCCCGACAGCTCCACATAGACTCCCACTGTTTCTACTGCACATGCAGGTTTGTTTTTCTCACATGTCAAAATCACCCGTTGAGGTTTTTAAGAATATTTAACAGCTTTTTATTTTTTATTTAAAATCTTTCAGCACCCTGACAGACACCCTGAGGACCATGGATCTCTCTGTTCTTCAGCCATACGTGCCCGGGCAACCCAAGCATTTCGCAAACTTTCTGGACAAAGCTCTCGGGGTTCAGAAACGTTGATTTTTAAGGGACTGTTTATTTTCTGTTACGCTCGAGAAAATCATGTAGTAGATTATGATGCTTGATGATATAAATGTAATTGTGCAGTATAAAACTGTCACTGTTTAACACAAGTGCTTTCTATTTTTTATATGCAATAATCTATTTAATTTCAATTCATTACGTGTGCTGTGACTCATTTGTGTTCAAAATGTGTTTTAAAAGTTTTATACAAGAAAATGAAAGACAGATGCCTCGCATGTTTAAAACAAACAACAAAGTTAAAGGCACATCTATGAGAGTGACCAAATGTTGCATTAATGAAGTGTAGCACAGAGCATGAGAAGTCTTTACATCATGTTTAGATCTGTATCCTGCAAAAAACTGTTGAACAAGACAATCCAGGGCCTAAGAACTGAGTTCATCATTAACAGAGTGAATAAGTAAACAGACAGGAAACTGAAAAGTGTTTATGTATTTCTTTGGAGAAACTGATCCTTTTTCATTCTTGTTGGCTGGTTAGAGGCAATTTTTCTTGTGTACAAACTTTAAAAGACATACAGTACAGTGAAGAATTAGTCGTTGTTTCTTTTAGTTACACCAGGAGAGGTCTTATATTCGACAGGAAGTTACAGCAGCAAATAGTCTGTTGAGTCAGAAACATTTTCATTTTTCCACAGAGGCTGCAGTGGCAGAAAGTTTCTGCTGCATACCAGTACGTTTACATTTAGAAACCAGGTAAGTTAACCTGATAAAAAATGTTTTGATTGAATGTAGTAACAGGTTGATATTACCACCAATTAGTCACATTTCCGTAGGTTTTTTAAAGTTTGAAAGTAGGTTTTTTTCTGCACTCTATCAATCATTTCAGGCCGTTTGATACAGAAAATATTTTAGGTGTCACATTTTAAAGACTGTTGTACAAGAGGAATGAAACAAAATGCTGGCTTCCTCTTAGGAAAGTCCCTGATCTTGGCCTCTAGAGGTTTTCAGAGAAATAAAAAAAGAAATCAGAGTAAAAAGAAACTTTCCTCATTTATTCTCTTTAATAAAAGGTTTCACAGCTGACACATATAAATATCAGCAGGAAATGCTGAGTTTCTGGATCTGTGGTTAAACCACACAGCTGTTACATCAGCTGAATTTAGGAAGTGGTACTTTTTGACAAACAAACACCACATCGCAATTTTAACACCTAAGTCTCAGAAATACCTATTGGTATGCCATCGTGTGTATCTGCTGCTTCTGAAGTGTTTTTTAATTCACGTCCTGGCAGTTTCATACATTCAAAGCAAGTTTATCAGACATGTTGTATGCCTGGTCCTGGAAATTTGATGGTTTTAGTCAAAAGCTACATTTAATGTTGTAGAGCTGAAATTTTAAGTATTTTTTGAGCCACTTCTCAAGCAGAAATCTCAAACATACTCCTTTTTCAGCAAATGTTAATTTGGGTATTTGTCTTTGTAATACAGGGTGAAAGGTTAGTTTATTCTGGTAACTGATCGTCAGCTGGCTGAAAGATTCCTTTTGAAGATCAAATTTTAGCTCATTAACAAGTAGATTAAACCATGAATTGCTAGTTGCAACCGTAGAGTACCGTGGTGTTTTACCCTTAATCCGTTCAATTTGGTAGAAATCTGGTTTGGACTGGTTCTGCCTAGCTCTCCAGTATGGTTCACATGATGTTTGTGCAAACTGCATGTTAATCTAATAGAGATGGACACACGAGTCCAGTGTCACTTGTTTTTTTTCTCTCCAGAGAGTTTCTGCCAGTTACGAGGTTCAGGAGATTAGAGAGTATCAGTCAGTGTTAGTTTTTTCTTAAACTTTGTCTTTTCTGGAAGCATTTTTTTAATTTTTACATCAGAGCCTTTTTTAAATAAAATGAACATCTCTTTAATATGTTATATACCAGATCTCTCTCTCTCTCACACACACACAAGGCCACGACACTCATGGGTCATTGGAAGCAGACACATAACCAGGATATGTACAGATGAATGAATCCGTGTCAGACTGGCAGAGTGAAACATGACCTCAAGCAAAGTGTTTCTCCAAAAGGTGCTAAACACTTGAGATGAAGCAACCATTCACTTAGAAGTAAACTATTGGAATGACAAAATTGTCCCTGTAATAAATGTCACACTCTACATTTGATTTTATGATGTTAAATCAAGAGGTAGCTGGAGAGTACAAAAACACAGGCAGGACTCCGAGTACAACTAATTGATGTCATCAAGTCATGATTCATGTGTTCGGACTGAATACAACTTAATTATCTAGAAAAGAACAAACCTCCCGTTCATCGTTTGGACAGGAGTGGACTGAATAAGTCTATTTTCAAAAAGAAACAACTGGGTCAAAGCAGAGGGTCAATCAAACAAACCTGAACGCAATGAGCTGTAAACAATGCGTGTTCTGTTTTTACATCAGATGAATGAGACATTGTTTTTGACTTTGGGATGTTTTATATAACCTGATTTATGCCAGTAAGTTTTTACCGTTTGACCTGCAAAAATGTTCATGACATTGATGCATATATTTTAAACTAGTTTATGAGATTTATCTTCTGCAATGTGACAGCCTTAAAAAAGTTCAGTTTGTCCTTTTCTGTTTGATAATACACTAGTGGGAGTAGTGTTGCGTTGTATGTCATTTAAAGACATTATTGGATGATGTAGCATTAACAGAGATTGTAGTGTTATGTGCAGAGTGTGTAAAGCATTATTGGGCTTGTTTTTGACTTATTATTCTCTCTGTATTAATGAAACTAAAACTACTGCCAAGCGAAGAGGCAGTAGAAAACAGGTTCAATCAAATTGCACCAATAGGCATTTTCGCACTGCAGGAACTTTTCCATAGTTCTAGGAACTATTGGAACCCTCCCCCCCTTTTTATTGATACCACACTACAGAAACTATTTTAGTTTATAGCACCTTGTTTAGAGGACTTGTTTTAAGCTCCTGCTTCAGATGCTGCACAGAAAGAAAAAAAAAAATCCCCACAGTGTGTCGTTCTCAGTGAACTTCCTATTCGACAGTTCCTCCTCAAATCTTCCCCAGAACAGTTTGGTCTGAAAACACCTAATGGTGGGGGAGGAACCAGAGGCTCATTGCTATGTATCCTCTTCTCCATTCCCATACCTATACACGTAAAATAAACAAAGCTATGAGGTGTCCAACAAGCCAATAATCGACCTTTTGTCTATCCTCTGAACCCGCAGATATGTCCCATAAAGCTGATCGCATTTGCTAAGGCTAAACATGTAAATGTCTTCCTGTTCCAGGCTTCAGATTGCAGGACTCATCACATTTAAGAGCTTAAACAGTTTATGCTTCAGGAGGCTAATCCTGCTTTAACATGGTTAAAGTTTATCGACGCTAAAAGGGCGTGCACAAAATAACAAAATGCTTCCTCTTTTCAAATATCCCTTTTCAAGGAGTCAGTCAGAAGTGAGTGGTTTGACCCTGTGTCTGAGCTTGAGCCGGTTCTTTTTGCCCTCTGCCTTCTGTTGTTTGCAGATGTTCATTAGCATTTTTTTTTTTTTTTTTTTTTGCGCAGCTCCGCCTCCCTCGCTTATGATTGGGCACACTGTTACTGGAGCTGTCAGCTCAGCTCCGGGAAGGTTTTCTCCTCTCAGTCAGACCCGAGTCTTCAGCTAACTAACAGACCCCGACTGACAGCCAGGTCTGCAGGCAGGCAGGCTCTCTCTGCTGCCTTTTGTTCGCTTAGCCTTTGCGAAGAGCCGTATCCATGCAGGAGCGCACTCTCTTTGGAAAATGATCATCTGTACGAATAAAATGGAGTACCCCCTAAGAACCCAGTGCCAGCGAGTCCAGAAACAGGTAAGGTCAAAACCGACAGAAGAAAATACTAAAGTTAGTGAAAGAAAAATGAAAGCTAAGCGGCTAACTGGGTAGCCCTGAGCACCGTTCATTCATTGAGTGAAGGGAATGTTTTCAGAAGAGCAAGTCACCCAACTCTTATTATTACCTTTTATTTTAGCTTTAGAGGAATTATTTGGACAGCCAAAGTCAGCTGTGTTGAGATCAAAGAGACAGCTAACAGTTCATTTAATGTCTAAACTTTTAATTTTCTTTTAATCCAGTTAGTTAGTGAGCAGAAATAGCTGTACTAAACTTTGAATGTTATCCAGCTCACTCAGCTAAGAGCTTCAGTAAACACTGTGTTTTTTCATATATATATATATGTATATATATATAGTAAAACTTAAGGTTTAATAAATGTGCATTTAAATTACTGTATTCAAACATTTCATCTCCAGCTGTTGAAATATCATTAAAAAAAACATTGTTTAAAACATGGAGATTAAAATGAGCGTTCAGGTTGTTGATAATAATAATTGTGCCTTAATGTGACGACGACTCTGGTCATAATGGTTTAATAGAGATGTTTAAAATGTTTAAAAAATATGCTCATATTTAACTTTTACGACGATTTAGTGAAGTACGAACTCTTAAAATGCAGTAACAGTGGAGAGACACTGACGATGACATCATCTGAGGATTTGAAGTGTCTGTCAAGTAAGCTCGTAGGATGTGAAGTAATGCAGTTTCTTTCTCTTCACTATAAAATCAGAGTAAGGCTTTGAAAGGACAGGACTTTGTCGTTTAATCTAAGAGAGCTGCTGCTTGCTTGTGGTGCCTCTAATGTGAGCTCCACTTTTTATTGTGCTGTTTTCTTGCTGGCTGAACTGGACTGCCAATCAAAGTTGTTTTTCTCCCTTGTCGCTGCGTTTTCATTGTGCTGCGGGAAGGGGGCGCTGTCTCAAGTAGTGCAGTCACAAATTGCCATGTTTGTTGCAGATTACAGTCCAAAAATGGAGCAAAACAGGCAGGAATGTGAGCAACAGGGGATTCAAACCCCTTCTTCTCTAGTTTCAAGTCACATTTCTGTGTTGCTTTTCACTACACGTCTTACTTTTTGCTGAATGTCAACATGTAATTTCAGCTTGTATCGTATTTTCGAAATGTGTTTGACACCTTACTGAGTAGATACAAACAATCCGTATTAGTTTTGTGCTGCAAGTTTTCCAACCTCTTAAAGCACATGCATCTGAAAGCTGTCAGCTAGAGCAAGCAACTATTTTACAGGCACCTTTTAAGCACCTTCTTCATCCACACACCCTTGGCTTGTTTGTGAATGACTCTGTTATCAGTGGAAGTCTTTTGTAACTGCGTTTCCCCCTCGCTCTACCTGCCTGCCATGTTTTCCGACAGGTCCAGTCACTCATTGGCTGTTTGAAAGCTCAGCTTTCTGTTTTTTTTTTTTGCATCCTGCAGCACACTGTTTTGTTTGTCTTGGTTGTGTTGTATGTGCTGTCCTGCCCAGCAGCTCCTTTCCCTCCCCTCTCCTCTCCTCTCCTCTCCAAACATCTTTGGGCTGCAGCTGGTTTGTTTTTGTGCTACTCCCTGAGTTCAGGTTGCAGGGACAAAATTGTCCCCC